GGGGGGTGAAATGTTTTGAGGAAAACAAAACAAAAGAGCAAGCAAACCGCTTCCCCCCACCCCCCACTTCTCTTCGTTGTTGTTCATAGCCCGATAGAAGCAAGTTGCTTCTCAAGGGCCTTATTGCCCTTGAGAAAGTCGTCGAGCCACTCGCCCGCAATGGAGAGCATAGTGCTCTTGCTGAACCCACCGCCTTTTAGGGCGGGAACAATCTCACACAGGTCGTCGAAGCCAACCTTGATGAGGGTGCGGCGCTTCTGCTCGCTGCGGATGTGGTTCTCGCGCTTCTGCTCCTCTGTGAGGGTTTCGCGCGACGAGACCTTGGCACCCGCGGCCGCTGCCGCTGCTGCGGCTCCGTTCACGGTGCCCCTGCGTTTCCTGGATATGCCGTCGCCGCCGGCGTAGGGTGACGACGGCTCAACCTTGGACTTTCTTCGTCGGTAGCCGGGCTTGGCACCGTTGCCGTTGCCGCTGCCGTTGCCGTTGCCGTTGGTGTCCGGCCCGTCGCAGTCTTCGTCGCCTGCTGCCCCTGCAACATCGTCGTCGCCGCCGCCGCCTTCACCTTTTATCCGGCTCTTCCTCCTCTTGCGCGGCGGTGCTTCCGGGTCTTCGGGTCCCTTTGATGGCATCGATGGTGGTGCGTGGTTGTCACTGTTGCTGTTATTTGTCGGGGGTGCTAGCCCGTGCTGTTGTGACAGTGGCGGCACCTGTCCGTGACCGTGACCGTGACCGTTGTTGGACGGGCTGCTGGGTCGCGTGCTGGCCGCACTACGGCTGACCTCTAGCGAGTCGAGCAGCTTGAGCTGCATCCGATGCATCGACTCGACGGTCTGCTTGTTGGCCTCGGGCATGTAGCCCTGGGTGGTGCTGAAGTTGGAGTCGGACCCCCACTGGAAGTCGGTGGGCAGTGAGCTCCTCGACGGCCTGCGCTGCTGCGTCGGGATGAACAGGTTCACGTAGTCGGTCGGCTGCTGCGTATCGCTAGCCTCCCTCCTGCCTTCCTCCTGGAACTCCTCTAGTGGCTGGTGGCGGAGGTGGCCTACAGGCACGGGAACCGCCGCCTTCCGCGACGATGTGCTTGCCTCGAACGCATGGGCTGACCGGTTGTTGCTGTTGTTGTTGTTGTTGTGGAGAAGCGTTGCTGCAGCATGGAGAACATCTTCCGAGGGGCCGTCGTGTGGACTCTGTTGATGCTGCTGTCCTTGTTGCTGGTGGTGGGGTTGATGATGATGGTGGTGTTGGTGTTGTTGCATATGAGTTGGGAATTGCGGCGGCGGAGGTAACATGCTTCCGGTCGAGCTCAACGTGTGGAAACCTGCCGATTCGTTCGAGTAATGCTGGCTTGAAGACGGCAGGGTCGGTGGCGACGGCTGGTCCTGGTGGCCGTACGAGGTCCCCACGCCCATGAACTGCGGCGGTAGGTCCATCCACTCACTGCTGAAGCTGAGACCTTCCCCAAAAGACGGTGCATTGTATTGGTCCGAACCCATGTGCACAAAGAAGTTGTCAAGGGTCTTGAACTCGACATCTGACAAGATCGGCATGCCTGGTGGAGGTGCTGGCGGGTCCATCGGCGGCGGTTGATTGGGGTCCATATTGTCTGCATATGTTTGTCAGCCATCTATCCGTTATTTCTTCTTATCGTTCTTCTTCTTCTTATCCTCCTGTGTCAGGTGTTCTCCTCCATATAAGAGAGACAACGCAAGAATAGTGCCTGGGTTGCCTTCCAGGTAGAGAGGGGGGAGAGCTTACATCCAAAAGGTAGGAGCGGATCCTCTTCGCCTTGCGGCGGCGACTTATCTATAGGCATTCCCAATGGATGGCGCGCGACAATCATGAGTGCAGAAGTGATTATTTCCTGTAGAAGGTGAAGGTGGTGAAGGGATCGTCAAGTCGTCAAGTTGGCGAGACGCATGAGGACAAAGCTGCATGGTAGTATCCTCCCACTCTTTTCCCCTCCTTTATCCTTCTTCTGATCCCACGCCCGCAACTTGTGGGAGTATGCTTATAACGGCCTTACCTTCCCCAAGGTCGACTAGGGAAGAAACGCGTCGGACGGTGATGTCGTGTGTGGAGATGGTGACGGTCTTGAATTTTGTCGTGTCGATCCCGGGTTGCAATATGAGTGGGCAGGTGAGACGTGTGTGTGTGCGCGCGCGTGTGTGTGTGTGTGTGCCTGGATCTGATCGATTCTGTTGGCCTCTGGTATTCAGAATTGACGCTCTCTTCCTTCTAGTCCGACGACACGAGGAACCAGCGGGGGGTGGGGTTGCGAGCCCGAGGACGAAGACGTTTGTGTGTGTGCGTGTGTGATTTCCCCCCCTGCCGATCTGTCGAGGGAGCGCGGAGTTACTCTATATGGAGATTCGGAGGAGCAGTGAAGCGGCGAGCATGTGCCAGAGTGGCTCGAGGCGGGGGCGCATAGGAGGTCGTTGCCGTACGTCGCAAAAAAATCACCCGACGCGGCGCGGGGAGGGGAGGTAGAGAGGATTGTAATCTCGGGCGCGAAAAGAAGGCGGCAAGAGATGGCCTGGAAAGATCAAGAGGAAGAAACGAGCCGCGTAGATGTCATCATGCCTGTCGTAGAAGATGGAGAGGCACAGAGGTGAAGAAGGTCAGAAGATGATGGGGAGAGGAAAGAAGGAGGAGTAGAACAGAAGGAAGAAGGAGAAGAAGAAGAAGAAGAAGCAACCTCGTCCACCTCCCTGGGAATCGATTCTGTCTGGTGTAAGGTAGGTAGGTATGTGCTAACAATGTACAGGCAAATAGTCGCATGCGCTGAGTGGTAGGAAGAGAGAGGGAAGGGAGAGAAGAAAGCGGAGTGTGGGTTATATACATAAAAGTACCGTCATGTAGCTCCAACTCTGATGAGTATGAGAAGTCGCCGTATTCTACGTCACGATACCTTCGAAGGTGGGGGACTATCAGTTTACCCGGTAGGTACTTTTTACATAAGGTACTTTTACATAAGAGCTCGTTCCCTACCCCCCCCCAAAGTTGGCCACGGACCGAGGGCGGGACAAGGTATCTATGCAAGTATCGGAGAATCACATGCTTTCCACTTTTTCCTCTTTTTTTTCTCAGTTTTTTTCTTTTCTTCTTTTCTTCGTCTCCTTCCTTGTTGCTGTTGTTGTCGTTATTGTTTCTCCCCCTCTAGTTAATTAAATACATCTACTTACTAAATATTATACTACTAGTATTATCACACTATCACTATCACATAATCTTCCCGCCCTCCTTCAAGACAACAGGTAGTGGCTGCACGCTCCGGCCCGTGGCTTCCACTAACAGAACCAAAATGATATTACACTATCACTCACTATTTACTTCCTGTATAGTATCATCAAGAAAAGGATACGACATATTCGATACGAACGACGTACGTACATGACAATAAACTCTCCCCTTCCACATCAAGCTCCCTTTTATATTATATATATATATATATATATATATGTATATTATATACACATATGTTCCCCTCTCTATCCTCCCTTTGAAACCTGTTAGTCACTCCCAGCCTCTCATCCCCCCCTCTCTCCTCGACCGAGTGTGCTTCCTGTCATCATGACTGATCAGTAGTGATCCCCGAGGTCTGGAACCAGGCAAAGAACAAGCCATGAACCCTAGGTCTCTCACTCTTTACCAAACGTGGAGACAGAACAAAACTCGTATATGTAAATCTCAAAGGCCGAAGTCATTCACGAAAGAATAATCCGCAATCAGAAATTGTCTGTTTTCTTCTTCTTTTTCTCCCCTTCATTCTGACAAGAAAAATGATGATGCGTAACGCGCGCCAATTACCCTCAACTCCCGCAGCCCATTACATCTACCCTAGACGATGAAGCATGTGAAGGTCGACATACAGTTGGGTAAGTGGAAGTGGACGTGATACGACGCCTAGACGGGAAGGCAGAAGGAGAAAGTCTGATATGAAGCCTGCCTGGCCATCCCGAATCTTGTTGCGACTGGTATCCGTGATTGGATCGGCCCTAGACTTTCGGTGCTACGTGCTGCTCGTGTTCCCCCTCCCCTTCTGTTGTGAGGTCATGGTATTCCGATAGGAGTTCAACAGACACGAGAAGAGAGGCCACGCGCCAAGGAGCTGTCTTACCCGCCACTGACTATATCGTGTTTGGCTCGTCAGAGGGGTCCGTCAGAGACCTGCCATGAAGAACTCGAGAAGCCATGTATTCTCTTTCCCTAGCCTCTGGTCGCATCGCCGACGGAAGGACACGGAATCGGTACTAGTATGCTCTTGACAGCTGAGCTTATCCTTGGTAAACGACTTTCAAGGCATATGTAGCTTTTGGTTACATGCTACATCTCTGTGTTGCGTGTATCTGTATCACTACAGTCTATAATGGTCTTCTATTGCTCCGTGTGATATTAGAAATACGCTTTGAATCTAAACATGGTCTACCAAGTATAAAGCCGCAAAGAGGGACAAGAAGAGAAAGAAGGAGAATAAGAAGAAGACGGCGACGATGATGGACGAGGAGAAGGAGGCAAGATGAAAAGGGAACCGCAAATCAGGTCACTCCCAAAATCTTAGCGTATGCATCTTCCACCTCGCCGGCCAGCTCAAGGAGTGACACAATGACAATCTGATGCGTCAGGTTCGGCAGCTTATCTCGGTGCAACCCGATCCACTCTAGGGGGGGTGTAGCCTCTCCCATATCCCTCAGCTGTGGCGTCTCGATGATCGGCGGCTCCAACGCTAGGTAGTTGTACTTGGACTGCGGGACGTTGACCTCTGCCGTGATCTTCTGCTGCCCTTGCTGCGTGCGCGCATCGGCGCTGGATCTACCGCCCGTCCCACCGTCTCGGCCCTCCCCGCCGCCCCCGTTGACGCCGCCACTGCCCCCCTCCGCTTCTGGAACGCCGGTAATCCTGACCGCTGTCATCGGTAACTCTCGCCCCCACGTCTGCTCCAGGGACTTGCGGTGCTTCGCCCACATACCCCGGATATAGCTGATGCGAGAGTAGTTCCACCCCACCTCCACCTTGCCCTCGAAGGCGCTCTTGAAGACGTAGTCGATGGCGCTGCTGTTCGGCTTCTGCCACGTCTCCATCACGGCCGACACTTGTGGCACCTTGAGGATGGTGCCCCCGCGTGACCCCGTCGCCCGCTGCACCACGTCCTCGACCGACGTCTCGCTCAGCGTCTTGGGCCCATCCGCGTTGCGCACCTCCGCAAGTCCTATCCGCAGCTGACCCAGCGTCATCTTGAGGATGCTGTGGATCCGACCCGTGTCCATGCTGGCCGCGAACCGCGCGTACGCGTTCAGTGCCTCAACCTTGAACACCTGGTTACCCGCAAACGTGCTCGGAAACACGCCAAGGTTGAGTGCCTTGAGCGTCACCACCACGTCAGTGTCCAGGGAGATGGGGGACTTGGTCTGCGCCTCCACTTCAGAAGACTCCGCTCCAGCCTCCCCAGCCACATCCCCCGCCATCTTGGATGCATCCGACGACGCCCGTTGTTGCTGCGGTGGCGCTGCGTGCCGTATCGTGCTAGACCGGCGCCGCATCAGCTTCTCGATATCCTTGAGAGATGACTGCAGGTTCTCCCTGCGTTCCTGGGCCAGCTTCTTGAGCGCCTGGTAGAGCGCCACAGCCTGCGAGGCCGAAGTTGTCGTGCCAAACACCTGCACCGCTTCACTATCGCAGATAGCCACCAGCCGGTCACCCCGGCCGCTCCGGCTCTCGCGGACATTATACATGAGGAACTCTAGCGTGCGGATGTCGGCTACTAGGAACGCCTGGTAATCAAATGCTGCCTTCAGGCGCAGGGCATTGAAGCCTAACGACGCCTGTACCATGGGAGTCTCGTTGAGTGCCTGCTCGCGCCTCGGCCATTGGATTGACGTACGCAGCCTGAAATCCTGAAGTGCCACAAAGCCACTGAGGCGGCCGCTACAGTCGACCCCAACCTTGTGGAAGCCCAGGCAGAGATTCTGCTCCCAACCAGATGTCTTCTTGGACGACACCCAGAAGTTGTGGATCTGAAACACCGACTTCCCGATCGCCTGGCCTAGATCCACTGCCACATCCAGCGCCGCTACCGATATGGTTGCTGTCCATGGGAATGCCGCCGTCGCCGCTACTTGCTGGTACCGCTGCACGAGATGAGCCTGCTGCAAATTCTCCATCGCCGGCTTCGCCACCGGTGCTGCGTTGCTCCGGCGCAGCTCCTCGGGGTACCAGATCTCCCGGAAGAGGAGGAAGTCCTGCAACTGCTTTGCATTCACCGATACCTTCATGGGACTGATGTTGAGGATGGCGGATAGGCCACTCGTGCCACTGACGTGTTTGCTGTTCATCAGGGATAGCGTCGCAGTCTCTATCTCGAAGCTACCCGTCGAATCCCTCGAATAGACGTGCTGCACGGAGGCCTGCAGCCCCGAAAATGTGCCAGAGACGGCAAAGAAGTTCCCGTGATCTGCCGACGACACCGTATTGACCGTGACGTAGATGCCATCGAAACGCGCCGTCGCAGCCACACGAGCGATTGGCTGACAGCTGAGCGAAAACTCCTGTCTGGATATACGCAGCGCAAGGTTCAGTCTCGCGCCGCCTAGAAAAGCGCTGGGATCCGTTGAGAGGATATTCTCATCGCCAGATTCGGCGGGCGTAGCCGAGTCCGGGCCTCCCGAACCCGCCTTTGGATTTGATTGCGCGTCCTCTCCCGCCGCCGGTTTCACCGTGCCATCGTCAACCCTCACCACCTCCTGGACACTAGCGACCATGTCGAGTATCAGAGGAACCACTGATGGGTACAGGATATTGCTTGACGCGTCAATCTTGACTTCCCCGGAAAGTGTTGGCGCGTCGTGCCCGTTGTCCTGAAACTCAAACTTCCAGGCCAATCCCGGGGATTGTAAAACCGCGCCACTACCGGAATCATCGGCGTTGAATTGTCCATATTTGCCAGCTAGTGACGGCCGGTTGATCTTGGAGGTTCTTGATGAATCGCTGAAATCTCTCTTGCTGGAAATGTGAACCACTGAGCCCGCAAAGTCGGCGTCGATAAGCAGATTCTCCAGACGCTTCTTGCCAAAGAGGTTCCAGGGGCGCTCCGTGTTTGACAGGCCCTCTTGCTTCTTAGTAGTCTCGTTCGTGAGGCTCCACTCAGTGGACGCTTCGCGAACGTTCTTGATCGACAGGGATATGGATTCTGCAAGGTTGGCCGCAGGCATGATAAACCCTGACGTGAGCCTGAGGTCCAGCGACTGGCCCACGGCCTGGAACGCCATGCGGCGAGCCGTCGGAGTAGAAACGTAGGCGATGTTGAAGATGACTTCTGGGAGGAGGGCCGAGTGCAGTGAACGGATAGTTTTGTCTTGCCCCAGGGGCACCGTCTGGAGTTGGAAGTCTTCGATGGTCAGACGTGCTGACTTCTTGGTTTTAGTCCCAAACTGTATGAGTTTGATGGACAGTGCCAGATCCTCCTTGCTGCTGCTGCGGTCGTCTCCGTCGCTGGCCACGTTCCAGCAGGCTCGGATGTTCTGCAGCTGGAAATGGTAGACCAGTGATGACAGAACCGAGTCTAGAATGTCCGCCTCTTCACTGGTAGCAGCATCACTGTCCTCCACCACGATGCGAGGTTTCGGTTGCCTAAGCTTTCGAAGGTAGTTCAGCTCCCGGGAAGTATCAAGATCCTTAATCTTCCCCCTGAGATAGGCGAGCACTACCAGCGCGGTCGATATAGTCTCTGGAGACAGGCTGATATCTAGGTCCGGACTCTTGAAATCAAATGCCCAGTCATCTTTCCCGTCGTCACTATGCTGAACGCCGGCTGAAACGGTCACCCCAGCACCGATTCGGCCGCACGACCGCATTGCATCTCGAGTGCCTCGTCGTATGTCCAGCGCGATCTGTTTGATGTTGACATGTACCTCGGGGTACTTGGAGATGGGTGCCGAAGCCTCGTGCCGGTTGCTTGACTGCAAGTACATCTTCTCCACGGAGAACAAGACTTGGGACACGGGTTCGACCCTGGAGGCGAGAGGTGTGATGGAAGATACTTGGAGACCAGCCAGAGTCAGATGTACGTTATACACAAGCTGTTCTGAGACAGATTCATCGGCGGGGTTTGCCGGCGAGGGCTTGCTTGGTGGCTCCTTCGTGCCAAAGACTTCGGCCGCATGCCTCTGTATCGTCCTGCTCTGTTCCTTCATCTCCTCAAGAGCACTGGATATCTGTGGCCGATTGAGAGCCCCGAGAATACTGTAGACAGCCGACGCATCCAGCTGTATCATTTCTACCGATGAGAGGATCGTAAGAATGTGCTCTGACTGCTGCATCTGGCTACTGATGCGACCATTGATGGGAGGTATCTGGAGCAGGGAAATCCTCCTCGGCTTATTGCGAACGTCGATTTGCATCTCATGCGAGTTCTCCTTGATGTCAAAGTCAAGTATGATTTCCCTCCCGTAGTTAGCCGCACATGCTGCACGCGCCACGCTTCCTGATATTTTATAGGTGAGCGATTGCAACAGCGGAACGCTGATGGTGTACTTGTCTAAGAACAGTGCCACATTGAACCTAAACGTTGATAGACGGTCCTTGATATTAATGGAATGCTTTGGCTTCTGCTCCTTCTTGGCTGGGAGTCTTTCGACGAGGTTGAGAACATGCGCGACTTCGTCTTTCAACAGCAGATCAAGAACCTCCATTAGGCCTATAGGATCCTCTTTGACTGCGAAGTTGAAGTCGCGACTGCTGGCAGTAGCCTTGACTGTTCGAATAGAGGCGTCGGAGGATTCCTGGAGCTCTTGTGCCACAAAAACCGTCGGGTCCACGAGTTGGAATGAGCTCATAGTCCGTGTATAACTCAGAAGATCAGATGTGACAGAGTTGCAGTTGAGAACCACATTCGACGAGATCGGCGCCTCTCCGTTGCCAGCATGCATGATGGCAGAGGCCTTGAAGTCACCAGTCACCGTATTAGACTTGAGATTGATCGTTTCAACTTCCAGAGATCCATGGGCCACCTCCACCACCAGGTGTAGATCCATAGGGTCTTTGGGCTGGTGCGTCGGCGCTGCTTCTGTTGCCCCCTTCGACTTTGCCGTAGTCGACACTTCGTAACCTGCATTTTCTTGACTGCGATTGTACAAGCGAAGGACATCATCAACGAGCTCACCCAGCTCCCAGTTGATATTGACGGCGGCCTCATCGCAGCAAATATTGAGAACAATGAGCGGCGCAGGCCCCTGGCTCCCGCTCAGGACTTGACTGTCAGGGCTTGGGATCTTCTTGTCAATCCTCGCAGCTATCTCCATGATCCCGACTTTGTTTTCCTTTGGGCCCGGGTCTAAGACAAACTGCAGCTCACTCAAGCTGCAGGCTCCAAGGAGGGCGTCCTGTGCCGCAGGAGCCTCGGGAGGATTGTCTGTGGGGCCAAAGACGCGTTGGAGCAAAAAGGAACCTCGGATATTCTCCAGATCCCATCCTCGCCAACGATGAAATTCCTCCTGGACAAAATCGACAGCATCTTCAGGAACTAGCGGGAAGTCGCCTGAGATATCATGCATAAATTCATTCCTTGAACGCGGGTCCATTGTACTCCAGATCTGGCGCAATCTCATAATGAGCTTCCACGAATCATACGTACGAAGATGATTCTGTACTGAGCGCAGGACGGCTGAGGGCCGAATCATGAAGGACGGGTCCTGCGTCGACGTTCCCTCTTTCAGCAATCGATAGGTGCAGTATTTGAGGCGCTCCTCGTGACGCCTGGACGTGTCTTCGATCAGTCGTCCCAATTCAGTGGCTAAGCGAGATGTCCGATGGATGAGGGAGGCCAGGTATTCGACCTTGCCCGAAGCAGAACTGCCAATGACGGAGCCAATGTCGACATCAAAATACGTCACTTCTTTAGCGCCCACAGAAACGGCGACATTGTCCACCCGGAACACCATGGCTGCCTGTGGCTTCTCGAGTGACGACAGCCTCTCAGAGGCCGAGACCTCAGCGGAGCCAAGCTGAAGGTAGAGTGACGTTTTGGAACCCACGGTCTCCTGATTCGAGGTGTCATCATGGCCCCTGCTTGTGCGGGTAACAAGGCCTAGCTTTGAGATTGAAAAGTCGTACTGATCTTCCTCCTGCTCAACTATGTTGGAAGAGCCGTCGATGGAAAATGAAGAGGTCAGGAAACGAATTCTAGCCTTTGGAAGCCTGATCATGAGGTCTGAAACGGACCCGTTTGTTGCCTTTTTCTTTGTCAAACTGGATATCTTTGATATGCAATTTTCCTGGAGAGAGTCCAGTATGTCCTCAGGCTCGACGGGCTGAAGAGCTGAGACAAGCTTCATTGCATATTTGATGGCCTCTGGCTTAATAAAAGCCGTGACGCCGGATGTGAATTCGATCAAGGTGCTCGAGTGAGCGTGGTCGTCGCTGAGTTGGTTTGGGTGGATATCTTCGAGCTGGGTTGCGTAGCCGCTCAGGAATTCATCTTCCTCATGGCCCACACTGCTGCCATCGTCGTCGTCTAATTGGGGTGCCTCCCGAGTATCCGGCTGAGCTCCTGCCAGAGCAAAGTGAGGTTCATAATACTGGCTAAAGAATGTCAAAGTAGGATGCTGGCTCTCTGCAACGCTGCCGTCGGCGCGTGCGCTATAGAATGATGAGCGGCAGTCAAAAGAGTTGGAGGCATCATCTCTGAAAGAGCTGCCGCGTGCCAGATCCGTAGGCCGTAAGCCGAATGTTGTTCTCGGATGACTTGATGAACGCCTCACACTGCGTGCGCTCGACCGAGACGAGAGGAACGACGTTTGGCGACGCAGATAATGTGACCTCCTAGAACTAGTAGCACTAGTCGTACTTCTGAAAGAGCTTCCGTCGCTTCCATTGTCAAGCAAGGGCTGCGGAGGAATCGGTACACCCTGAGCCGGCGGGTCCCCAGGCTCTGGCACAAACTCACCCGCATATTCCGGGATGATGAGGAATGGAGTGCGGTTCGTGCGTTGGTCCTCTCTCCGCACTAATTCCTGCTGAGTGTGGCGTTTTTGCGAGAAATGGAGTTTCCTCCCAACCACGGCAAGATGTACGTCTGTGTGCAGGTAGGCCTGGGTCTCCACTGGGCGTCCCGGGTGTGTCTTGTGTCTCGCCGCCGATTCGGAGTTCACGCATGATATCTGAATGTTGGGGATGTTGATATTGGCTCGGCTGGAGTAGTGCGAGCGGGCCCAGTCATTGGAGGATATTTCAATTGTGCCAGTTGACAGAAGAAACGCGGCCTCGTCTATATGAAGCCAGATGTTAATGGATTCAACAGCAACTCTTGCAAACGTCACATCGTCAAAAACGAGAGAGAAGTAGGGCACGAGTGCATTCTCGACATCATCAAAGGAGGACCCCAGAGCACCAAGTGTCCCGGCGAGCGCATGGATGAAATCCGAAATACACTCCCCCGACACTTTACCCACCGACACGTCCCAGTTGCACAAATAGGTGGGTTCCGTTGGTGGTATACCAAACAAGCGGTTTCCGAAGACTCGAATGCCATCTATGTAGAGCTGAGTGCTTGATGTCAAGCCGCCTGCCGAATCAACATCTGGTTCTGAGTCACTAAAAGACAGGTTGAGGGGGCTCAGGTCCACCTCCAAGTCCATGTAGTAGTTGGTGAATCGCAAATCGAGTGACAGGCTGGAGAGCTCGCCCTGTATATAGCGTTTGGGCGAATACAAGTTTGATGGGAGCATGAACTTGGGGTCGTTGATTTTGATGCTTAACATGACGTCCAAGTCATTGGATTTCTTGCTCGGCTGTCCAGTCCCTGCCTCGGCATCAGGGTTCTGCTCCTTGAGCTGGAGTTGTTCTTGGTACTCATCGAGGGTGCGGAAGTGAACGTGCTCGCCAAAATAATTATCCTTGAGCAGGAGGAAGTACCTGACGACAAAGCCGTACAGGTAGGTGTATAGCGAGTCGCCGTTTACGCTCAGAACCAGGGTATCCGTGTTCGCAGGTGATGTGGTTGCATGGTAATGGTAGCCACCCTCTACCACCAGGTTCTTCACCTGGCCCAACTCGCCAGAATGAGTAAAGGCAGCCTGTGTGCTCCATTGGGGCAAATGGAACGACAAGTCTACCCTGTCGCCGCGTATATCGAAAGGGATCGAGCTCTTTTCCGGTCGAAATGAGTCCAAGGCGATGGAGGTGCCCACGCATAACAGCGGGCTTGAAAGAATTATAAAGGAATTCTCGTCAAGAGCGCCTGGCTTGTCAATGATATTGGCCTCATTAACATTGACGAAAATCTTGGTGTTTTTCAACTGCAAGTTGAGGAGGTAGGTAAAGGGAACAAAGGTGAGGTAGTCTGATGGAGGTCCAGTGGTCCAGTCATCGATGAGGTCAATGAGTAGAAAAACGTGGTCGCGAAGGAGGTATAGTTCAAGATCGTCAAAATCAAAGTTGAAACGCCAGAGACGATGCGAGTTCCACGAAAGGGGGTTGGAGAGATCGCAACTCATGCGTTGAGGCCCGGATTTCCAGAGAATCCTCTGATTCACAACACTGCGTAATTCCGATCCTGAGAGATCAATGTTGAGTAAATTCTGGTACCCAGTTTCTGAAGCGAACATGTCCATATCGTAGGCAATTGTCGAATTTGCGAAGACTTTTGCCTCAAGCCAAGCAGCCGGTCGTTGCGGGCCAGCTTCTCCTTTGCCGTCTTTTGCTGCACGGCCCCGACGCTTTCGGCCGGCTCCAAGCTTGGGTTTCATATGCGTATCTTGGCCACGCCAGCGCCAGTTCTTTGACTGCTCTCGGAACGGGACCTTGACAGTCACAGTGTCTTCCAGCTCAATGAGGACTTTGAATTGAGTCGGAGCCCTCCATGACCCAGCTGGTATCGGTGTCGCCGCAGAGGCATCCTTGCATAGACTAGGAAAGAAGACGCGCTGAAGGTCGGCCCGTCGTCGATCAGCCCAAGGCCCATAGCTGACCGAACCTCCCTTGATGGAGAAGTCCATACCCCAGGCGGGAGCTTCTCCCCCATTCATATCGGTACGAAAGTCATGGCTCATATGGTGGGGTGCGACTTTCGTGACGGCGTCCCAGTAAACAGTCAGACTGGCAGCGGGGGAGTCTAGGATCGTGTTTTCGGCTGCGTACTCAATTGATGACCAACGAGCCTTATCGTCATTTTCTTGGTCGTCCAAATACCTTGACAGGCCCTGCCACTGCCCATCGCCAGGTATGCGCGAGGAAGGAGCCCCCTGAGAAGGCCCCGAATTCACTTGCATGGGGTTGAAAGGCCTTGCACGATGTAGCATCTTGCGCAAAAAGATGACGGTCTTGCGATAGCGGCGTCGGAAGAGGGTGGCTTTAGCAGCAGTCTGGACCGGGAGCTGGTTGCCAGTTGCACGCCCAGCTTGATCGCTCTTGAAGTCCTCGTTGTCCTTGAGCTCGATCACTGGGTGTTCGAAGTCGATTTTAAATACTTGACGATAAGGGTCGACAGTTTGAGTCTCTGATGCATCAATGTCGGCCGTCAGGTAGTCGGACTTGAATGTAAGGATGCCCTTGGTATTTTCATTTCCGATGACGGCTGCTGCCTTCTGACAGTAGATGTTAATAGGGAGGAGTTGGACGAGGAATGGCAAATCAGATCGCCTCCGAACCACGTCATCCTCTAAGGCGCTCCCTGAGCGAGAACTGGCACCGTCGCGGCTCTCTGGACTAGAGCTATCGTCGAGGGAGTGCTTCTCTGAGTCCCTGGTCTCGTTTTTGGCTCCGTTTGGCTCCCTAGTTAGCTCGGATGGGTCTCGGTGAGATCTTCGCGAGCGGAGACTCGGATTCGAATCATCTTTGGCTTCTGGGGCAAAGACATCTGCTGGCTGCAATCCTGGGTGGTCCGGCTTAGAGTCGGAGAGGCCTGCAAGAACCGAGTCGTAGGCGGGACTCCGATTGTAAACGAACCACTCGACGCCGATGAGGTTAACGCTGATGCGGCATGGACGTTTGGCGTTCTTATCTCTTCCTGGAACCGCACTCTCCTGGGGGCTGTCGGCAACAACGTCCACTTCTCGGACTCTCCTGAGCCAATATCGCCATGTTACGTAACCGTGTTGGACCAAGAAGGTCTCATTAGAGCCGTGGTACCGCAGGCCGTGGAAGAAGATTCGCCCTCCAAGTAGAGATATTTGTATTGCACCAATGTCAATCCATATCTTATGCTTGTGCCAGGACCATGTGCGGATTCCGTATGAGACTATCGAGGCGAAGAGTCGGTTGAAGTAGAGAAGGAAGAAAAATGACAAGGCTGCACTGAGCAGCATGAATATGAGGAATTTGCTAGATATATTGAGAGTGGTTAGATAGAGGTTTGTAGAAGATGGGGGTCTAGGTGTACATCATACTAGTTGAAATCCAGGTGCCTCTCGTCCCTGCCGACCAGGCCGTCGTGAACAACCATTGTCGTTGACATGGTGTTTGGCGGGTTCTTGGATGTCGAGGTAAGAAGAGGCGTCGCGCCAGTCGCGAGGGGTTCATCGATCAAATTCGGTGCTAGTCGGATGCATGTTTATGGCTGCATCACGTTCTAAGGGAGAATGCGACAGCGAAGCCTACTCCCTTGGTCTCGAGGACTTCGATTCGAGATGCAGTCGAAATGTGGCCGAGGAAGGAAGCTCCTTCTGTACTATCACGCGGTAGTGAAGTCGCGACTCTTCATCGTCACTGACGCACGCCGCTGGAGATCTAGGGGCTGTAGCGGTCAGTGCCACTGTAGCTGTATTTAGATCAACGCCCGCCTAACCTACAGCGACCTACAGTGCTCATGGCGGGGCTGAGCGAACTATTCCAGGGGGATAGAGGGGGACAGCTTCAGTGGTATCCAAAGCTCTCCAGGACTTAGAACGCCTGAAATGCGTCCGTTCAATGCCCTGTCGTCTCCATCGCACGGAAATTGCAGTGAATGCATTAACGGTAAACGTCACCGAAACTAGCCCGTGACAGGAAAATATCAAGTCATCTGGCCATCAGGCCGCCTCTCCATCCGTTCCCAACATATTGCTATTATATCATATTTCGACAAAGCCCAAGGCGTGTCACCAGATTCCCGACGACTCTTGGCCATGATTTAGTCCTCGAACCCCCCCTCCCCCCCCCTTAACCCGACATTTCAAGTTGGCCTGCTACTGCTGGTGCGCGTCGTCATCATGGCGGAAGGAGGTACAGGCCACAAGCTCACCTATGCCACAACGGTGGTGTCGGGCGTTGCATCCATCGTCGCAACCCTCATGTCCATGGTGTACGTCTCGTCATGACTGTCCGTCATCGGTGTGTATGCCCGACAGTGTAAGCTGACAGAGACTCCAAAGCTCCATCTGGCTCCAGTCGAAGAACTATCGCAAACCACTACTGCAACGCTATGTCGTCCGCATCCTCCTCATGGTACCCATATACTCGATCTCGTCATGGACGAGCATGGTTTCTCTAAACGCGGCCGCCTTTCTCGATCCCATCCGCGACATGTACGAAGCCTTCACCATCTACACCTTCTTCCAGCTCCTCATCAACTACCTGGGCGGGGAGCGGTCGCTTATCAACATGACCCACGGAAGAGCCCCCGTCCAGCACGTCTGGCCTCTTAACCAGGTGCTGCCCAAGGTCGATATTTCCGACCCGTATACATTCCTATCGATCAAGCGTGGTATCTTGCAATATGCGTGGCTGAAACCCATTCTCGCACTTGCCGCCATCATCATGAAGGCCACTGGCACATATCAGGAAGGCTATATTGCAGCTACCTCTGGCTATTTCTGGAGTGGCATCATCTACAACGTCAGTGTCACTGTCAGCTTGTACTCTCTGGGCCTTTTCTGGGTCTGCATGCACCACGACTTGACGCCCTTCAGGCCCATGCCCAAGTTCCTGTGCATCAAGCTCATCATCTTTGCCTCCTACTGGCAAGGCTTCTTCCTGTCCATCTTAGTCTGGCTGGGTGCAATCCCCGATGATGTGCCGGAGTATACCCCGGACAACATTGCTGCTGCCATCCAGGATGCCCTCATCTGTATCGAGATGCCCATGTTCGCCGTCGCCCATTGGTACGCCTTCTCATGGCATGACTTTGCTGATAACAACATATCATCGGCAAGACTTCCCGTCGTCCATGCTTTCCGCGATGCCTTTGGCATTCGGGACCTCATTGAAGATTCTAAGGAGACATTCAGGGGTGACAACTATGGCTACCGTATTTTCGACTCCGGAGACAAGGTCATGGCCCACGAGGACTCCAAGTCCCGCCTGGCGAGGCTCCGTGAAGGCATGCGGTATGAGCGAGGAGGCAAAGGGAAGTACTGGATTCCCAAGCCTGGTGAGACGAGTACGACGACGCCGCTCCTGGGGTCCGGCAATGGGGCTGCAGGATCCAGTAGAAGCGCTCCGCTGGACTATTCCAATGATAGCATCCACGGGACCTTTGATGAGCCTGTGTTAGACCCAGAGGAGGATCGCATGTATGATGCTGCGCGAGAGTTGGAATACGGTGATTGGAATGTGTGTATGCTGCCAAATCCTACGTCTCAAACAGACTAAACTAACATCCACTCACAGTACCCCGTCATCACGGCCAATGAACCTCTAGGGGAACGCTACCTGTCGTCTGCAGGAAATTTTGGTGTCAGAGCCCCCAGATACCCATCACCGCAGCTGCGGACTTCTACAACAAGAAAGACTCCCTCCCCAGGTTCACAGCTTGCCGGTGGTAGCTCTAATTCTATCACAGCTGTTCCGGTGAAGAAAAAGGCGAAGAAAAGCAAGCAAGCAAGCAGGAAGGTTGTCAATGACGTCGTCACCAGTCCCAGTCCGATTATGGAGTCGCCAGCGTCACCGGCATTGGCATCCCCCTCCATCGAAGAAGGCCCTTCAATAGCCGAGGCCACGCCTTGGGCGTCATCCGAACAGGTTCAGGCCGAAGAGGAAGAACGGAGTAACTACGGCGTATCGGGATACCAAGTGGCGAATAGCGATGAATTCCGCAATGTCTGGGGAGGAGAAGAGCCGACCAAGTAGTACTGTGAAGTGGCTGAAAAAATGAAACAAATCTATCATATGCCCTGCAATTCTTGGAGCGTTTGGCATAATAGCGTGGAGTTACAAATAAATTACTATACAATTCGGGGGGGTTTTTTTTTCAACCAAATGCTGTCAGGGCGAAAAGGAATCTACTATGTACATACAACGAAACACCATTCCCTCCTGCTCGCGTACACACGAACACTCTGGTGCTATTGCTCTAATACCGCTTGCGTCTTTCCAAGATCCAGATGTAGTCATTTGGAAGAAGACCAAGACGAGACGAGCTTACGGGACTCCTCGCGGGATAAGGAAGCAGGGCTGGCAGGGACAGGACCAGTGGTCCAGTTGGCAGGCGTGGCACCGAGGACGAAGTCGAGTGAGCCTCCGTTGGCGAAGACGTCGTCCCACGTGAGCCATGACTTGTTCCAGGCTATGCCGTTGACCTCGAGACTCTGGACGTAGAATTCGGCCTCGCTGCCGCCCTTGGTAGTGACCTCGAGCTTCTTGCCGGCCCCGAGATCGATGGTGAGGTCGGAGAACCAAGGGGAGCCGATGTAGAAGTAGGGCTGGCCGGTCATGGGGTACAGGCCGATCATGTTCCAGAGGAGCCAGGACTCCATGGCCCCGGCGTCCGAGTTCCCGGGGAGGCCGGCCGGGGTGGGCGCATAGTAGGATTTGGCGACGTGGCGGCTGCGCTGGACGGACAGGTCCTGGCGGTTGGCGTAGGCGTACAGGTAGGGGGTGGTGAAGCTGGGCTCGTTGCCCGGGTTGAAGATCGTGTAGCCGTACTCAGCATTGTCACTGACCATGCCCTCCTTGAAGGTGAGCTCGAGACGCTCGACGAACTTGGCCGCGCCGCCGACATAGTCGACAATGGTGCCGACGTCGTGGTGCGCGTTGAACGAGTACTCCCACGGCTTTCCCTGGTAGTAGGCATCGGTCCAGTAGCAGCCGCCACAGTTCAGGGGGTCCTGGCTGATGAAACCAGTCTCATCACGGGGGCCGACGAAGCCGCTCACCCCGTTCGTCGTCATGTTCTCGTTCCAGTGGTTGCGCCAGTTTTGAGACCGCTTGTAGTACTTGTCGAAGTCGTCATCGCGACCGAGGCCGGCGGCCACAATGGCCAGGGAAAAATCGTTGACGGAGCTGTGTGCACGGCAAGTGTCAATGAGAAGCAAAGGGGATGAAGAGGGCCTAAGGAAAAGGGGCTTATGCTTACTACTCCACGGCCCTGCTGACGGAACGACCGAAGCGAGGGGTGATGTAGCCCAGGCTAAGCCAGTCGGGCAGAGCGCTGCGTCCCTCCTTGGTCGAACCGGACAGGTCGCGCGCGTCGTTGTTGTTGACGGGCACGACCTCGGCGTTCTTGACCATGGCAGAATAGGCGTCGTCCCAGTTGACCTTGCCTCTGACGCCTTTGATGAAGGCGTCAGCGAAGACGTTGTCGCCGTTGCTACCGCCCTGGACGGCGCCGTTGCTGAAGGAAGACCTCGCGTCGGACACCCATCCGGTGTGGCGCCAGGCGTCGATCATAGAGCGGATGAACTCCTCGTAGTACGTGGGTTGGATAATGTGGAGGAGCGGGGTGAGGGAGCGGTACTGCGATGTTGACATGTGAGCTTGCGGTATCCTTTACTGGTGGTATGTAGTCTTAGCACTCCGTCTGGGGGGATGATTGAACGTACAATGTCCCAAAAGGTAAAGATGTCGTCGTAGTAGGGCTCATCCGACTGCCAGAGAGGATTCTCGCCCGTCTTGTTGGTGGGGAGAAGGTGCATAAAGTAGAGGGCCGAGTAGAGCTGGTTGAGCTTGGTGGTGTTGGTCTCGGTGGTGATGACCTTGTTGAAGACCTGCGTGTTCCAGGCTGCCTTTGTGTCGTCACGAACCTCGGAGAGGGTAGCCTCCGCAGGGATCTCGTCTTCGACATTGCGGCAGGCCTGGTCCGCGGAGATGAAAGAGACACCAACTCTGGATGCAACGGACACCGTCTTGAAGGTGAAGACGACGCCAAGACGAGCAGTCTTTGACGTGTAGGTCGGCTTATCGGAGTATTCGACGAGGGTGTCCGAAGTCATGTCCTGGCCGATGAAGGTCCGGTACGTAGCAGGCTGATTAAACTTGCCGCAAAAGTATACGGTCCAAGGGGCAGCACGATTCCAGCCCTGTACATGTATGTACGTCAGCTACGGACACCATCCTCCCTTCCCCCCCTTTTTCGGGAACGATATGGAACAGGGGGTCAGAGCCAGAGCAGTAGGTTACTCACATTATCGTAGGTTCCATGCCCAGTATAGTACAGGTTTCCAGAGCCGTCGCTGGTATCTTCGTGGACGGAGATGTTGCCGCCCAGGAAGTGCTGCTCGAGGCCTTGGCCACGGTACGAGGACAGAACGTGCGAGACGTCGACGAGGATATTCTTGGTTTGGTTGGTAGACGGGAAGGTGTAATTGTAGATGCCGGCCTTTCCCGTGGCAGCCATCTCGAGGATCGTCCCGGAGCCCAGCGAAGCCTTGTAGTAGCCGACCTCGGTATAGTCGCGGGCGGCCCGCGTGTCGTTGATGGCGTCGCTGAGGGGGTTGTCGATGCTGCCGACAACAGGCATCTGGGACACGACACCGTACTTGGGGGCACCGCCAGTGCCGCTCTCATGTAGCATGGTAAACCCGGTGAACTTTCCGTCCTCCTTGTAGCCCGAGTAAGCGTCGAATCCATTGTACAGGTCAGGGCCTAGCTTGACTATACCCAGAGGTCGGGCAACGCCAGGGAATGTATTTCCGTTCTTGATGGATCCCGTCTACAACACACAGAGATTTCGGAACAATGGTCAGTCTTGGGTCAATCAACGGAGACCGAAGGAGGTGCCGCCACGTCAGGGCGCAACCTGTTCATCACTCACATCGGTCAGGGCATACTGGGACAGGTCACCATGCTCGGCTGCCTTTGCCGTCGCAAACGACATCGCGAGGCTCAACAGAACGTTGTTGGACCACATTCTTCTCGACGGGAACTGACACAGGCATATTCATACGACGAGCAGCCGATTGTCGACATGATGGAATCGCCAGTTGCAGCAAACGGGTTTCTTTTTTATAACATCACTACATCCATAATGGGCTACTGCCCGTTCCCCCGAGGCAGAGACAGCCGCCCGCTGCCCTCCTCAGCAATGCCTTCCTTGGCTTGGCGGGGGAAGAACGAGAGAACTTTCAGCTTCCAAGTGAAAATTGCTCATTGTCCAACGTGCAGGGGATGGAATGATGAGTGGTTCAAACAGAAAGCCATAGGGGATCCCGTGGGTCGTGTGGGTCGACCATTCGCGAGATTGACCAGGACGATCCGGGGTGCGCATGTAACTTCAGGTAGCAGGGGTACTACGGAGTATTACTGATACTAATGTTCAATCCCTATGTACGAGTAGTTAGATATACGAGGCTGGGGATTGTACGTGTGTTTTTTTATAGGAACCGTATTGAGGAGAAGCTACAGAGGTATATTTGGTTACAGCAATGATAGTATGCAGAAGCGGCCGGCTTGTTTTCGTCTCGTTTGATGTTGCTAATGATACCAAGAGCCAAGGCTGATGGTGGTGTGATGGTGTTGCGGAATTCAGGGAAGATTTGGATTAAGGGCGGAGTGATGGCATGGCTGTTCTGATTACTCACTATTTGCTTCCCTTTAATCGTACGAGTACTAAAATAGTTGGTATTACTACTCGAATAATACTGTGTACTCTACATATCACGACGTGTATCAAACACCAGCAACAGGGGGCTAAGACTTGGTTCGCTACGAATGGGGAAGGTATTGGTACGGCACGTTTGCTTCTAGCTGGGTATTGGTCTTGACATGGGCTGGGCAGTATATCGGCTTTCTGTGGGTACAGAGGAACAGCTTCCTTGTAATAGATGGACGAACTATTTCCTGTATGAAACCATGCACATCGAAATCGATGGGTTGCTTGCATCAGTAGTCAGGAACGGTCGCAGTAGAACGTCGCAAGAGTCGTATCGCGTATGCAGGCGGTTGGCGGTTGTCGTTGTGGGTCTGTCTGTCTGTCTGTCGATTTGATTGATGGTGGCACTTTCGCATCACTTTTGAGGGCGTCGAAAAGTTCATTCCCATCCGTATTCATACCTGTAAGGAATTGAATCTAGAATGTACGGAGTACATGAGGGGATTTGCAAGGGGAATTTGTGGGCGTCTGATAATTACGCCAGCCCTATTTAGTTATTTTGCGGAGAAACTTCGCTATCTGCCTGTGCCTGATGCCCGTAAATCTCACCAATGGGATCGTCTCGCATTCGCATCCGAAGTAAGAGCGCGGCGACCGACGGCTAACGTAAGAATATTAATCCGGCGGTCAGCCTACATATAATTTTGTCCAGGCGGTGTGAACAATTTCGTCGGTGAAGGAGGGCAGAATTTCTACACCATCGCCATTGATTCAACCATCCCACCTTTCAAGCAAAGAAATAGATCTCCCTCGTTCCTCGACGTGTTGCTTTGGGCCAGAGCACCCACCACCTCCCCCCCTCGCGGAGGCCACGAGTGACTATCTTACTGGAGGAAGAAGAAAAGCCAGACATCTGTCCTCCCCTCCCGTCGCAATGGGTCGCAAGCCGAACCCCCTCATCCTCGAATACTTCGTCCGCGGGCCCAAGCTCAACGACAACAGCAATCGGTACCCTCACACCTGCAAGCAGTGCGGCGAGAATTTCCCCAAGGGCCGCATAGACAGTCTGACGACGCACATCACAAAGAAATGCCCTGCCATCTCAGATCCGGATCGCATGCGCGCCTGCCTCGAGCTGCATGGCATCACCAATGCGAGAGCTGCGGCTGCGGCAGCCGGCGGTGGGCCTGACCGGAATGGGCTACAGTCCGCCACCTCGCGCCAGGTACAGAACCTGCCTCAGGGATGGAGTGCCCTCGAGACGCTGGCCGAGGCCTCGCGTCAGGTTGATCTCAACGAGAACAGCCGTGGCGGTCCCAAGGCGTCTTCTCCCTCACATGAGCTACCGAGCCCCACCAGCCCGACCCTGGTCAATGGTGGGGACCCTGCCAACGCCGACTTCAACGCCGACCGCCTCGAGATGCAGGAGCAGTTCACCCTCGATAACCCTCCGGGATCCTACTACGGGCGCGTGCGCAACGGGAGGAAGGGTGAAGACCACCGCCCTACCATGGCAATCCGTTGGTTGACAAGCAAGCTGACACCCTCTTTTCGGCAGATGAAACTCCACCTCCGGCTGGTCTGACCCCCGAGGAACGATTGCAGGCGCTGCTGCCGGGAAGTACCTCGTCCCCGGATGCGTCAAACATTTCGGTTGCTGTTGCTGCCACTGCGCGACTGAACCCATCGTTCCTCGATCCCCAGCTCGTCGAGGAAGACACTCCCATGCACGAGGCGACTCCAACCCCGGCAGAAGAACCGCAGGTCGTGGACACGGCGCCGACGGCAGATTCGACGATGCACACGCACACGCCCACGCCCACGCCCACGCCTGCGCCTGCGCCCACGCCCACGCCTGGACCGGAACTCAGTCCGGTCGTCGCCTCTCAGCAGCCGTGGGGGGAGATGACGTACCTCGCCGAGGCACCAACGCCCAATCCCATAATGACCGAGGCGCCGCCGATTGCCCCGATGCCCATGAGCCGCGGTGGCATTCGGATGGACACGAGCGACGGATCGATAAACGGTCGGCCGCGGCACTCTCGGGCGCGGTTCACCCCCGCACGGCGGAAGGAAGTGCAGGAGGTGCGCAAGATTGGCGCATGCATTCGGTGCCGGATTCTGCGCAAGAATTGCGGGCGGGGCGACCCGTGCGATACATGCCGCAAGGTGCTCTCGCCGCGTGTGTGGCGGACGGGATGTGTGCGGACGCGGCTCCACGAGCAGCTAGACCTGTACTCTGCGGGCGTCCAGGTGGTGCTATCGCAGAACAGGATCAACCTCCTCAAGGAGCAGATGCGGCCGTTCAATGACGGGACGACGATTCAGGTGACGCACTTCCCGGACACAGACATGTACATCAGCGCGCCGACGCTGGTGGCCATGCTGGAGCCAAGCGAGGCGCAGGCGGCGGCGCGCGACAGCAAGGAGCCTTTCCACCAGGTCATCATGATCGACCAGGAGGCCAAGGACATCCCCGATAAGATCGAGCAGTATATGCGAGCGGCGCTCCCGCTACTGGTGGAGCGCGAGGTGTCCAACTTCATGCGGGTGACGCTCCAGGCAGCCCGGCAGCGCCTGGCCGACAACGAGGGCGGTAGCGGCGAGAGCGGCGACGGCCTCCTCGAGAAGGCCCTCGAACTGTGGGGCCTGGTCGAGATCATCGACCGCGAGCGCCAGTGGACCTTCCTCGAGAAGCCCGGCGCCGAGGGCGAGGAGCCACGCCTGATCCGCGAGTCGTCGCAGGGCGGCGGCAACGACACCGACATCTACACCATGATCTGCATGCAGCTCAACGCCGCCGCCGAGCGCAAGGCCAACAACACGTCCAAGGCCCTCCTCAGCCTCATGCACCGCCTTCTCCAGGACAGCAAGGCCCGCATCGACTTCAACATGTTCCTCACCGCCCTCATCTTCCTCAACTGCGTCGAGAAGTCCACGTGGGCCTTCAAGGCGTGGGAACAGCAGCACCTGCGGCCCGGGTGGCCCCTCGAGAGGGACCCCAGCGCCTTTACGCAGCAGGGCGCCAACCTCGCCGGTCTGCTCCGCATGCTCCTGGGCATCCGGAAGGCGATGCCCCACACCGCTCGTAGTGATAAAGGGAAACTTATCGCTACAGACGACAATCCCGAGATTGTTGCTTTTTTCAACAGCCTTGACCTCGACTGTACGTATCTTCTTCCCTCCTCTTCCCTCTCTTTCCTCTTTTTTTGCAATTCATGTTATATCTTGTTCTTTATTTGTCCTTTCATGTTTTCAGTATAAAGCCTGACTTGTTATAGATGACGCCGTGGTTTCTCAGCAAAGAGACACACAATTCTCACCCCTAGACTCGCGATCCCTCGAACTCACCTTTTGCTCTTCTCTCCTCCTACCGAATTGAAGGACGCGATCGGAGATTTCCACCCCTCTTTCAAGAAAAGAAAATGTTGTCAATCTGACTGACAGATGTTCCTTCCTCCCCTCCTAATGTATTAACGACTGAATGCGCGCATGAGATATACACATCCAATCTTTTTTTTTTTTTGATATTTTCCAACATTGTCAAGAGACACTTTAAAGAAAGAAAGAAAAGACAGATAGAGAACAGAAGGCGCGAAAGAAGAACAACACACGAGGGAAATGCTCAAGCTTTGTTAGTCAATCGGCGTTTTTGAGGGCCTTTTATGGAAAGAAAAGAGAAAGAAAAGAAAAGGAACAATAGAAAACGAAAATGATACCTCACGGCTTCATGAGAAAATCAAAAGAGAGCAATTTTCACGGCAGAATGTGGCAACGAAGAAAAAGGGCTTTTGCATTGTAAAAAAATGGAGTAACAAGACCATGTTGTTAACATGAATTTCATGAATGATAGGAGGACTGGCTAGCTCGCAGTCGAGAGACCGCTGTCTGTCCTGGACGGGCCCTGACCAGGCGGTCTCTTGAGCTTCTTGAAACAGGCAAACTCATTCTTGCTCGCGTCTCGCAGCTTCTTGAGCACGCTGCGCATCTCGGGAAGCTCATTCTGCAGCCGGGCGCGGGCGTCGTTGTCCGTCCGGCTGTCGAGCTCCTGGTAGATCTGGCTCTGGAGCTCTGAGGCCCGGTCCGTCGTGTACTGGCTGAGGGTCTGGGCTACGAACTCGACGTCGAGGGTGGCCTGCATGAGGGCCTCGAGAGGGTAGTGGGGCCTCTTGCGGAAGGCGTCGAGCAGCTGGCTCGACGTCTGCTCCAGCAAGAACGAGAGAACCTGCGACGTGAGCGAGGGCGACGTCGTTGATACCTGCGAATGCACCAGCACCAGGCTCAGGAGCGCCTCGTACACATACGCCTTGGCCGACGTGGGACGCTGCCGCGGCGGGGGCACCCAGTCCGCAGCCGTCAGCCCCGTCTGGATCGTCTCGCGCAGCTTCTCGATCGACTTCTTGGTGTACGACTGGAAGAGCCGCGCATCGATCTGGCCCAGCACGTCGCGGATTGTCTTGGACTCGTCCGTCAGCTTGACCGAGAAGGCGTTCTCGAACTGCAGGTTGAGGTTGGGCACCACTTCCGCCCGGAGTGCTTGCAGGTTGCTCAGTGTCAGGAGCATGCGAATGTTCTGGTGCCATGTGTCAGTCATATGTGTACAGCAGGTGAAACAAGCGGAAAAAGAAAAGAAAGAATAGAAAGGATTTACTCGGTCTCCAGCATCAAGGGTGCTCTTGCTAAGAAGAGTCTCCGTGACAGGCGCAGCGGTCGACCATTCACTCTCGGTCGACCACTCATCGTCGGGTTTCTTGAGGGACCGTTCCGCGTTCTCGACCATTCCGCTGAGCGCCTTATAGAGCGTTGTGACGTACTGGCTGCGGACCATCTGCAGGAGCTTGGCCGGTGGCGGCAGCACAATGTTGACGGCGCCGGGCTTGCCCATGGCGTCGGGCATGTAGAGAATCTTCTGCATGCCCAGCAGCATCGTGCCCTCAAAGGCTGAGAAGCTTGAGGGCATGCGGGTGACGTCGCCGAGCTCCGCGGACCTCTGCCAGTCCTCAACATACTTGATATTCTCTGCGTCGCGGTTCCACGCCGCACAGAGGGCCGTGACGCAGCGCTCACGTGACGCCCCGACGAGCGACTTGAGCCGCTCCGTCACCTGGATATCGCCCTCGGCCACGGGGCCGATGCTGCCCATGTCAGAAGCGCCCGACCCGACAAATACGAGCATCTTGGATAGGTAGTAGACGCCGCTGAGGGAGTTGGCCCACGGCGGCCAGAAGGCGAGCTTCTCCCACGTCTCACCCCTCTTAGGCGCTGGGGACGGCAGGCTGTTAGCGTCAAGGTTGAAACGAGGGTCGCGGACAGTCGGGCTCAGAGCCCCTGAGACAGGGGTCGTGGGTGACGGGCTCGTGGGTAGTGGCGAGAAGAGCATCGAAATGTCCTCGGGCGGCGGCCCGACAAAGAAGGCGTATATGTGGTCACGCAGCGTCTCAACAAGCTGCACGGAGCCCTTCTTTAGATCCTCGATAACCTTGTCCGACAGCTGGTGGTGGACGCTGGATTCGCCGTTGTAGCCCATGGGCAAGGTCGCCTGGGCCGTTCCATCGATGAAGCTCTCGACTGTCTGCCAGAAATCGAGCACCTCTCCGAGTATTCCCGACGACGACAGCATGTTGGACAAGAAGGCCAGCATCTTCTCCCACAGCTCCAGCACCTCGGCCGAGTCGCTCGCGATGGGCCTGTCCTCGGTAGGCTGCCGCCCAAGAGAGCGCAGGTGGGTTGCGATGGCATACGAGGTTGGCTTCTCCCCGTTGGCCAGGCGGCGACGCAGAACTTCGATCTCGACCTTGGACCGATCGGCAGTGGTTTGAATCTTGCTCTTCAGGTAATCGTAGTGGCTCAGCAGCCAGACCCAAATGGGGTTGTCGGAGACGCCGAGCTCGAGGAGGAGGTTGATGAGGTCCATGTGCTGGTCCTGGACCCGACCCGTCGTCGCCTCCGACTTGGGGAGCGAGTGCAACGAAATCAACTTCTTCCATATATCCCGCTTGAAGTTTTGCACCTGTTGCTCAACGTCGTGCCACATCCGGCCTGCCAGCAGCATCTGATAGACTTCTTCATCCGCGGCCGCCTTTCCCTGAAGGCGGGCGGCCATGGTGCGCGTCGCATCGGCAAACTTTCTGGCCCGGTTGTACTCCTCCACCAGCGTCTCGTAGTCCTTGCGTTTGATGCTATCGGCTATGGCAGCGGGCAGCTCCACAAACTCCCTGAACCGGTCTAGCTGCGACGAAAGCGCCTTGAGCGTCTCCTCGGTCTCGCGGCCGCCGAGCGCTGGGCCCCAGACATCCTCGGCCTTGGCGGACACGTCAAGAAGTGGCGCCTTTATTCCCATGACACCATACTCGCTCTCCTTGATCAGGGCGTTCTTCTTTCGGCTATCGCCCATGGGGGATGTGAGGGGGTTCTGGAGACTGGGCACGCCCGCGCTGCTGTTGCGGTAGCTAGCTCGGCTGAGATGACGTGAATGACGTGTCGGAGCCGGCTCGACACCGCGAAACTTCATCTCCTTGTATACATTGTCGATTGTGGCTTTGGCCTTGACGAAGCGCTCAAAGTTGGACTCGACAAGGACCTTGAGCGAGGCTGACTTCTGGTCGATGGACTGGGAGAGGAAGTCGAGACCGCTGAGAAGCGTTTGCGTGTCGGCTGTGGCGTGCACCTGTGAAAGAAACAGGGCTGGTGAGAAGCTGGTTGACGATAGAAGAAAGCGGTTTCCTGCGTAAACGCAACAGAAGAAAGAGACGAGGTCAGTCACGGGAGTCTTCTTCCTCTCGCAGGTCGGTCACATCGGGCATAGACCTACGCAAGCGGATGTCGTCGTGCGGCAACCCCATTGCCTTGAGTGACTGGACAACACTGTCCGTGGACCCCATGGGATCCGGCTCGTCTTTCTGAACCAAGTTCCCCAGGCCTCCCTTGCCTCCCTCTGAGCCTCTGACATAGCTGCTCCTCCGCTGGGTGCTGGTCGCCCGCTCAAGCGCCTGGTACTGTGACTTGCGTCGTTGCAGCTTCGTACTTGACGCCTTCTTACGCGACGTCTCTGCCTCGTCCCCGGAAGATTGCGAATCGTCCTTATCCTTGGGCCATTCCGACGGGAATGGTGTGGATAACTGGTAGAAGTCCAGAATGGCGCGCTCTTGGTCAGCCATGGCGCAGGGCGTCAGTCGATTTATGTCGGCCTCATTCTATGATGGCGAGAGTGTCGTCAAGGATTCCGTAGGGGAGATGTAGCAACAGATTCCCACTTGATGACACTGTAAGGAGAGTTTGTTGCTATTGGTCGTTGTCGGAAACAATATATGTCCGTCAATGATAGATGCGACCAGAGTGATACAAACTACTGCGTCAATGGTTGGAGCAGTACATACATGTACGTGTGTCTGTCGAGCCACATCTGAATTAAGCCACACGATAACAGCAAGCCACATATCGACAAGCCTCATATACAAGATCAGCCACAAAGTCAGCCACATACATGACTTCGGAAATCCAGAACGGAGCTCCGACGGATCCGAGCGAGACCGAGCAAGAGATCAAGGCCAAAGCCGGCGCTCGCGGCGCTGTTACAGCCGGCTCTCCACTAAGGCCTGGCTCTTTGTGCCGAGAAGCTCCAGTAATAGCAGAGTGCCAGAAGCTCTCGACGCCAATTCTTATTACGCGCGCTTACTTTATTACGTTCATCTTTTTTTTCTCACTCTCTTTCCCTCTCTAATAAATCGTCTTCCATTGGTTTGCGGTCTTGTCTCTTTTTGTTTCTTAACATTCTCTCCATCACCTCTCCCTCCAATTGAACAACAAAAAACCCCCCGTCGTTCAATATGCTGAGCCTCCGTACCTTTGCCAGCCCTCTGCCCAGGCAGTGCCTGCGCACGGCTGCTCCTCGTTTCGCCTTCTCTGTACGAAGTCACCACCAACCCACTACCAAGCATTCTGCGCCCGCGTACGAAGAGAGATCATGAACTAACCTGAAGAAAACTGATTAACAGGCCCAGCGTGCATACTCGACCGTTGGCGAGCGTGTTGCCAAGTACGAACCCACCAAGGACTCAAAAGTATATTTCCTTTTCTTTTCTGCAGACCCTCTCTTACCTAGGTCAATTGACTCTGTTGGTCGTGGTGGGCAGTCATGGTGGTTGAGACCTCCCAGAGACCTCGGTTATGGTCGAGGATAAAATCACTCAGACAACATGGCCGCTCTCTCATTGGGAGTCCCACACACCCAGACCCGGCCTGATCAGAACCCAAGATGGACTTCTTCCGAGCATAGCCAATGTAGATCGATGTTAACCCGTTCGTGCCTCTTCTAGGGCAACCACCTCGTCAGCTTCATCGAGGGTGACGGTATCGGTCCTGAGATTGCCGAGTCTGTCAAGGACATCTTCGCCGCCGCCAAGGTCCGTTCAACTCTCTATATATCCTGCCTACAAACGAAGACCGACGACAGCAACTCGCGTCATGAATGAATCAATTTCCTAACATGCATCTAGACCCCTATCGCCTGGGAGTCTGTCGACGTGACGCCCATCATCAAAGATGGCAAGACGGCCATCCCCGACGACGCCATCGAGAGCATCAAGAAGAACAAGGTGGCCCTCAAGGGACCCCTCGCCACGCCCGTCGGCAAGGGCCACGTATCGCTGAACCTGACGCTCCGCCGTACCTTCAACCTGTTCGCCAACCTGCGCCCCTGCCGCTCCGTCGCCGGATACAAGACCCCCTACGACAACGTCGACACGGTCCTGATCCGCGAGAACACCGAGGGCGAGTACTCCGGCATCGAGCACGTCGTCGTCGACGGCGTGGTGCAGTCCATCAAGCTCATCACCCGCGAGGCCTCGGAGCGCGTCCTCCGCTTCGCCTTCCAGCACGCCGAGTCCATCGGCCGCAAGAAGGTCAGCGTCGTCCACAAGGCCACCATTATGAAGATGTCCGACGGCCTCTTCCTCAGCGTCGGCCGCGACGTCGCCAAGGACTTCCCCAACATCCAATTCGACGCCGAGCTCCTCGACAACACCTGCCTCAAGATGGTCACCGACCCCAACCCCTACAACGACAAGGTCCTCGTCATGCCCAACCTCTACGGTGACATCCTCTCCGACATGTGCGCCGGCCTTATCGGCGGCCTCGGTCTCACCCCCTCCGGCAACATCGGTGACGAGTGCTCCATCTTCGAGGCCGTCCACGGCTCCGCCCCCGACATCGCCGGTAAGGGCCTCGCCAACCCCACCGCCCTCCTCTTCAGCTCCATCATGATGCTCCGTCACATGAGCCTCAACGACCACGCCAACCGCATCGAGAAGGCCATCTTCGAAACCCTCGCCGAGGGCAAGACCCTCACCGGTGACCTCGGCGGTAAGGCCAAGACATCCGAGTACACCAACTCCATCATTTCCAGGCTGTAAATCAAGCGAAACCTCCCGTCCTTTTTTAGTGAGAAAAGAAAACCCACACATTACACCACTTCCCTTCTTCTCTATTTTTTTTCCTCTGTCACACCCACACCTCCAATCTTTTTTCTTCTCTCTTCATCACCAATGAGAGAGAAAGCTGTTAGAGAAAACCAATTCCCAAATTATACAACAACCTCGCCTTGTTTCACGCCGTTCGTGAGAAGCATTGAACATCTTGGGAGCACTTTTTTTTTGTATGCTATCCCATGAGTTTTTGTCATCATTTTCGTCCCTGTTTTTGTCCTCTTGTTATTGCATCGTGATGGAGGGATTATTGCATCGTGATGGAGAGAGTGAGAAAGAGATCCGGGGGGGGGGGGGGGGGGGGGGCAAGCATGGAAAGAAAGAGATGGAAAACCCCTTATGCCAAAAAGGGCCATGTACCACTTGTAAACNGGGCAAGCATGGAAAGAAAGAGATGGAAAACCCCTTATGCCAAAAAGGGCCATGTACCACTTGTAAACGGCGCCATGAAGTTGTTTCTACTACTAGTTTAGTCCCAATGAAACCGAAGTTGGATAGCTCTTTTTTCCCTTTTCCCTGTTTTCTTTGAATTCCTCGTTCGGTCCTCTTTCATATTCACTTGCATGATTAATGTTCACTTACATGATTATCTATACAGCATCTCTCATGCGTGCTTGGAATCTGGGGGTGGAGCTCGTGATAGTCCAACCCTGGACCTCAAATTGAACAGCAGTCATTACTAATTCGTGGAGTGCAACAATTCGCTCAATTCGGAATGATAATAAAGCGGAAATAATAGTAAATAGATGAAATAATCAATCATCTCGCTTCTTGATCGTCGCCTTTTTGCTTCTTCCCCCCTCCCCACATAATGTCCAAATTATGAAAGTAAAAAGAAAATGTAAAACATCGTCATCGTAAGAAGAAAAAAAGACGTACGCTATTTCGCATTTCGCTAATCCCAAGCGCCTAAATTCTTCCCCCCCTTACAAGCCCAAACCCCGAGATCGACACGGTGGAAACATAAGTCATAAGGGAAGAGATATGGAAAGGAAGCGCCAAAGGGAAAGAGTCAGGGAAAGAGTCAGGGCCTTGTTCGAAGAGAGAATCCCTTTTAAAGACAGCCACTGCGGATTTCCTTCTCGAAAATCTTGATGCCCCACACGTCGTAGAACCGCATGGGGCCCACTGTTTTGAACCGCAGCCTCGGACCATCGCTGCCGTCATCGCTATCATTATCGCTGTCGCTGTCGCTATCAGATTCAAGCGGGATGGACGGGAGCATCGGATACGTTGAGCTGTGAGGTATGAAGCTGCCGAGGCTTGCCGTCTCAAGTGCCGCCTTATTGTTCCTGAGTATCTGCTTCTCCGTGCTCTCACGCTGCAGCTTTTCATCGACGGGAGATGCGCGCACCACGCGGTCGACACGCTCATCCTGGGTTGCGATCCACTCGAGTTTACTCTCTGGGTGATGAGACAGGTTATCCACGATGAAGCGCCGGATCTCGCGCCGAACCCAAACGCATGTGTCGTTGTTCCTGAAACGCAGGATGTGGAGGGCTCGGAGCTTGGCTGCTCCGGAAATGTACTGCATAAAGGCATGCTGCGAGAGTAAGTGTCAGTGTTTTGCCTCGAATACGCACGTGAACCCCTCCCTCCCCTCCATCCCCCCACCTGCGCATGTATGTGGGCATGTGTTACTCACCACTGCTTGAATGTTTAGGCCCACGGCAAGCTCCTCTAGCTCCTTTCCGTGCGTGCATATGTGGACCATGGCCTTCTCATTGACGTCCCAATTCGATGTCGATGACTCATTCCGGATCATGAGCCGCTTCAAGTGACCCATGTGCTTGTTTAGGACCGTTCTTCGAATCTGGTCGATAGTGTTGGTGGTTCGCGGTGCGGTCGACTCAGGCTTGCTCTTGGAACTGCGCTCGAGCATGAATAGCTCATGCAGTTCCTCAAGTTGCGACAGAAAGAGGAGGAGAGAATCCGAGACATTATCGGTAAAGACGCTTCGTAGGGCCAGCGGCTGCGTCTTGTTCTCCTTGGTAAGGAGCGTCCAGATGGGAGCCTGGTTCCCGACGTTGAGGAGCGTCAGACTTTTGAGACAGCTCAGGTCGATTGCACGGGAAAGTACGGATGCCTTGACGGGTATCAGGTGTATACTCAGGGTCTCCAGAGGGAACCCCCGAGTCTGTCGGAGATAATCAAACGCGCTTTGCTTCTGACGGCCCTTGCCATCCGCCGTCGAAGCTGAGCCATCCGGATTTCTCAGATCGCGCAATTTCCTTAACTGGCTGTTTAGATCAAGTATCATACTGTCAAGCACCTTGATCTTACCCTCCAACGCATCAATGTCGGCGACCTGATCTGGCACACCCTTGCTGCGCAAAACAAGCATGCGGCATTTGAGGCCGTCTATATTGCTCTGCAAGCACTGGGCCTCCTTCATAAGACGGGCCTCTTCACCGCATGCTTCTTGGACTGGGAGCATGCTGATCTCCACGGGTGGCATTGAATCGCCGCTTTCCGTCGCCAACGTGACTGCGCCATCGGGTCCAGAAGAGGCTTGAGACGATCCGACATCCGCCTTCGTACCGTCCAGAAAATCATTATTGCCATCTTCTGGGTCTTCCGGGTGCTCCATATCAATTTCCTCGAGTGCCTTTTCATTTTCATCGGACCCCTTGCCCTTGATATTGTTGGTAGGCGAGGGGGTTTCTGCAGCTGTGGAAGCATTCTGGTCAAGTTCCTGGCTGGGCTGGGGCCGTTCATTTGCGGATCGGCCATCCGTGTCCGCATCCTGATTCGACTTGCTGCTATCGCCATTACCCTGTTGATTTGTTGTTGTCAAGCTGACGTATTTCCGGGCAGCTTTCTCGATCATCTCCAGGATCTCTTGGTGAGAATCTGAGCGGGTGTACGTCCCGTGCACAACCGTCATGAGTTGCTCAGACACGGAGCGTAGGGATGTGACAAACTCCTGGTGTGGATCATTGTTTTCCTTGGCCCCCTCATTCTCAGAAGCATCTTCTTTGGGAGAGGGCTCGTCGGCAGTTTTCTCGTCCACCTTTGGTAAAGAATTACTGGGAAACTCAACACCGAACAAGCGTCCAAGCAGGGCTTCATGCACCTTCCTCTCCTCGTTGGCGTGGAAAGCTTTGACCGGACCACTCGTGTCGTTGGCCATGCTGTGGGACGGCGTAAGCTGGAGGTCATCGTCGACGTCAAAGTCATCAATGTCTGGTTCCGGAGCCGGCCTTCGTGACTTGGAGGCTAGATGGACCGAGAGGGACAGTTCCAGCTCGGTGAGCGACGCCGACGAGTTCGCTATGCAATCCTTAAGCTCGGGGACGATGCCGAGCTCGTCGATGTCGAGGACAGAAAGGCTCTTGAGGTTGCGGAACCCTGAAAAGGTGGGCGGTTCTTTGACATGTGAACTATGCTTGGATGTTCTGCTCCTGGGAAGCGACTTGGGCTGAGACGAAGCGACGGTAGGCCCACCGGTGAGAGGCGACGGGCCGTCGGTTAGTGGTAGCGGCACGGTCGACGGGATAGTAGGCAAGGGCGGGATAGGATGACCCCAAGGCGGCGCTTCCAGAGGGTTGTCGACCGGAAGGGCATGGGCGGTGGGCAGCGGGGGCGGTGGAACATAATAGGATTCGCCAGCCTGCATGCGAATCTGCAACCTCTTTAACGAAGGCATACGGTGGAGCTCTCTGTACACCTGCCTGGTCAACTCGACGCGGATGTTCCAGCGAAAGGCCTCGAGCGACGTGGCCCTTTTCAAAGCCAGTAAGAGCAGCGTATTGAGGAACTTGCCGCAGCTATTAGAGTACAGGTAAGGCCGGTAGGAGTTCTCGCCTTTCCTGCCGGCAGTCAGGGTATCCAGGGAAATATCCCTGAGGTGCTTGGCGTAATTGTATTCGCTGGTGGTCAGGGTATCGAGACCACTAGCCAGCCCATCGATGGGCGAATCAAAGGACTCATCATCATCGTCGGTGAAGACAATGTGGAAGTCTCGGTATATGCGGGCGCTGGCGAGCTCGCGGAAGTGACTGGATACGAGGGCGACGCAGATCAGATCATTTTGCGAGCACTGGGCAGAGAGAGAAGGAGAGAAGAGTGTCAGCGATATACTATGGGGGGGTTAAAAGTGAAATGGCGACGCCTCTCGCGAAACGTCTCGTGACAGTGAGTCTCGGGCGCAACAAACATGAGAAATGATCTCCCGCTGCGTCTCGAGAGGCAGGTCAAGGAATGTGAGGGGTCCCCTGGTCGGCGTCGACGCTTCATTCCTAGCAGCCACGGCGGCCATGATGCTAGGAGAGAGTACACCTGATGCTGGCGCGTGGCGTACGGAGTATATAATACGAGTAATGGTAGGTATTATTAGGTTGAAGCAACAGGTGGATACCCGCGATCGGTGTAGAGTGCCGGGAAGGTGGACTAGGGCCAAAGGACGATGAGTTTGGCAGCTTACAAGTCTGCTGCGCTCTGTTTATCAACAAAAAAAGACAGAGAGAAAGGATGTATTGAAGGGGAAAACCTTAAATACTCTTTGGGAGGCTTAGCTATCTTCAAAAAGCCTGGAGGTTTGATAAATGGTTGAAGGTTGGTTGGAGGACCAGGAGGATTGTTTGGTGGTGGAGGAGGCAGGAAGGATATCCGATAGTCCTGAGATGGTGGGTGGGCGGAGTGGGGAAAGTGCCAGTCCCACGCCTTCTGCTTCGTCAGGCTCGGTACTGTATGACGCTGGAAGTGCGAAGGGTGCTTCGCTACTACGAATGTTATCAAAGACTATACGCGAATGCTTAGTACCACCACCATACTCCCACACTAATACAACTACTCGTAGTTACAACTTACAGATTACCCGGTACGAGTATTACCACGTTATTGAGGTTGTTGGTGGCGGCTTCTGGGTCCGGGGTGTATTGCCTATTGGACCTTTTTGTTTCCTGGGGCCTCAGGCTCAAATCGTCCCCCACCGCCTCCGATGTGGTCATACCGAATGTGCCCAGGGCAACCATAGCAGTTGCCCCTTCTTTGGACGGGATTCGAAGAAGGAAAAGTAGAAGAAGAGGAAGAGGATAAAAGAATGCATGAAGGGTATAGCCGAAGTGGCCTGTAAATGTACGGTTCTTCCACCGAAATGTTACGGTTTATGGCTGCGTGCCACTATGTGAGGCAGAAGCACACATCACTGTGTGCCTTGGCTACTACGAGTAGGTACAGATTGCATGCATTGATGATTGAGGCCTTGCTGCTCTGCCTTGTTGTGGTGCGTGTCCTTTGTTGGCAATCATATCTGTCTGTCGGTTGCCGCCCGGAATACCCTCATCAGTCCAGCAGCCGGGCGCGTATGGATAAGAGGAGACAAGTCAACAAGCACTCTCATCCATTCTGGAAGTCGTGCCTGGGATGATAGCATTCCGTACATGGGAAAGAAGACCAACCGCGTGGAGAGAGCTGCCCTTTGCTAAAATGCATAATCAGACTACGAGGATTAGTACGAGTATTAATACGGATACAGCGTACAGATTACATGTAAATACGTAATAATACCCCATACTATGCTCGTATATGAAGATGATTCATTATTAATGATTAACCTTAGCTCAGCTCTTGAAAGAAGGCTAGGCAGAACGGACGCATCGATTGCCGCCCTTGAGAGTACGAGGAGGAGGACAACCCATGAATATTATACTACCGTATACGATATACTACAGATTACGACATTTTTTACTCGTACTAGAGTCTAGTACACGGTACGACGATGTACCAGTAGAGCTGTCTCTCGAGTCTTTGTCCAGCAGTCAGCAGCTAGCCGCAACATCGTTATGCGAGGTGAAACAGAGCTTGTGACCCCCAGCCGACTTGTATCATGCCGTCCCCTCCAACCAGGCCAGACTGGGTGTCAAATGTACACCACATTATGGCCGATACTGTGCCGGTGCGCCGCACTCACAGGCTACAGGATAGGAGGGCAAGAGACAGACTGTTGCGCTCATCAACGACAACCATCCAGCGACGGGCATCAATCAATACTCCGTTCTCTTCCACACAGGAGCAATCCGTCCGTGTATCTTCCGTGTTTATTGATCCGTTTCTTCTGTCGTTATTGTCGTGGCCCCCCACTTCTTTTCTTTGGAAAGGTCACAAGCCCTTAGCCATCTGCCCAGTCAATCTCTCACTGGCCACTGCCCGCCCAGCCTACTCTGTAATGTATACTCGTAATAATTACGGATGCTCCATAAAGGCATCTCGGTAATAGAAAGTAGGGGGGGTGGCCGCCGGCTAAGAAAAGAGTCAGTATTAATAGCATAGACTATCACCCTGGCAGATTGGGGAATCGGCTCTTGAAAGCAGCAAGGGTAAAAGGAGAAATAAGTCGGGCACGATACGAGGGTGCACCCTTGGCATCATGAGAAACAAAGAGGGAGGTCTGAAGAAGAGAAGAAGAGAAGAAGAAAAATGACGGGTACAGGCCTGCAAATGTTGTAATACGGTTAGTGCCAGAAACACGGCGGAGTCCCACGCTGATCCTACCTAATAAAATAACATTAACACTCGTATCCAGATGCTTGAGAATGGATGAATTTTGGTGGTGAGGAGACTCACGTGATCTGATGATCCCTGTCATGGTATTATTTCCTAAACTGTACGGAGTATTAATCTGTAGCGCGCGTGCTTTCCTGACCACTGGCGGTGGTTTTGAATCCTTGGCCCAGGGGAACAGAAGCAGGCCCCCCCCACCCCATGCATTCTCCGCCTCCTGAGGGCACCCCAGTCTCTCGCGCTCCTTCTACCAAGTCCTTCATCCCATTCATTCTTCTACAGCTCCTCGCCATCCTCTCTTCTTCTTCTTATTCCTCTCTTATTTCTATACTTCTGGGACTGCCATTCCTTCTTTTCGCATAACCCGTCACTCATTACTCCAGGACTCTATCTTTGAGATCCGTTACTCTCACTTACACAGCTTCTACGCACACACTTACATTCCCTTACTGAACAGTACAATTCACGATGCGTTTCACATCCGCCGTTGCCAGCGGCCTTGCTGCCGTCGGTGCTGCTGCCAGCACTCCCAACTATCTGGGTTTCAACTCCGGCTCTACCCAGGATGACCGTTCCGCCAAGTTCAAGAGCGATTTCCTTGCCGAGTTCAAGACGGCCGCCAACCTCAAGAACTCTCCCGGCGACTTCAACTCGGTCCGTCTGTACACCAACATCCAGGCCTACTCTACCGAGGACCCCATCCAGGCCTTTGACGCCGCCGTCGAGACTGAGACCAACATCCTGCTGGGTGTCTGGGCCTCGGGTACCGACAGCATCGACAAGGAGGTCACCGCCCTCAAGAAAGCCATTGCCAACCATGGCAGCAAGCTGACCGACCTTGTCATCGGTGTCAACATTGGCAGCGAGGACCTGTACCGTACCTCGCAAACCGGTATTGAGAATGAGTCCGGCGTCGGTGCTGGCCCTGACACCATTGTCAACTTCATCAACGACTGGAAGAAGGCCTTCAAGGGTACCGCCCTGGCTGACACGCCTGTCGGCCACGCCGACACCTGGGATGCCTGGACCAACGGCACCAACAAGGCCGTCATCGACGCCGTCGATTTCCTCTCGGTCCACGAGTATCCTTACTACGAGGGCACCAAGGACAACGACATCTCCAACGCCGCTGACCTCTTCGAGACTGCCTACGAAAAGACCCTTGCTGTCGCTGGCGACAAGCCTGTCTGGGTCACCGAGACTGGATGGCCCTACGTCGGCCCTAAGTGGGAGCGTGCCGTCGCCAGCGTCGCCAACGCCAAGAAGTACTGGCAGGACGTCGGCTGCAAGAAGCTCTTCAACAAGACCCCCACTTTCTGGTACACCCTCCGGGACGCCAACCCCGACAACACCATGAAGTTTGCCATCACCGACGAGCTGTCCACCACCCCCCGCTGGGACCTCAGCTGCCCTACTACAACTGACGACGACGACAACGACGATGACAATGACAACGACAACGACAACGACGACGACGATAGCCTGACCTCTACCTCGACCTCTTCTTCCTCCAAGGCCACTGAGACCGTCAAGAGCGGAAGCGATGAGGTCACCTCGTCCGTCTCCAAGCCCACCTCCAGCTCCGACTCCAGCTCCGGCTCCGCCACCACCACCGCCACCGCCACCAGCGGCAGTGACAGCAGCAGCTCCAGCAACGAAGAGCAGGCCGCTTCTACCCCTGTCTCCGGCTCCAGCTCCGAAACCCCCGTGGCTGCCGCCTCCACCCTGAAGGTCAGCGCCGTCGGCATTGTTGCCGTTATCGGTGGTCTCGTTGCTCTCTTCTAAGAAGTAAATGATGCTTCTTCCCTTACCCTCAAGGACAGCCTGGACTGGGTTTGGTTTTTGTCCTTTGCCGACGTTTTCCGTTTATCTCCTTTATTTTGTTCTATATCCTCTCGCTCACCTGTATACTTCTGATTATTATCCCACCGAAGGGGCCAAAGACGTGCTTCACAGGAGCCTGGTATGATCTATAGATGTGTGTAATTCTCTTTCGTGCAATACTAGAAAAATCCAAGTCATCCAAGTCTTCACGTGCTCCATGTGAATGGTCAGATACGTACCATGGTGATCCGATGTTTTGCAGCCCCGCTGCTCGTACTCTTTGCACTGTACTGTATACGGGGAATGCCCGTACTATTACTACCATCATTGTATTCTTCTAATATTGCCACAATTTGTAAATAATACGAGTACGTCGTATGAAAAATGCAGAAATGTTGGGACGGTCCACGGCCAACCAGGATGGTCAATATGGGGCAACACATACCAAACGCCATGTACGGATACTGTAATATATAGTATACGCAAAAAGCAATGCTGGCTCCGCCTCGGCCCGGAACACACTTGTGTCTTTTTACATACCATACGTACACGTACGAGGCTCGTCCCTGAACCGAGACAATAGTATAAGAGAAGCCTCAACCCCTCTAAACTCAATATATCCTCTACGAGTATGCAAAAACTGACAGACACATTCAAAGTGTAAGATTCCAATCTGTTGGATCCCTTTTGAGATCATCTCTTTGTTTTCCACTCTTCAGCATCACGCACTCCTTCCCAATCTGAAACCAGCATGGGCGGGGAGGTAGATTTGTACTCGTACTGCCGCATTGGGTAACTCCCGAGCATCGAGTCTGCATCTGACACAACACGACCAACGCCCCAGCCAACACCAACCCCGCCTGGCATCAGCTCTCGTCCTACAAATCCTATTCCTATCCACAGCCCATAATCTGAAACCAACAAGACGCAGACGAAGAAAAAAAAAAGAGAGAGGGAGAGAGAGAAGAAAGAGCAGACGAGAAGAACCGTCGTCGCTCTCACATGATGGCAGATATGGCAGACGATGAGCCCCAGTTCAGCAGCCTCAAGGAACGCATCGCGGCGCTGAACCAGCAGAAAAACTTTGTTGGCGGCGGTCCAGAGTCCCAGAAACCCAAGACGGTCAGTAGCAAACCCACGCCTCGCGCGCGGCCTCCACCCCCGCCTACCCCGTCGGCGCACATAGCCCCGGCGACGCCATCTCAGCAGCAGCGCCCGCCACCTCTTCCGCGGCGCGACACGCAGGGCTCCCAGAGCGATGCCGGGTCGGTGAAAGGCAATGGTGCGCCGCCGCCTCTACCCAGCAGGACGGCCACGGCGCCGCCACCGATGCCTGAGAGGCCAGTACGCGGGCCCAGCCAGCAGAATCTGACGACTGCCAATGGTGGGCGGCGCGGGTCAGCATCGTCGGGCATGTCGTCTGTCTCGACACTGTCGCAGACGCAGACCATCTCGTCGGTCACAAGCCACGGGTCGGAGGGGCGGCGACTGCCACCGCCGCTGAGCCAGGCCAACCTGCCGCCGCTGCCGCCCACAAGGCGGGAGCTCGCTGCGGCGGGCAACGATGATGGCCCTGCTGTCGCTTCCCAATCCTCGAGTCCGGCACTCCCGCCACGGCTGCCTGCTCGGCCTGATGCGGCCGAGCGGACGGCTTCTACTGGTGGGACGGGTGCGGCGCAGACGACTCTCAAGGCGGCCAGCATCCGTGGGTTTGGGAGTGGCAAGTCGGCGACGACAAATCCTCCCCAGACGCAGCCGCAGGGAGACACGCCGCCGCCTGTCCCGATGGGCACACGCCCTTCGGCTGCACAGATTGACACTGCTTACAAGAGAGCCACTAACGGCCAGCCAAGCGCCCTTGACGAATGCTGGGTATGCAAGGACTGGAGCGGGCCGGATGGCGTAGCCGCGCAGTTCCCGCGGAGCACATTACCGCGCGGCGACCCGGTGGGACACCTCGCGCGCGGGCTGTGCGGACCATTCCCCTCGTATACGGATAAGGCGCGCGCCATCTTCACATGGTTCTACCACAATATCCGGTACGACACGGTGGCCTTCTTCGGCAACAACGTCAGGCATATGTCGGTCGAGGAGACGATATTCGGCGGCAAGGCCGTCTGCCAGGGCTACGCGGAGACGTACAAGGCCATCGCCAACCGGGCGGGCCTAGAATGCGTGGTCATTAGCGGGCACGGCAAGGGCTTCGGGCACACACCCCTAAAGGCAGGGGAGCGCGCGCCGCCACCCAAACCCGACGGCCACGCGTGGAACGCCGTCGGGATCGACGGCGGGGTGTGGAAGCTGGTGGACGCTTGCTGGGGCGCCGGCCACCTGTGCAACGGCACGTACAAGCAGGAGTTCACGCCGGGCCACTTTATCATGACGAACGATGAGTTTGGTGAGTCACACTTCCCCAGGGACCCGAGGATGCAGTACCGCGACGACGGGCGCGTCGTCTCCTGGGAGGAGTACTTCGTCGGGCCCGGCGTCGGGGAGACGCCCGTCACCTACACCAATGCCAAGCAGGAGGGCATACTGGAGAAGAGCATCGAGCCCAGGTCCAGGCAGATCCCCGTGTACAGCGGCGAGACGGTACGCTTCCAGTTCTCCAAGGTATGCCCGCACTGGCGGTCCGACACACACGGCCTCGGCCCCTCGCCGCTCCTGCTGCTGGCCGTGCATGGCGTCGATGGGCGCAGCGACGACATGATCCCCTTCAACACGGACGGATACTGGCACTGGCTCGACGTACCCGCCCGGGAACTAGGCGTCCCAGGCCAGAGTCTACAGGTCGCACAGCTCACATCCGTCGACGGCCAGGACGTGAGGGGGGTGTCGGCCAAGGAGTATCTGGCCAAGAAGCGGAGGTTGGGGATGGGCTGGGCATTTGTCGTTAGATGGGATCTGGTTTAGCTTCCAGAATTACTATCGATGCCTTTGTATCTTCTTCTTCTTCTCAGTATTATCATTACCCCTCTATGTTGACTTCACAGAAGAAGATAAAAGAGGAAAACAGTAATAAGACAAAGTGAGTCGTACTTGTCGACGCTCCCTCATTCAAGACCGAGTGCTGCCCCACTAGCGTATTACGTATTTGTAGTCGTATCATTACCTGCCACGCCACCTTTAGGCTTATAATACGCGTGAAGACGGGGGCAAGAAATCGCGTCCGGACACGGCGTCCTCTTCACAAACCAAAATCCGCATGATTCTCACTCACAACTCACCCTTTTTATTCTCTTATTGTGGTCTTTCTTTTTTCTTTCTCTCATCGTCCACCCACAACCCTAACTGTTACACGACTCCGAATCTTCGCTTCTCCCCCGGCTAAACTTTGACATCTACCACTCATCTAATAATCACCTCGTGTGTTGTTTGTCCGCCATGTGCGGCCCTCAACCGCCCATTTAGTAGAAGCAAGGCCGTCATCGGAATTGTTCGCCATCGACAACACCACCACCTATCTACATCCTTAAGACACACTCACACACCCGCACACACCATGGCCCCCGTAACGTCTACGTCGCTCTCACGCACCGAGGCCATCTCCCTCCTCTCCATCTCCGGTGCCTCACTCGGCGTCATTGCCAACACTTTTCACGATGACGGCGAGCCGCTCATCGCCTCGTCGGCCCTCTCGTTCCTGGCCTTCTCGCTCTGCTATGTCATGATCCGCCAGCTGGGACCGCGCTTCATTGCCGCAGGATTCAGCGGCCGCGACATGAGCAAGCCTTCGAGGCCCCTGCTGCCCGAGTGCATGGGCGCTATCTGTGCTGCCGTCTATCTCATGGCCATCATCGTCTTCATCCCCTTCCCCTTTTACAAGGATATTGTCGCTGCCACCAGCGGTGGCGGCAACCGCGATATTGTTCACCACGTTGAGAACGTCAACCAGGGTCGGTTCCTACACCGATTCCCTCACAGCAAGGTACGGCAACGGCAGTGGAGGGTGTAAAATGGAAGGATGGATAATAATGGGAGAGCAACATTGACAGACAATCAGCTTGCCTCATACCTGAGCGCCATCATCTCTCTTCAGACGACAGCCCTGCTAGGGATCGGCGACGATCTCTTCGATATACGCTGGCGCCACAAGTGGTGGATCCCCGGCCTGGCCTCGATCCCCTTGCTTGTCGTCTACTTTGTCGACTTTGACGTCACTAGCATTGTCATCCCGCTTCCTCTCCAGCCTTGGCTGGGTGAGCTCTTTGATCTCGGCCCCCTCTACTACGTCTACATGGCTTGCATCGCCATGTTCTGCCCTCAGAGCATCAACATGCTTGCCGGTATCAACGGAATCGAGGTCTCGCAGTGCGTTGCCGTCGCTCTGCTCCTTGCCTTTAACGACTGCCTCTACCTTTTCACGCCTTATCCGCACCCGGCCACCGATTCCCACCTATTCTCCCTCTACCTCCTCCTACCCTGGATTGGCGTCTCGGCCGCTCTCCTCTACCACAACTGGTATCCGGCGCGTGTCTTCGTCGGCGACACTTACTGCTACTTCTCCGGCATGGTGTTTGCCGTCGTCGGAATCCTGGGCCACTTCTCCAAGACTCTCGGCCTCCTTCTCGTGCCTCAGATCTTCAACTTCATCTACTCGTGGCCCCAAATCTTCGGCCTGATCCCCTGCCCCCGCCACCGTCTGCCGCGATTCAACGCTCGCACCGGTCTCCTCGAGCCCTCCGTGACCCCCTGGTCACCCGACCGCCAGCCCAAGCCGCTGATCGCGCGGGGCCTCCATATACTCGCCCGTCTGCGTCTTCTCAAGGTCACAGTCGATCCCAATAACGGCTCCTTGCTCGAGACATCCAACTTTACTCTTCTCAACCTATGGCTTGTGTGGCGTGGGCCTCTGCGCGAGAGCCGCCTCGCGTGGGAGGTGACGTTGCTGCAGTTCGTCCTAGGTCTGTTCGGACTCTTTGTCCGCCACAAGCTCGCCCTCCTCATCTTTAAGGAAGACAATTGGGGCAGCACTTCTCAGCACTGAGCTGGCACATTCTGATTGGACATGTTGACTACCAGGGATATCTTCGTTCTGTTTCTGTATTCTTAGTGTATATACCATTTGTATCGTTGCGTATCTAGAAGCGTATCTAGAAGGAGAAAAGGGACATGGAAGGGGCGGGGGGGGGGGGGATTAAACAGTTATTGCGATTGGCGTGTATTTCAACAAAATGAAAGCAAAGAAAGACTGCGTGGCCAAGACACCAAGTATTCGACAATGACGGCAATACGCCAAAAGTGTGTAGTCCCGCAGTCGCACTGACCAGATGACTTGATGTGTACACGGTCCGTCAACGAGGCTGACACGAACGTCTACATCGATAGCCGCACGGGCACCATGACAACCATAGCCCAGGCGGCGCCAACGTCGAAACGGCCATCACTGTCGGCCTCGGCGGCGGAGCCGTGTCGAGCAGCAGCATGATCATCGATGAGGGCCTCACCACGGTGGTGTCGATATCGAATCGCGGCGCCAATTACTGGATCGGGTCCGATAAGACGGGTAAAAGAAGACGGGCGCGAGGACAACGGCACCGCCGTCGTCGACGCAGACACCAAAGTGTACGGCGTGTAGTGTCATATGGAAAGGTGTTTTCCATTTCTCTTCCTGTTTTTATCGTCATGCGTTGTATTTACGAGAGAATGCGTTGGCCTTGATCCGTCCATTAGTCTTCTATACTCTCGACGTATCAGCCGTCTGTCTCTGCGCTCCCGCTCACATTGCCATTGAAGCTTAGCTGAGCTCATGATTCGCCTTGACGACCTTGGACTTTCCCGTATCCAGCACCACAGCCGGGTCATCTGGTTTGCCATTTCGGGATACTGTGTTTCCTCTCTGGGTGGTGATGCTCGTTCTTGGAGTGTCAGCACTGGTAATATACGGATCTGGTATGTTTTGGCCGAACTGAAAAAGAAAAAGAAAAGTAGGAGAGAAGAGATGAGTCACTCACTTCCCCCCCTTGACATCCAGGACCTTGCCCGTCGGATTACCCCCTCCCCACTTCCAACTCACAGTGTCTCCCGCCTTGGGACCCTTTTCAGCCTTTTCGTCATCGTCGACTCCTTCATCTTCTTCTTCGTCGTCGTCCTTGTACTCGCCGTTCTTGTCTCCTGCCGTGTCCTCATTGTAAAAGGACTTGTCGTTGTCCTTTGTGCTCTGGCGGGTTTCCCTCTTCTTGTTGGGCGTCGGCTTATCCTCCGTCTTCTTGCGTTTTCCGCCCGTCTTGGCCTTATTGCCTGTGTCTTCCTCTTCCCCCTCTTCCCCCTCTTCCTCCTCTTCCTCCTCGGGCTCCTGGTCCCGGTCCCGGTCCTGCTTCCTGCTTCCGGAATTCTGTCGTTTCTTGAGAGGATCGTGACCCCAATTCTTGAGAGAAGCATACGACTTGGTCTCTTTGACCTCTTCGGCCGATTTCTGAGCATTGGCTCCTTCCTCCTGGGCCAGATGTCGCTTGCTGAAGACATTGCCCATTCAGTAACGAATTTCCCCAGGGGCGGGGAGTGTCCGATGAAAAAGGAAGAAGAGAACCAAAGGAGAGGAAGAAGCAAAGGAACAGTAAATAAACATACCAGTATGATACCACCTTGCGCATATGCTGAACCTGCTCATCAGTGTACTTGTCCGGCGCCTTTTCAGGATTAGACTCGAGTATCTCGACAATGTTACGACCACTGCCGTGTCCAACCGACTCGTTGCTCCCGTCCTCCTTGGGCCACCCGGCGCTGCGAGAGTCGTTTGACTTGAGCCATACCTCCAGCTCCGAGGCTGTCATGTTGACAATGTCATTGAACTCGCGGATGACGTCTTTCTTGTCCTTCATTGTGACCGTGGGGAATCGCAGAGGGACTCTCGAAGTAGGATAATGCTGATGCTCAAGTAAGATGTGGAATCGTGAATACGCGACAAATCGGGCTGTATCCTTGTAAGATAAATTCGAGAAATTCGGTTGCCGCTGTCTTGCCTCCTTCTTATATGCGCGCTGCATACAAAATATTGTCGTCATCGCCGCGCCATGGATCTGAGCTTCTCCGTCCACAAGCAAGCCATTCAAGACCCCACGGTTCGTGCCAATGTCTCACGCATCTAGACTGAGTACGCCGTCGAAAAGCTTGATTCAGGCTAGTCATGACCCGTTCAAATCGAACTGTCTCGGCGTCTTTGATGGCAGTGTAGGGAAATCGGCTGTTTACGAAGGCCCTAAAACAAGTCGGGCTAGAATTACTACGGGAGGATGAAGGTAACCCTAAACCCGAAACATTAACCCTGTAACTGACCAGGCCTAAACCCCATACATATTGCGTGTCGCCGCCACTGGATATTCGTTTGCGTACAAAAAAAAAAAAAAAAAAAAAAAAACTGTTACCCCATTGTCTTTCAAGTTGCGTATACGTCATGAGCGCTGCCAGGTGAGATCTTACCTGACTCCCTGATCCCCCATCACGTCAAGCTGAAGGCGGGTATATGGTGAGAAGTCAGTCGGCTGATTAACATTCGTAAACACGGGACCAGACCAATTTACCCGTCGTTTGAGATGGTTACATTGGCTGGTGGTTGGTCAAATGACACCAACGCATATTCAGTTAGATGTCGATCCTGGACCTCACAGTTGGTCAGCAGCACTATTGTTCCTGTACGTTGTGTGCATGCTTTCAGCAGGCGCCTGATTAGGTTCGTAAACGGGAGGCTGGGATACGTGTTGATATGACGATGGGTGGCAGCGGATGCACTCGGGTCTCGAAGAATTCTCGTCTATTCAGTTCCATCCAACTCTTACCAGTTCCCCTTACCGAGCTTGATGAGAAAAGGGAGAGCCCAACTCAAGGACAGTACCTGTAGCTGCGATAGATGCATTGTGAACTGCCACCGCCATATTCATACACAAGCATGTAGGCATGCAGGATGATAAAGGGGAGGGGGGAAGACAGCAATTACTCAGATGACTCCGTATTCCGTGACATTGGTATTGGGTAGCAGAACTGGTATTTGTGTTTTACCGTGATAAGTTATCACCTAGATGTTGTCGAACTGGTTTGCACACCACCCTTGTTCCTATGCTCATGGCGATACATGTGTATATACCATTTCCAGCACTCCAAGTCTTAGGCAAGTGACATTGCAGTGTTTTGGAACAACGTCACATCTGCTTCTCACATGTGCACACCTTGGACAGAACCTACCAATACTACTCACTACATAATGTATGTTGACGAAACAAACAACGTCAGTTCCCAGCGTGTTATAAGACGGTTCTGCCACTGATATAACTCCAAGTGTGATCATCCCGTTTCAAGGCTAAGAGTGATCGAACTCAAGAATGTATACTGACGAAATCAGCAAGTGTTTTGGCAAACCTGTGATCCCATCATTCTCCCTAAATGACATGAGCGATAGTGGCATCAATAAGGGGTTATAGGAAGACCGCCCACCACCAGCCTTTACTATCATGGTCTCCAGGAAGATCATTATCAGCTCTATGTCAACAAAGAGATGTGCAGTAATCTAGATGATGGATAGTCACAAGGACTTGACTTGATCTTGTTGCAAGGCCATGTGGATCGTCCCCAGCCCCCGATGATGTGCGCCTGTGAGAGGGATGAGGCATAACGCTTCGTCCAGGCCATCATGACATGACTACAGCAATTTTCTTTGGGGGAAATGATTTCAAGATCAACCCACGTAGAATGGGAATATATATATATATTATACATAGCTGGGAAGCGACGGTAAAGATAAAACAGATCTTGTCCTTGAGGATCACACCCGACTGCAACATCGTTCTCGGTCCATGAACCATCGTTACCATGCTTTCCCGCAACGCACTCCTGTTTCTCTCCTACCTCTCCGGGACCGTTCTGGCCTGGGAGGCACCCGCATACGGTGGCTTGACACGGGTGTGGGAGTCCAACTTTGCAGGAGCCGCCGGAGCCGCACCCAGCAGCGGGAACTGGAACATCATCGAGGGAGACCTCGGCGTGAACAGCGAGCTCCAGATATATACCTCGTCTTCGAAGAACGTCCAGTGCAGCGGTGGTGACACGCTCCAGCTCGTCCCGTGGAGGGACTCCTCGGCAGTCAAGGGGTGGACCTCCGGTCGGATCGAAAGCAAGTACGTCTTTACGCCTCAGTCCGGGAAGCTCACGCGGGCTGAGGCGGCGATACGATTTGGCACAAACGCCGTCGGAAACAAGCAGGGCATCTGGCCCGCCTTCTGGATGCTCGGCAACTCCCTCCGCAACGGGGGCACATGGCCTTCCTGCGGAGAGCTCGACATCATGGAGACCATCAACGGACAGCTGACCGGGTACGGAACTGCCCACTGCGACATCTCTGTTGGAGGCGTCTGTAATGAGGGCACCGGGATTGGCGGCAGCATCACCATCCCCGACCAGGGATGGCATACCTGGAGGATCGACTTCGACCGCACAAAGAGCACCTGGCAGCAGGAGACTATCACGTGGTACATGGACGGCCAACAGTTCCACCAGATCTCGGGCTCCGGCCTCAACAACCAGGGCGTGTGGAACACCTTGTGCCATAGCCCCATGTACTTTCTTCTCAATGTCGCCGTCGGCGGCACTTGGGTAAGTTCAGCTTCAACTGCAGTCATGATGTTCCATGCATCTAACAAGTGCTAATTTCCACGAAGCCTGGCTATCCCAATGATAGCACGCTCGATGGGTACGGCAGCATGATGGAAGTGGGCTATGTTGCTCAATACTCCAGCTAGTTGTTTGTTAACAGCACCACTCCCTCAACCTTTGCTTTTTTTTTTCGGCACGGTACACGAGGCTGGAAATTCCTAGTACTGTCTTGGGATACTGAATGAACCCGTATATATCCCTGGAACTCCCTCACCCCCTTTGTTTTGTTCTGTATTATATCTTTCTTCAGAAAGCAGATAGTTCGTATTATAGCCTAGGCTTCATATGTCACTCACTATAAAGTCTCATCACGCTCTGTATAAAACGCTGGGCTAAGAAAAGGCCGAAACATTGTTGCGCCGTGTACGTGCATTTCCATATGACTGTACCTCACGCAGAGAGAGAAGAGGACAGAGCGACTTCACAATCATGCACAAAATGGGGTATGCAATGAAGGAAAATCTGATGAAAGGAGCGAAAACTAGCTGTCTGTCGTGACCAGAGATATCCCCAGGCCCCGAGAAAGAAGGCCTCACAGTCTCCTCTCCCAGAGTTTCCTTCTCTATAGCGTACCGAGCGTCCTTGAGAAGGGCCTTGCCCTCACAAGGAAGCAAGGGCTCTCACAACACTTGGTCTATGTAGAAAGATCCAGAGAAGCTGGCGACACATTCAAATCCCTCCTCTTCCCATTCTTGCGTTTCAGAGGCTCATCCTGGAGAAAATCATCCCTCAGGGACCTTATGTGGCTTGGCGCTGCCATCGAAAGAACCTCCATCTCTCCTCGTTTGAGGGGGGGCTGCGCTCGTTTCGTGGTACGAAAACAACAAGTGTAACATTTGAACAATGCTTCAGAAGATTCCACCCTTTGCCATCAGTTTCATACCATCCTACGGGGCTGGCATAATAAAGATGTTCTTCCACTAGATGGCCACCGATACATTCTTTGATGCCGCAGTGCGGTAATACGAGCAGATCCTCCGTGGAAATGCTTGGACTGCTTCTCGACCCGCGCTCCGGATCCGCCGCTGGCTGTCATCAAGTTGCATTACTATAAAGTCCAATTTCAACTATTAAATGTCACTCAACCCCAAAATCCAAGAAACTCAGAAGATAGCCCCGGCACTTCTTGATGCCGCGCGAAATCCATGCAGGTACAAGTCACAGGGTTAGTTTTGCAGGTGCAGGGCAGAAGGAGAGGAAGGATATGTACTAGATCATGGGGATGAATGAGCTGTAGCATCATCATCATCTCGTTGCTTCAGTCTACCCAAGGGCGTGATGGGTTCAAAGCTCGATGGCTGCAAGTGCACGGTTGTGCACACGTCACAGAATGATACAAATAGCCATATGTTATTATCGTCTATGTACTGTCGCGGAGGGTGTTCATGGGCATCATCAAGGCATAGTAAACATGTTAAAGATGAATCCATAGTCTCCCAGTTCCCCGGTATAGTCATCATTGATCTGGGGATGTATCGAGTCCAACGGCAAGAACAAGTCATCGGGAAAGTCATTGGGATACAGCATCGTCGATTCCGCACCAAATTCTGCTGCAGTTGCTGGAATGGCACTGTTCGCCGCATCCACGGGGGTCACAGAGCTATTGTGCGTTCCCAGTCGCGTGTGAGGAGTCAACTGATCTCTACCTGTACTGGGCACCCTGCTACCCTCCGGGTCGTGCACCTCTGGTCCGCCGTCACTGTCGTCGGACAGGTCTCGGGGTATATACGAGCCCTTGGAGGTCATGTGGCGGTTCCGCTGCTGTCTCATCGGGCTGTTCGCAGTGGAAGGCTCACCGGGTATCTCCATGTCGTTGTCTATCTGTCCCAGGCGCTCTATAAGACGCCCAGCCTCGGTGAGACATTCGCCCAGGGCGGGAAAACGTTCGTAGATGGCAGGCGACGCGAGACGCATGACAGACTTCAGCTTGGATCTAAGCCCCTCCACACCGTTGGGACACATACGCTCCGCCATGGGGCCGAGGTGGTGGAGGATCTGGGATACCTGGTATACGCAGGAGGCGAAGAAGGCCTCGTCCACCGACTGTTCTTCACGGAGACGACTGACAAGGTGCCACATGTCGACCATCTGTACAGCTCGGAACAGGCACCGCCTCTGGCAGTGGAGGAGGAAGTCAGGAGGCGTTGCCGCCAGCACGTCAGGACCGACAGCTTCGCGGACGCCTGGAACAAGTAGCCGGTACAGGTCGCAGTAGCCCTGCAGCCATACCGCATGGAGGAGGAAGTAGCCAGAAGCATCTCGGGAGTGGGCCATGAGCTCTAGCCTCTCCGAGCTCAACTGCAGATCCAGTGGGAGCGACGTCTGAAACGTATCCAGCTCTCGCTCTAGAGCCTCAAACTTGTCACGGCTCAGAGCCGGACTCACGTTGTCTCCGAGAACACCCTTGGTGTATGCGAGGATCCTATGACGTGTAGCATAGAATCTTAGGATGTATGCCATGATATCCATATCCGCCGCGGTGTCTGCACTCGTCCCTTCCACTGGCTCTGTGGACTCGGTCACGGTGGTGCTCTTACTCTCGAGGAACTGGGCCCGAGACGGCATGCCCCGTTCGAACGTGCGTTCTAGGCACGGCAGGCGCAACCTTTGCATACTCTCGATAGGGCACACGCTCAGATCGCGGAGACCGCCGCACAGTCTCCTGTCCATGGCATATATGGCCCACATTGTGCGGCGGCGGGATTCCTGGAGGATGCATCCCAAATCCTCTCGCTCGTGATTTAGTCGTAGGGTAAAGGCCAGCCGAGCTGCGAGCGAGAGCAAGTTCCACGCTAGTATCCCTTGGCCCGAACGCAGGCGAAACGAGATGATGAGCACGAGCGCCTGAAGTCGAGAAAGTGACAGGCTATTGAGGCGACCGAGAACGAATTCCTGGGCTTGGACGATCCACGCGGATGCTGTGGCGTGGGCCTGCTCGGATGAGTCCTGCAATGACAGGCCAAAGGCACATATAGCTCTCTGCAGTGACGGGTCCAGTTTCTGACGACCCCAGTCCCTGAGCGTGGTAGAGGCGTGAAGGAATCGGCACATGGTCGGATCTTGGTAGTCAAAGTACGCCTTCATAAGCTGCTTGTTCGAGTGACTGACTGCCCTTGGAGGGACGTTTGGAGAGGAGGTCGAGTAGATTGCCGGTGTTTCCATCGCTGTGGCCGCATCCCGTTCGGTCGCTGGTGTCGGCAATCCCGCCGTCTCCTCTACATCCATATGCCTGCTGTCCTCGAGCCGCTGCTGATCCTGCAGTCGCTGCCGATCCTGCAGTCGCTGCTGGTCCTGGAGGAGTTGCGAATTTGGGGACCCTTCGGATCGGGGGACACAGGTGATCCCTCGCGAAGCGCACCTTGTGCATGCCTGACCCCAAGTCTGCCCTCCGGAGCACTTGGCCTTGACGGAGCGGCATTGCTCACAAGCACTCCTCACTCGTCTTCGCTTGGTGCCAGCCTGGGTAAATTCTAACGAAGAAGCGTCTGGTCCCGAAGGATGGTTGGCCGTCAATAGAGAAGGACCGTCTGCTACACCGGACGAAGGCCCAGCTCCCGGATGTTGGGTAAATGAGCAGTCGAGCTCGAGCCGGGTACAGGGACCGCACTGGGAAACTTGGCGATCGCATCTGACCCGCCGCGCACGGCACTGACGACACGCAGGCCTCGGGTTCTGCATTACGCAGCTCTGCGCGTTCCGGTCTGCGGTTCGGAAGCCTTTAACTCGGTTCGTTTCAACTGGAGAAGAGGGAGAGATCCGGTCAGGTAGCGGCCGGAGTATGTTCCCGCCACGTTATGGTAGGGCTGAAAATAGGCGGTAAACGATGTAATATGTATTAATTAATAAATGAGTTCTCACCGCGTACGCCGAGAGAGTGTGGGTGTAAGGCTCCGTCGACATCATCAGTGGAGACGATTGCGCCATGAGCGTGGCGGATCGCGCTCAACTTCGACCCCGGATGTCGCCCTCACGCCGCGACTGCACTTACGAGTATGGAGTGTATGCACATGCATTGTTACCCCTGCCGTAGTGCACTATTATTACTTGTGCGCTTCATATACGAGTAAAACGTGGCTGCGGGTAGCATGTACATGAGAGATTTATCTATAAGTCCCTACAAGATCAACGAAATTTCTGCTTATCACCCCTTGACGGTCTAGCAACACCGCCCAGGATGGCTTCCGTGTCTCCGCCTCATAGACTGCCTCCGAAGCCGATCCCGTTCCCAGTGAATTCGGAAAATGGGAAGCAGAGGCCAAACTACATCATATTCATGCCGGATCAGCTGCGGTATGACTCCCTAGGATGCACGGCGGGCGGGGGGATCCGCACTCCCAACATTGACGCCTTTCGGCGCCGGTCCACCCTCTTCACCAACTGCTTCACCCAAGCCTCCGTGTGCTCGCAATCGCGCTGTAGCATGTTCACGGGCAACTACCCGCACGTGAGCGGGCACCGGAGCCTGGACAATCTCATCAAGCCCTGGGAGCCCAATATGTTCCGCAGCCTTAAGGAGAACGGCTACCACGTGGCCTGCCTGGCGCCCCGCGGCGACACATTTGCGCCCACGGTGACGGAGCTGAGCGTGGACGAGTACGGCTTCCTGGAGTCGCCCGAGTTCGTGCCCAAGTTCGTCAGCAGCGGTGCCAAGAAGGGCGAGTCGGGCATGGCCGCCGCCGACCAGCCCACCATCTGGGACCGGTTGTTCTACAAGGGACTGCGCAACGCCGGCGAGGCCGTCGACTACGACGAAGCCGTCGTGCGCTCCGCCATCACCTGGCTGGGGTGCCCGCCCGACGACAAGCCGTGGGTTCTCTTCATGCCTCTGCTGTTCCCGCACTGCCCCTTCCAGGTCGAGGAGCCCTACTTCTCCATGTACGACAGGTCCGAGGCCTGCATCGCCACCGGGTTCCCCAAGCAGGCGGACAAGACAGGCCACGAGCCGAGGTACATGCAGGTCATCCGCGAGAGGTACGGCACCGCCCGCGCAACCGACGACATCTGGCGCGAGGTCAAGGCCACCTACTACGGCATGGTCTCGCGGCTGGACGACCAGTTCGGCCGCGTGATCAAGCGCGTAGACGAGCTTGGGCTGTGGCAGGACACGGCCACTCTGTTCTTCACCGACCACGGTGAGTACCTCGGCGACTATGGCCTGATAGAGAAGTGGCCCTCTGGCCTGTCCGACAGTCTGACGCACGAGCCCCTTATCATCGGCGGTGCCGGCATCCCAGAGGGTCGGACGGTTGATGCGATGACCGAAATGGTCGACCTGGTCCCCACCCTCCTGGAGATGTCTGGTATCGGGGAGCACTTCCCCCACGGGGGCAAATCTTGGGTCCCCTTGTTGAAGCAGGACGCAGAGGCAGCTCGCGAGCACAAGACATATGCCTTCACCGAAGGCGGCTTCCTGAAGGACGAGGAACCTCTTCTCGAACAGGCGCCCTACCCCTACGACATCAAGTCGTCCCTGCAGCACGAAGACACGGCCCTGGTCGGTAAGGCCATCTCGGTGCGCGATAAGACCTGGACATACATCTATCGTCTTTATGAGGAAGCGGAGCTATACCATCGCCAGAATGACCCCTATGAGCTGCACAATCTCGCGGCGGATCCACAATACAAGCACATTGCCGATATGATGCAGAGCGTCACGCTGAGGTGGCTGGTCGCGGGAACCGACTTCCTTCCTTGGCAGAACGATCCCCGGTTCCCGAACGTCGACCTGAAGACTCCGCGTGAGCAGATGGAGGAGAGGCTTTCCAAGAGAAAGGACCGGCCCGAGGAAGAAAAGGTGTGACTAAACAAGCCAAGTACGTTTCAGGGACCATTGCTGGACTGTACGGACGTGTGAGGTACAAGGAATCTAAAGGACCACATGAACAGCCGCCCTTCTCTGATTCTAGGCAACGATCAATACACATACGCTTGTCACTAGCGCCTTCACAACTGCATTGCCTATATGTCGTTAGGCCCGCGGCGTACTCCTCAATGCGTGAATGGTGAGACCTTAGGGCCAATAGTGTAGGAACTGCAGAGAAGGCTTGAACACGCATAAAGTCTTGATGACCAGGTATTACAACCCGTGACGGTCTTAGTTAGACAGGCACCGGAATATATAGAGAGCAACCTGTTATATCCTCATGTACCTGTTGCGTCAAAGTATGGTTAATATCTATAGAATAACAAGAACCTCCATTCCTCAGCGCGACTTAGAAATAGTTTCAATAGAAGCACTATGCTTATATATTAACAATCTTGGCTGAGTGATCCTCTAACATGATAAATGATTTACACAGAACTCTCCTTGTTGTTCGACACAACAGTCGGCTCGGAAACACCGCTCTTGCCGTACACTTGATCGTCGTTGTGGCTGTCAGTGTCTATGTCCTCGAAAACGTATGAGCCAAACTTCCGTATCGGGACACCCCTCTGGAACATGAGATCGACCTGCTCGAGGGTCTTGCCCGTACAGTCGGGCACACAGAAGTATATGAAAGCAATGCCGAGAATACAAACAGATCCAAAAATGAAGCCGGTCTTGGAGCCAATAGCATCCAGACAGTAAGGGATGATGAAGTTGGACACGAAGCTGTTTTTTTGTCAGTACCGGTGAAGACAAGAGACAATCCGGAATGGTGCTGAAAGACTTACTTGAAGACGACATTGACGACAAAACCCGTCCGAAGCGTCATATCCCTGAGGCGCAGCGCTGGGATCTCGGTGGAAACGACGTAGCATAGCGGACCGAGCCCCGTGCTGAAGCTCACGGTGGCGAGACTGAGCATGCTGACGATGGCAATCTTGACATCCTTGTGCATATCCTTGATGGTCCCCAGCCCGCCCATTGTCATCATGGCGGTGCCCATGAGGCAGATGCTGAACAACAGCAGCTTCCTCCTGCCGATATGGTCCGTCATCAGCAGGGAGAAGCAGATGGTGATGAAGGCGATGGACGAGGAGATGATGGTGAAGTGGAACGGGTTGATGGTGCCGAGCTGCTTGACGTAGATGGCACCGTACTGGCTGCCGAACTGCTGCCCGGTGGCCTGCTGGAAGAAGTTGATGCCAATGACGATGGCGGTGCGCTTGATGTTGTTCCGCGAGAACAGCTCGACATACGAGCCCTTGTCGGCCTCGCGACGCAGCTGATCCTGTATGTCGCGCAGTTCGTCCTCGATGGCCTCCTCCGAATATAGAGTGCCAACCCTGAACTTGTGCAGGTTCTCTCTGGCCTCGTCGACGCGCCCCTTCTGCAGGAGCCACCTCGGCGACTCGGGGAGGAACCAGACCGACGCGGCGATGATGGAGGGCACGATGTAGAACAGACCCAGGGGGATCCTCCAGGCCTGGTTGCTCGTCAGCGTGCTCGTGCGCAGGCAGATGCTGTTGATGACCAGCCCGCCCAGGATGAGCGAGAGCTGGTACGACCCGACGATGAGGCCCCTGACGGGGGCGGGCACGATCTCCGCCTGATAGTTCGGGATGACGGACAGCTCCATGCCCACGTAGATGTAGTTGAGGATGCGTGCCGCCATGATCTGATCCCTGTGCATGCTCGTCACGCACACCGTCGCCGTCGCCAGCGCGTAGATGCTCATGACGAACATGCACATCCTGCGGCCCCAGCGGGCCGACACGAACGACCCCACCATCACGCCGACACCGAAGCCGATGTAGTTGAGGGAGCCGAAGAGCGACAGCCACGACGCCGGCAGCGCGTACTCGCCTGTCGAGGCGTTGTATTTGCCGAATTGCCGGGCAAACGGCGCCATGGCCTGCGTCGTCGCGAAGGCCTGGTTGTCGAAGCCATAGTTGAAGGTCGAAACGGCAATGACGGAACAAGCCACCGCGAGCCGGCGGTTGAAGTATTGCGTCTTGGCCACGAGTTTGTCCATGTTGCAGTGCTGTTCCGATGCTTTGCCTGCCTTGCCTACATGCACATCCGTTCTACATGGCCATGGTTCATACGTACGTACGCCGCGCCCTCTTATACAAGTTGCTGCCGTGTTGGTCTGGACAGATCACGCAATCCATCGCTCAAATGGTTATATAGTTATGTACATGTATAAATGGTCTAGACCTATTGATAGTGAGAAGAAGCACGGATAATAAATTGATAGCACTGAATCGCGCATGGGCTGCACTTCCACATTTCGTCGTAGACTATGAGCAGTGGGTCCGGATGCCGTGCGAGATCCGTCGGTGGCACATATCCAGGGGCGACTTACTTACATCACCGGCCATCCATCCTTGCACTCGTAAGACTTTAATCGTCATTCCTCCATATAGACTCATCTTACGACGTGATTGTATCTACGGTTCGTTGCTGACAAACTGCAAATTGCCACTCATCATATTTTAATCATCTCTCGCCTGCATGTACGCTCAAAGTACAAGCGTCAGGTAGACTTGGGTTGTTCAATAAGGTGTCTGCCATCACAATTTATAAGTCTAAGTCAACGAGGCCAAGTCCAAGAGAAGAAAAAGTACAAGTTGAGTAAGAGGTTGGTAAATGTCAGAAGTTGGACAGGTAGAAGTAGAATAGAGAAGTGTTTGAAACGGCCCCCAACGTAGTGAGGGGAGGGAGGTGACCAGACATCTCCTTCGTCTGAAAACAAGGGGGAAAAGAGATTGAAAAAGAAAATCATGATACTTCGTCCTCTCGAAAAGCGCCAGCTGCTCCGTCTTAACTCTCTTTATAACATGAAAAAAAATCCCTTCCCATCCCCATTTCTTCCCACACATTAAGAATAAGAAAATGTAAAGAAGTAAAAGAATAGAGTACTAAAACGCCGGTGCCTTTGATAAAAACCCCAATCCCGATTTCCGGCATGCCAGCCGGAATTTTTTAGTCTTGTTCCACAAGTAACGTGTAAGAAATAAGAATCCTGTGTGCCTCAACTCCGGTTATTTTGTTTTCTATGAGTGTTACCCACCCAACACACACGTGACACAAAAGTATGACATCATCTGACAGGAACAGATAATGTGAAGTGAGAGAGGAAGAAATGAAGAATCTAGAAGGAGAAGAAAGAGGAGGAGGAGAGTGGAGTACATCAAGCACATACAATGCGCTCTATCGTCGTCGGAGACAAGGGAAGGGGCACGCGCCGTTTATGGGTGGCCATTCAACCCAGTTGTCGTAGGCGAAACTTCGTTCTCTGACTTGACATTATGCGTGTCCAGAGAGAGAGCCGGCTTGGCCTCTTCCGGGCTCAGAAGCGTCGGCCTCGAGGCCGTCGAAACCACCGGTGTTTTCGCCTTGTTCATCGACCGCTTCGTGTAGTCGCTGAGGCTGAGCTTCTTCTTTGCCGGGGACGGCTGGGCATTTGCGCCGTTCACTGCTGCACCGCTCAGGTTCGGTGGAAATGGTGGCTGCACCACCGAGCTGGTCGTCGATTGAGGTGTCGCCGCACTGAGGGAGCTCGCGATGTTTCCGTCAAACGTCGGCACAGGCGGCATCTGCACCTGGAGGTCGGAGGGCTTCATCTTGACTGGGTCCACAGCGCTGTCGGGTACGGTAGGTGGAGAAATTTCGGTTGGCGCATCCTCCGCCTTAGCATGGTCAGGCTGAGTGGTCTTCGAAGGGGCATTGGTATCGCCTGAGTCGCTAGTTACAGTGGCGTTGCCAGCATCGGCGGCGGTGCTGGTGCCGGTGTCAGGCAGAGGCTTGTTCGGTTGTGTGGGCGAGTCAATCTCCATAGCTGGGCCAGGTGAGGCCTCATGTGCTAACGATTGCTGCCTCCGCCGCTCCTCATCTGCACGCTGCTTCTTGCGATTGTCCAAGAGACGCTGAGCAAGTGAAATGACTCTCCGCCTAGGTGCTGCGGCCTTCGGTGGGCTGCTGAACCACTCTCCCTCGACAGGGTCCGTCTGGATCGCAGCGTTGCAGTACACCGGGCGAGGGTTGGCCGAGGTGTGCCGTGAGCGCCCAGTCACCGAGTGTGGCCTTGGAGTCTTGAAGACATCCGTGAACGTGGGTGAGTTCACCGTAGAGGGGGAGCCAGACTTGCTCCGACCAGCGCCGGTATCGACGTACTGGCCGCCAGAAACAGAAGTGTGCAGCTGTCTGGATTTGGAAGAGCTGGACGTCCCGTCTGACACACGCTTCTTCTTCCGTGGCGGCTGCTGCTGCTCCATGCGTCGGAAAGAGTCCTCCACCATGGCCACCTTTCGCTTATCACGGTCAGTCGGTTCGGTGAGGATGCCCAAGCGGTCGAGAGATCCTTGGCGATTCGGCGTGGGGTCTCTGCTCGAGGGCTTGCTGCGCGATCCCGATTGCGATATCGTATCCTGATCGAGGCCGTCTTCGGGATGGCCTTCGCTAGGGGCCCGGCTAGCATGGCCAGTGCTGGTCGGGGAGATGGTATGAGTCCGTTGTTTGCGCTGCTTCTTCTTGGATCCGTTAGGCCGTACTGCACCGTTACTCCTACCATGCAAGTAGTGACGATGGAAGCGCGCAAAGGCGCAATTGTTCTCCAACTCGCATGCACAGCCCCCGTACTCGGAGAGAATGTGGTCAATCCAGTTCGAAATGGCGATGTACTCGGCCTCATCCATGTCAGGCTCGCTGCGAGCAGGGCCGTCGTCGTCGCTCAGCCCCAGCAGCTGGAGCCAGCGTGCGCTGACATCCTTTTTCAGCCTGAAATCCCACGGTAGAGTTATTTGCTCATGCGCGGCAATGTATCGGTCGCTGACGAGCCAGAAGTGATACTCGGATTCGTGAAGATAGGTATCCAGCTGAGCGTTCGGTTTGCAGCTCCGTCGCACGTAGCGAGCCAGAGATCCTTCCTTCCGCGTGTCAATATATAGAGGCAGCACCGGGTGGAAGAAGACAAATGGTAAAGGTGACGAAATGTTGGCCCAGAGGTTTCCGGGTTCTGAACAATAATCCTTCTGGAATCCAATCTCGCCATTCAGCTCGATTAGCGGTACATCCTTCTCCACTGGCGTTGCCGACTTAAGGAAACGCAAGCGGAGTGTCCTTCCCGGCTCCACCGGCGTCAGAATGTCTTTGACCTCGAGCTTGGGTTTCTTGCCCTCAGCAACAGAGGCCACATCCTGGAATACTTCGGCATGTGACCGACCAACCTCCTTCTTCAGTGTTTCGGGGTCGCGGAGCCAGCGAGACAGTGCCGTCGGAATGGCAAGGCTGGCAAATGCGTTATTCTGGGTATCGGGCACATTGTGCTCGCTGTAGAGGGCGCAGAATCCTGCAGAGTAGTGGTGTATTTGAAAGTCGTCTGGGAGGTTGGGAGGGCTAGTAGCGGGGCTTGGAGGATGTACAGGGTTTGTTCGTAGATTCGAGTATGAAGGACTCCGTTTAGAGGGTTGAGAGCTGACGGATTGTGAAGGGCGATGTGAGGACTTGTTTTTTTTTGCCGGAGGAGGCTGATCCCCCGGGATCCCGTTTTTGCCAGTATCGGTAGCGCCATTGAGCTGGGCATCTAGTCTGGGCTTCTTCTTGTGGCTTTTTGAGGGAGGGCGTCTCGACTTCTTTTCCGAAGAACCGTCTGCGCCGGAGCCCCTCCTCAAGTGCATGGCCCGCTCGATGGCCTTTTGTCGATTGAGAGGACGGGGATTGCACTCAGCGCAGGCGTGGGCGAAGTCTTCGCGAATGGCCTCCTCCCTGTTGTCGGGGTAGAAGCATTCAATATGTTGCCACGTATCGCATGTCTCGCAGTAAATCGTGTTCCCATCATCATCAGTGAAGTTGCAGATGCACTTGATGGTGTAGGGCTCCTCCTCTACCGACTCGACCTTGTGTGCCACTTCATCTTTGGAGACGGGACCAGGTGGAAGGAGGGGGACGGTCTGACTGGAGGGCAGATATTGCGGGAGCAGCGCGTTTGACGAGTCTGTCATAATCTGATGGTGCGTCGCCACGAGGGAGACGACAGAAAGGCTGGTGACAATTGTTTATCGACGCGGTATTGAGGGCATGACGACGCCGGGCAAGCAAAACACAGCGCGCCTCGTGTAAGGGTGAGGGGATCGTCTAAGAGTCCTGCCACCAGGAGGGAAATGCGTCGCGGGAGGGGGGGGGACGAACGCCTTTTCCCCAGAGCCTCCGTCGGTTGCGACGGTGCAGAGGGGGGGGGAGCAGGAGGGGGGACACAAGAGGGTCGAGTCGAGGGCCGCAAGGGTGGGCGACGAGAAGCGAGGCGGTGGGAAAACACAAGGCGATTTTCGTGTAGCCGGCGATGTCAGGAAGACAGATCGAGTACTCTGAGGCGCTTGAGGGGGGGTAATGTGGTCGCAGAATCGAGGGATATCGTGTCTTCGCAAATTTCGTCGTGTTGAGGAGTTGAGTCGGAAGAGGACCCGAGAAACGTGCGTCGAGAAAGCGCGAGCGGCGCGCGACGTGAGCGTGACAAAGCGAAGAAAAGTTTTACAAAGTTCAAATCTTGAATGAAAGGTTTTGTCGTGAAGGAAGAGAGTCGAGGAGACCGAAAGGTAGTTATGGCTGCAAAAGAGAAAAAGGGAAAAAGAGGAGGGATCGTGGTGATAATGAACAGAGAAGAAAGGTAAAAGAGATTGGGGGGGAGGAGACAAAGAGTGGATGTGGATGGGGAAAGAGCTACCGGGCAGGACAGCCAGCCAAGGGAAGAGCGAGAAAGCGAAAGACAGAATGCTGAGAGTGTGTAGTCTGTCGCCAGCGGTCACCCCCAGCACCTTTCTCTCCTTCCCTGGGGGTCCAGCAGCCAGCACCACTATTACATCTAGAGGGATTGTGGCCTCTTTTTCTTTCTGAGGGGGGGTGGAGGGCCCGGAGGGGAGGGAGGGGAGGAGCCACTGGGAGCGCTGGAAGGGAGGGGGGGGGCCTACCACTAGGGGCGCGCCAACAGGTGGCCGCTGCTGCTGTATTATTAGCTGTAACTGTAGCGCATCCGCAGTGGGCAGTGCCAAATGCCTGTGCCAATTTGGTTGTTGCAGGCAGACCTCAGCGGGCGGGCAGGGGTACGTACCCATATCTGAACAGTCTGCCGCAGTCAGCAAAGCACTCAAAACGCACTCCAAAGACCCGCGGCGTAGGCTCTCATCTCGGCAACCGCCCCCCTCTGGACCTCTGGGGTGCGTAGGATATTGACGCTAACCCTAATTTAGTTTGGCGGTGGTGGTGAAAATCTTAGTGCATCAGAGGCAGAAACATGGCTCTTTTGCTTTTTCCTTTTCGCCTCAGGCATGAATGAAATCACTCGACCCGCACTGTCCGCAGCCGCTTGTATGGTCAGAGCTCTCCTCCTCGCTCTCATCTCTGTCTGGGCCGTGGCCACTAACTGGCGTAATCCTGTTGTGCCGGGTGGGTATCCGTACAGTATATGTACGTGCGACGGCAAGACGGATGACGGGGATTAAATGTGCATGAGTATTACTCTTCTGTCTGCCTCTTCTCATGATGATATTATTAGTAAAATAGTAGCAGGGCATGAGGAGAATGCCAAGTGAGGAGAGGCCAGATCGGCAGACGGTGAAGGGGAAATGGGAAGGTCAGACAAAACTCACTCACGTCGACCGACCAAAAAGTAACCCGGGGTTTACCAAGCCCAAACCTTCATAATATCTGTAGAGATCCGTCAGCATCAGAGTATCAGTGTCATGGCGACGTGCCTGCTTCAAGCCATGTCGTCATAACCTCCAAGCCCACATTTGTGCTGTGCTTTTCTTCTGGGTCACCATGCGCGAAAGAGTATCATCGAACTCGGCAGACTGGCGACTACGTATTAGGAAGTTGTTTTTCTGTCTTTTCGGGGTCCTCGTTTCCAGGGTCTCTCCCACGAGGCTTCCGTGCGTGTCTTGCAATGGTCGTTTTTTTTATCTCACCGAGGGTTGAAAAGGAGGACGGCAGAGCTTACGGAGGGTATCAGGTCCATATTGTCACACGAAATCGTGCCCAGCCCTCTCTCCCTCCTTGTGCGGGACGCACACAAAAAGAAAGAGAAAAAAGGAAAGAAGAAAAAAAGATGATGCATATGTAATCTGTACAGGTAGCAGCATCAGCAGCAAGCTGTCGGCCATAGCGGGAAGGGATGGCGCATACTGGTAGGTATAATCAACTGTATTCTTGGCTAAGCAATGTTAGGAGTCGCCGGGGAGTCGTCGGGCACTGAAAAACGAAACGGGGCACCCTGGGCAGAGCGTAACATTGAAGGCCGTGCGAGGGACCGCCACATTGTGAAAATGGCGCACTGGGTGACCAGGTGAGGGCTGCGAGATGCAGAGACGAATAACACTTTCTAAGAGGAAAAAGAGTCACGCTGAAAAGTGGAGACGTATCATCGATGCAACCGACAACGTTACCATGATTCGTCTATTTAGGGGCCATTTTAGCGGGGCAGTCTACAAGATGCAAAGAAGGCTATTGGCCACAAAACTTGTTGGTACGGATATGTACAAGCGCGTCTTTGGTAGCAAAGTGCTCTGTACAAAATAGTATTACATACTGAGTAGCACAGCGCAGAAGTACAGAGTACGGAATAATACTACGAGTTAAGTACGGAGTAATAATACTGACTTTACTGTCCCCTACCCGTTTTGGCTAGGTGGATGGATACGAACACTGGGAGTATTACCGACGGCATGTGAGTCCGTAATATTTCTCAAGTATGGATGCTCATGCTCTCAATAATAATACCTCTTCGACTGGGTATTCCGGTCTCATCCCACTTATTAGCGCGACTGTTACCCGGTAGCCGGTTTCTCCGCATCTTGCCATTTAAAGATGAGCTGGTTCAAAACGATGATACAAGTATATGTGTGGTATGAGTATATACTCACGAGTAACACTAGCTAGATATTCATCGTCAGGATAACCAATATTACTAGCAGTATTACTAGTCCTTGATGACAGTTGCATGTGCCGAAGAAGGACGACGTATTTGACACATACAGCTACTTGTCCAACGGCTGACGAACAACATCACGTCTCAACATAAAACTATAATGTTCATATCAGCTCGCATCGTAGACGGTCTGGACAAAGAGAACCCCGCACGAGAGGAATTTGCCTCGTCGTAGTATGTGCTATATGAGTATCTTCTTACTTTTCGGACTGAGCAGCGACAGGCAGGCTTCCACAAATTCAGCAGCAGCCTTTGAAGTAGACAGTGGCAATGTTGAGTTAAGGGAATAGTAATGTCAATCCACGAGCTCTATAATTTTGAATCATATGTTTATCTACGACATGTTCCCCGCGCAGTCAATATATGCCTCCATGATCGATAGTGTAGACCAATGTCCAGAGGGGATGAAGCTATCAAGCATAAAAGACAATGGGCTGTGCTCACCGTATTGGAGGCTCGATAGTAAAAGAAGAAGAAAAAAACTTCGAATAACAGAGGATAAAGAAGGGATAGTGTAAAGAAAGGCGATAGATGCAGGCAAATCTCAGCTGTCGGATGTACGATTTAATTACTAGTAATGGTTCATGATGAAGCGGCACTAAAGTTACACTTGTTGCTGCCACCAATCAAAACGCGTCATCAGACGGTCCCATGACGCACCCAACTATTATCATAGCGAGCCCCAGCCAGACGGCGGACGAGACCGATACCGCCCCCCAAAATCAACCACAGTCTTTTGACCTCGACCCCAACCTCCCCAGGCAATCACCAAATCTCATTGCAACATTGCCACCGCTACCGCCGTCCTCACATCCATCTTCATAGCATCACGCACAACCTGGCCATCGTCGCCAAAATCTCAAAACAAAAGCCCCTTTCGCAACCGACAACATGCGGTTCTCGGCCGTCGTTGCGTGCCTGACCGCCAGCCTGGCGCCCGCCGCCGCTCTGAGCATCTTCAACGGCAAGGCCCCGGATGCACTCGCCAACGAAGACCTCAAGGTCCCAGGCCAGTCCCCTCTCGAGCTCTGCCCCGGAGAGCATGCTAAGGATCTCGTCGAGATCAAGAGCGTCGACCTCGCTCCCAACCCCCCCCGGGCGTAAGAGTTCACCAAAGAAAGAATGAGAGAGATATAAACCCCGCCCGGACGTCAGAGGAAGCTAATCAGAGTAATATACATGTATAGGGGACAGGAACTCGTCATAAAAGCCAAGGGTGTCATCAAGCAGACGATCGAGGAGGGCGCCTACGTTCTCCTCGTCGTCAAGTACGGCCTCATCCGCCTCATCACCACGAAGGCCGACCTGTGCAAGGAGATTGGTAACGTCGACCTCGAGTGCCCCCTCGAGGCTGGCGACCTGGAAATTACCAAGACTGTCGAGCTTCCCGCCGAGATTCCTCCTGTACGTTATTTCCCATCTCCCTCCCTTGACGACTAGACGCTTTGTGTGTACACGATACTGATGGACAATGCAGGGCAAGTACACTGTCCAGGCCGACGTTTACACCGCCGAAGACGTCCCCATTACCTGCCTCACTGCCACTGTCAGCTTCAGCCGCCCTTCGTTCTTCGAGCTGTAAGCTCTCGTGTTACTGCACAGCCTTGATCAAGGGAAGCGTGGACTATGGCGGGCCACATTGATGCTGCATGCCCCGATATGAGCGTTCGTTTTTCATATTCTCACTTTAAAGTTTGCCTTCATCTTCATTTTCTCCTGTCGCCTTAATTTTCGTCTCTACTTTTTGCACACAACGGTTTCTTTTTCTTGTCCAAGATTTCCAAGATTTCTCCTTTTTTTCGTAGCCGCCGCCGCGATACAAGAATTTTTTTCTTTTCTTTCCTTCTGCGCTACACGCTACTCTGGATAGTTTTATGCATGACGAGAAGAATAGACGCCTAGCCGACCAACCCCCATCAACGTACAGAACAAAATGACATGACTCCCTCGCCTATAAGGCACCATGAATAGAAGGCACCATGAATAGAAGACTATTCTCCAAACAAACGGCGCACGCGCTGCAGCACGCTGTCCTTCTCTGGGTCGTAAGGGTGGTCTTTGCTGGGGATCTCAAGGAGGGCGGGGAAGGCGGCGGTGTAGGTATCGACACGATGACGGATTCTGTCGGCGATCTGTGCAAGGGGGATAAAAGTGTAAGCAGCTATCAACGGCATGTTTTTTGCGTAGGAAGAGGGGAGAACTGACATGCTGGTTGATCAGGAGTATGCCAATATCCTTCCTGTCTTGGGTAAACCGGTCAAATGCTGCCTCAATGGTGGCCGTATCGGTCTTGTTATCGACGGCTAGGAAGTTCTTCTCAGGGCTGGCGCCATCAGTGACGTGCTAAATGGAAAGAGTCAGCGATTCGTCATTGGAAACATATAAAAGGCCTAGGCGGGAGAGAAGGGAAAACGCACCCCAATTCCTGCGAGAAGAAGACCAGTTACCGAGTCCTAAGAGGCGAAACGACGTCAGCGGGATATCCCCCCCAAAGGTTTTGCGCGCGCGGGCTATCATCAGCGATGGGTGGCGGGGAAGGTGGACGGTAGAGAGAGACGGACCTCATCGCCAATGACGGCGAGAAACTGGCGATCCTTATAGCTGGCTTGGGATGCCATGTTGGGTATGATGATCCCGGGTTGATGCAAGCGGGAAAGATGTTGACGGATGAGGGCCGCCTGCGACGAGCTACCTGCGATGGGGGGGACGTAACCTGGAACGGATGGATGCTAATGGACCGTAAAGCCGCTCTCTGCGATTAACACGCTAATCTTGATCCATCAGTAGTTGACTTTAGTGACTGTACATAATGTCTAGGCTGTCGCCAGTATTATCCACAGCGCTCGAGGTTAGATGATAAGCCACCCCCCCTGCTAGAAAAAGGACCCTGCAGGCGCTAATGCTGGCTGCTGGGGAGAAATTCATCGCCAAAGTAAACAATCAATCCTTTTGTCCATTTCTCTCACGCTCATCGCCCCAAGCCCCTTTTGGCTCCCCTTCTCACGCCATCGTCATCAACGGGCTGTGTTGACACTCTTCTTCTTCTCGACGCAAGGGCTTATCTATTTTCATCTTATTATCTTTTGAGGATAGGAAACGTGAGAAACTCTTTTGACACCTACGATGCCTCGTCTCGTGCGGCGCAAGCCGCTTGTCGAGAGGCTCATGGCCATGCTGAACCCCATGGACTTTTTGCTCTGGCTGTCCGAGGAGATGGAGACGTGGGACTGGGAGTCGAAGCTGTCGGGGACGCAGCTGGGTATCATGCTTAACTTTTTGTTTCTGATCGCCCGTGCCAACTCTGGCTCGTCGGCGTCGTCGGGCGACGATATTTTCAGCGACGATGGCCGCTCGGGATGGTTGGCATTCTTGGTATGTGCTCTCTCCCACTCCTGCAAAACTTGACTTACGTTCATCTACTTTTGCAGCCGTAACTGATAATATCTATCCATACAGATCAACACCATCGTCTGGGGCCTCGTGGGTGTCTCGTGCGCCAATGCCTTCCACGCCTTGACGCGCACTCGCAAGTACCGCCTGTTTGGTGTCGACGTCGAGGCCAAGCCGCCGACCCCGTCCGCCCGACGTGTCAAGATAGCGTCTTCCATGGGCAGCGGTGTCTCTACCCTGCGCTACCTGGCCGACGCCGTTATGCCCCACGCCGCGGGCTCCCGCGCCCACCCCAACAAGGCCGATGATGTGTGGGAGTTGTCAGTCTGGGACCCGTTGCCCGTGTCGCTTCGGCTCTTCTGCCTTTTCAGCCCGGGCCACGTCTTCTTCTACCTCATCTTCCTGCCTCTGGAACCTCTACACCCGCGCCCCAGCGTCACCGTCTTCAACACGCTGCTCGTCGAGCTGGTCCTCTCATGCCAGCTCCTCTTTACCTGCTCTCGTTTTACCCAGCAGGCTAAGGACAACAACATCGTCCAGAGGGAGGTGATGCATGAATACGACACTAAGTTTGTCCACCCTCGCCTCCACCCTATCGTCAGGGATGCTGGTACACAGATATCGGACAACCCATCCGCTCCGGTCAAGGATCTCGTCCAGGTCGGCACACCGACGACGCTCATCCGTCACTCGTTTCGCTCTAAGCCGAACCCCTACGCGACACCCTCCGAGCTACCAGCCACCGCCGCTGGCACCCCGACCACCGTCGGCACTCCTGCTCCGCAGACGTACACGCCCACCAACCCTGTCCGCCGGTCCGAGGCATTTGCCTCGTCAGTCGACCACTCCCGTCTGTCTACTTGGCGTAAGAGCCTGCCGGCGGGGTACACGTCGAGCGCGACATCGATAAGGGGAGGGATCCCGGGATCGGCAATGAAGGGCGACCTCAACAACCTTGGCGGCTACCTGGGCGCTCACACGCACAACGAATCGCCCCTGCGCAAGGCCACGAGCCTGTACAACATCGACGACGTCGAACAGCAACCCTCCCCGCGCAACTCGCGCGAGATGGCCTCCTACGAGCAAAGACGCCAGGGGACACCCGCTAGGAAGCATTCCGTCTCCGAGACCCCCGGGTCTGCTAGGCCTAATCCCTTCGCTTTAAATGCCAATGTCAGGCAGAGATCGTCACATGACAAATACCCGTCTGCGCGGCAATGACCTGTTTATTCCTATCCCTTTCTTTTGCATTTTGTCTTTTTTTTTTTTTTTTTAACCTCTTGAGGTTTTTTTAACCTCTTGAGGAGACCCTTGTACTCAAGTTTGTTACATCGCACCACTTCTTTTCTTCATGGTGGAAATGGCATTGGCATATTTAATGGAGTTTTGAGGAGTTTAGTTCTTTCACTTTCCTGGGTTGTTTTGAGCGCATGAAGCCTAGGAGTATTACATTTATCTCAAGTTCATACGAATGGCTTTTACAGGAACTATCTTTTATTTACTCTTTTTATCTTTTCGGAGTGATATGAGCACATAATACGTTTGAGTTTGATGAAATGAAACGGGAGAAGAAAGGAGAAGAGCACCAAAGGGTTCCTGAGCGGCTGCGGCCTTGTGTATCCGTCAGCAGAGCTCCTTCCTTTTCCGCATGAAGAGCAAGTTTGCCGGGTTACAGTGTAGGAAACTTCTCATCGTTTCTCTCCTTTCCCAAGAGGTCCTGCATTTTCCTACCTATTCACTTCTGTTTTTCTAATATCAGTCATAACTTATATAACAGGTTTGAGGCTCTAAGCAGCTGTTCAAGTCCTGCTTGTCACCTGCTTGCCACCTGCCTGCCACTGCTCGTTCATTTTCCTGTGTCTCCCTTCACGTCCAGGTACTCGCCTGTAGTAATAATATGTCTTGTTTCTACTCATCATCCCTGCCAGTCAACAAACATCACACCTCACTACCTCGCCCAACCCCTGGTAGGAATCGAGTCAAGAAGAGTCCGTCACGGCAACCAACAACAATCTCGTCACTGGGAAACTGGTGGAAAGCCATGCTTCCGAGTCAGAAACCCGAAAGAGGTGGCACTCTAAGGAAGCAAGGCTACTGGGAAAAAATGAACAACACAGGTGCAAGCTATACCCCCCAGAAGCACGAAGCCACGCAGAGTGAACCCGACGTCGTCACGGGGTGGAACGCCGCGCAGGGCCTATCCGAAAGCGAAAGACGAAGGGTCCCTTTCCACACTCCGGCTAGGACTAGTTACACGCCAAACGGAAGCCCGAGGCCAAACCTGTACTGGGGTTCAACCGAGAAGAGCATCAGACCCTCCCCTGCCAGTTTCAAACTGAGCTGGCAGGACCTTGGTTTTGATGATGATGCTAAACTAGAGCCACGACGCTTAGATCCTCGCCGCTCTTCACACGTCTACCGGATGATCGAGGCCAAGAAAGATGCTCGACGTCAAAGAAGAAGCCTCAAGGAGAGCGGCGACTACCTTGGCGTGCAAGGGATCAACCCGGAAACGGGGAAACTGGACACAATCACCCCGTCTGACAGTTCCGACAGCGGTGACAGCCAAGAGATCCAGCATCGAATCGACAGACTGAAGAAGACCCTCAGGGATGCCAGGGATACACATAGGAGCTCGTACATGCAGATTGAGAGAGAGATTAAGCGGCTCCTCAGGAAGAAAGAACGCCAGGAAAGGGAGAGGAAGGCTCTTCAGACCGTGAGGTGGCAGAGGAGCTCGAAACAGTGGTCTTCGGCCCACGAACTGCCTGTCAGCCCTCCCGCTGTGCAGTTGCTAACTGACCAAGTGCAGCCTTCAACACCACCAAGAGATACACGTAAAGTGTATCCTCTCGTGGATCTAAGTACACCGGGATCCACACCGCCGCTGGGGATACAGCACCACGCCCCAGATCTGTCAGACTTCAACTCTGACGGGACGGTTATCCGCACGCCCTGCAAGCCGAAACACTTGACAAGGAAACCAGCCGCTTTAGAGCTTTATGACAATGGTATAAGCTTGATTCCGTCCGAACATTTTAAAGCCAGTACGCCGAAAAGCCATGAGACCCGTGACAAAGCTGTGCCTCTGAACGGAGAAGCTGGACGAGCAGAGGACATCGCGTCTAAACAGTACGAGAAGAGAGGGTTCCGGGGCACAATGAGGCCTGATCACGATTCTTTTTTAGACATCATCGCCCTTGGAAGGGAGAGCTACCAGGGCAATTTCGCATCGCCACTGACCCCCCAGTGTCTCTCCGTTCCATCGCTTCTGACTCCAGAGGAAGGTTATATCCTCGCAGAGAGGTCTCTCACACGATCGGCAACCCAGTCTCGACGTATGCCCGAAATACCCCGGAGCCTACCGCAAAGCCGCAAGTTCAGTTTCGAACTTCCATTGACAGCCATGGAAGACGTGGGTCGGTATGCCAGTCCGTGGGAAATGGCGAGCTTCGAAGACCCGTCTATGAAGAGCAACAGCGACGGCCGCAAAGCTGGAGGGAGAAATCACCGTCGTCATCGCTCCCGGTTCAAGCAGATCCGAGGATTCGTGGGAACACCACGGGCCAACTCCCCAGACAAGATCAAAGAATGGCCTACGCGAGCGGTTCCACCCACCCCGAAGATGCCATCAAGCCCAGGCACATGGCCACTGACCCAGACGAAGATGCAGCGTACCCCTCCTCACCTGATGTCACCGATACACTTGGTAATCATGGCCAGGAACTTGAAGGGGAGATCCCACAACAACAAACGCTCCAAGACCCGGAGAGGACAGGGCACAGGCAAGCTGCTTGCCCAGACACCGAAGGCCGACAGTCCAAGGATTGCCAAGGAGGTCAAACGCAACAGCCATGGGGGCAGCGATGGGGCAGATGCGATACAAGAACCGTTGAGTCTGTTGGAAAGGAACCCAAAGAGGGGAACGAGACCCCCTCTAGAGGGCGCAACACAAAAGAGGTCGAGGCCATCTCAGGGCAGAAAACCAGGAAGATCTGTGTCCACACCCATCACCACCACTACTGGCTTCGACCGTCCGGAGTACGGTCCGATTCCGACGGAAAGGGTTCTGGAGGGCTACGGGAAGGGAGACGGCCTCAGGACCACCCCCCAGAGCTACAAGAAGTCAATGTTGATAGAGGGAAAGACAGACTCAGCCACCTTCCGTCAGAGGGAACAGCCGAGAAACTTGCTGAGATCAACACCGGACGGTCAGATTGTCCCCATAGATGTCTCCTCCAGGAGACCCGAGAGTCGTACAGAGAGTCCAGACGGGTCCCAGTCCCAGCCGCGTCTTATAGATCGCCAGCTGAGTCTTCCAGCTTGGAGAATGGAGCAGGTACAGCATCACAAGTGCAAGGCATCACGAGTATTCACATCTACATACATTCACAGACGCACGGGACTCGTATCCGAGACCATGAGAGCCAGAGTGGCGCAAAGGAAGCACATGTATCAGCAGAAGAGCCCCGTGAAATTTCAACGTCAAGGGCCGCTCCCGATACCAGCACGCCGACAACAAGAAGCGTTGCAGGAATCGACAAGACAAACCACGAAAAACCAGGTGGAAATTCAGAGAAGAATGGAATTTCGACCAGCCCAAGTAGAGGAATCGAGGAGGGAGACCATGGCTCTGAGAAAAAGAGTAGATCCGTATTGCCTACCCGAGGGCTACCCGGGGACATACCCAGCGCAAGAGGAGGACGCCGGCAAAGACGTCACCGACGCTCTTTCAGAAATGCTGGAGCACCAGGATGGGGAATTTGAAGAAGGTATTGGCATTACGATAAAGGTTAGGCGATTTCTGTTTATTGCGCGCGTGCATACGACCGTCTTTCTACGACTATACTGGGAGATTGCGGGGCCAGTGTTTGACCGATCGTCTGATTACTGGAAGAGGAACTGGGACAGCGAGATGAGTTTCGGCGATGCAGCCTCGTTTGTCTTGGCCATACCGGGTGCCGTGGTGGGGTTTGTAGCGATCATGTAGGGCATGAGACTGGCGGCCTTGGTGGGCGTATACGGCGGGAAGGTTCTCGAGGGCATTGGGGAGCAGCTGGTGTATCCGTAGGAGCTTTGATGAGAGCGGACTCTGTACACCTACCATTCATATGAGGTATCATTGTATTCAAGAATTCGCTATCCAGAATGTTTCCTGCACACGTGTATAAGAAAAGGGTCCCAAGAGGGTGAATCACTCCCTCAGAACACCAGCATGAATGACAAAACCATTCTCCGGACGAAGCTCCTCGGGTAATATGTCCGAAGGGAACCGCCAGACGCGGAAATGCCGATGGAATTCTGCCATCCACACCTGGAACACGTCGTCAGAGCGCAGCTGCTGAGCGACAAGACAGACGGTGGGCGTCTTCTGCTCCCCCCTGAGACGACAGGCGTCGACGCAGGCGCCTATGAATGGCTTGACGAGTGCGTAGTTGAAGACGCAGTCGCACGCTATGACGAGGTCAAAATCTCCCGTCGGGCTGAGCGCGGATGATACGGCGTCTGTCTCCCAGTCTAGAGGCTGGAATGATATGTTTCTGGAAGTGCTTCCTCCTCCTCCTCCTACTGCCGATGCTGCCGGTACCGCTCGACGGGAGCGAGAAGATTTGGAAGATTTGTCTGCAGTGTTGGATGTGGCAGTATTGGCCTCTAGATTTTGAGTTATGAGACGGTGAACGTAGGACTGATCGGACAAGATGTAGTGTCCTACGTGGGGGGACAGACAGATTCCCAAGAGGGGACTTATCCCGCAGCCTAGCTCCAGGACAGACGACGAGGAAGGGGAGGATGAGGATAGTATGCCGGAGGATAGGAGGGGGTTGCGTGGTGATGGGGTGGATATGTAGTCTGCCATTAGGGGGGTTACTTGCCATAGGACTGTTCCTGTTAACCTTTTCCTCTCTCTCTCTCTCTCTCCGTCTGTTTCGTATGATAGGATCGAGGGTGAAGAGTGAAGAGTTGAATGGGGTACTGAGAAAAAACGGGGGTGTAGAGCGAGGAAAAGGAAAAGGAGAAGAGAAGGGTTCATACCTGCACCCGTTGTCCCCCCCGCTCTCGTGGACGACAACACACCGGGAGATTGGTGGATGGTCAAGTCCCGTCCTCCCACGCTGATCTCTATCGTCGATGCCCTGCCGTCTATCATGCCTAGATCCTGGGATGGTCTGGTCGTAGAAAAGAGGAGGAATGTTTCTATTGTCGGGCCGTCAGTCTCCGTGCTCCGTCTCCTTCCTGAAACATAGCTATATCTTTGTTCTCGTCCGACTGAGAGCAAAAAAAATCGAAATAGAGGACAAGAGAGTAGGGTACATACCTTCATCTGGGTCTTCTATCTCGGCTTCGAGTTGGCGAGTAAAGGTCTGGAGGGACATGGCCGTCTCCGTATGGCGGATATAATGATGCAAGTTGACCTTTGGCCGTGAGGTGTGATGCAATAATATGTAGATTATTAGTATGTGCGTATGTACGTGAAGTTCAAGCATGTCATGGCCCCCCCCCCCCCACTCAACGTTCTCTTGTTTCCCCTCCGCGGGGGCCCTTTTCGCTGCGCTCGCACCTGAATATCCATGGACACGTAGACTCTAGGACGGAACAACACGAGCTATCTTGGTAGTATAACAGCATAAACAGCCTCGCTTTTACTTTTTTATATCTTCGTCGCAGCTTCAATCAGTTGTCTTATCACTTTCCTTTTTTTCCCTTTCAGTTAGAAGATATCGTCCGGAATGGCGAAGATTGATAAATAATTGTAAGATAGAATAAATGGCAGAAAAGGTAATCATTTCCCCAATGCAACTCCAACAGGCAAGAAAAAAAAAACAGACAAGAGAGACAAAGGCAAATAGACATCCACATGCCGTGGCGTATCCCTGAAGGAGGAAGGGTGGACGAATGGGGTTATGCATCTCCCCATGATGTCAAGGGTAGTAATAGTACCGGAAAAAAAGAAACAGAGGCTACACCCCCGCGACCAGGAGGGCCTATACCAATCCATCGTATAGCGAGAGGGCGCACACGATCGTCTCGTCACGTTTGCTGCCCTCCTTGAACTCCTCGGCGTCTAGGCTGCCGTTCTCGTCCTTGTCCATCATGGCAAAAATCTTCTTCACGCGCTTCTCGGGGGTGTCTTCGTCTTCGGGGAGCTTGACCATGGAGCCGACCTGGTGTTGGGGGAAGACTTGTCAGAGATGTGTGCTCGCGTGTGTTCCGTTCCAGCCTCTGCGGTCTGAATAGCCCTCCGGGAAGAAGTTCTCCGCCGAGAGAGGGAAGAGGAAAGAGAGGATAGATACCATCTTGTAGATTGCTTCGACAATCTGGAGCATCTCGTCGTAGGAGATCTTTCCATCCCCGTCAATGTCATAGAGCTGAAAGGCCCAATCCAGCTTATCCTCCGTCCTGCCGCGGCTGGTGACGCTCAGGGCGCAGATGAACTCCTTGAAGTCGATGCTGCCGGATCCGTCGCTGTCGAAGACGTTGAAGACGTACTCTGCGAATGAGCTCGGATCTCCAAAAGGGAAGAATTGGCGGTAGATTTTCTGGAACTCCTCCTTGCTGAGCATGCCCGAGGGGCAGTCCTTGAGGAAGCCTGTCAAGGGTCAGCACGTCCCATCGCCATCCACCCATGCTCTCTATCCGCTTGCCGCCGTCCTACCCTTGTACCATTGCTGCAGCTCCTTCTTGTCAAAGTGCGTCGACTTCTGCAGCTCGGCGAGCTGGTCCTGAGAAAGCTTCGACTGCCTGCGTTTCGACATCTTGTCAGCTACTTGTACCGTCGCGGCCCTGTGGCTTGATCGCTTCGAACAGCGAGGGGAGGTCTGGTCCCTGTCGTCGGAAGCGGGATTATGCTTCCCCTTCCCCCCCGCTCCGAGTGAGAGGGTACGCATAGACCATCCCCCACGCTTGGCCGAAGGCGCTGGGAGGATGGAAAGAAGGCGCTCAGCAAGACTCACGATTTCCCCATGGCTGCGCAGTTATGGCGTGTTCGGGTGACGGTATCGGGTCGTGTGGGTTATTTTTTCTCGTCGTTCGGTAAGGAACGGATTGATGCGACGTCGTCGGCGGGGTGGGGTTTGTCGAAACACGACACAGCAGTGTGCGGGTGGTGTATTGTGTATTGCTGACGCGCACGGCGCGATGTGCGCAGGGTCCTTGGGACGGCGGTGGGCTGCTATGGGAAAGTTAGGGAAGGTCGGTGAAGGACAGGCGCTCTGTTCCAGGTCGGATAGTAGGATTGATGAGAAGAAGAAAACAGAGAGGCCGAAGATTGGGCCAAAAAAATGCATATGCTATTTTTGCCCTTCTTTTTAGCCCAAAAAAGAATCCTCAAGGGACGGAGGAACAGCAGTCTTGGTAATCAATGTGCGTAGACGGAATCGCGGGGATGCCGAAGCCGATGGAAGTGGATGGTGTCAAAAAACGTGTCACGGGCCTTGGAGGGGCGAGGCGCTGGAAAAAAAAAGAGAGAGCTGGAGATGGTGATTCTGGCTTGATACTGGCTATACCTATAGGCTATTATCATAGCTAAACGTTTTCTGGTGACGTGGGAAATCGATACCAGGAAGACAAGCTCTCGAAGGGCAAAAAGAAGAAAGAGAAATTTAAATTTTAAATTTTTTGAAAAAGAGAGGGGGTCTACACGTAATGTACGTACGAAGCTGCATACGCATATACACAAAGCTCCAGGCCACTTGTTTGAGAACTTGAGAACTTGTACTGCTGGTCTTAGACTTGGTAGGGCGGATAGAGGATAGAGTAAAAAGGAGGGGAAGGAGGGGGGGAAAGGGGGGGGGCGGGCCTCGAAGGGAGCATTGTCATGATGAAAGGCAGTCAGGGGCGGGAGGTATCATCATGACAATGAGGGTCTAGACCGAGGGACAGAGCTAGGAGGACGGGAGGCTCTATCACTACGTAGGATGCATACGAGCACGTACGTAGCAGTCAGCATTGAGCACCTGCTGGTGGCAAAACGCAAATGCAGACCTGGAAACCTGGTTGTAACGACTTCGATGCTATCAGTAGCGCAAAACAGCCACTGACTGGTCCTGCGAGCACCTTGCCATCGCCCAGTATCCCGCCCTGTAATAATATCAATATACAGGTACTGCTCTCAGTAATAAACCGTACTCCAACGTCCCATCGGATCTACACTCCAAAAAAAGCAGCCATCAGTGATGACTATGAGTATTACTGCGTAGTAAGAGAGCACAGCTCGAGTTGATAGCATTGATTCGTACTCGTACCGTACGTGCACGTATTGGTACTACGTCGTATCGATTTACTGGGCGTATGCCGACGCACGATTGTTTCAATCGTGTCCCGAAGGAGAAGAATAATGATTGTTATAAAATTAGATAAAAGGTCAGAACTGACTCGTCACCACGATAAATATAAAAAAAGTCTCGGCTCAGTCTGCAGCTGTCAGGTAGCTTAGTATTTTATTATGATTACTCCTTACAGGTATTGTTACTTCGACACAAGCTGTAGCATCAAACGGCCTTGCATTGACTCCTGTAAATCATCGTGCGACACCAGACATCTCCACTCGCGTACCAGATCCGAACAGGACACGATGAGGTGCGGTGCGTCTCCTACGGATATGTGTTCATAGTCATCGTCATCATCATCCTCGATGCTCGAGTTCATAATCAATACACTTCCTGTCCTTTCTTGCTTATCTGCCCGCCTGATCCTCAACTCCCCCAGCCCCCTACGGACCCTATGGCTTCTGCGCCCACACGTCAATCCAGTCCATCCACCCATGTATGGACGTGTCGTTGCTCGTCTGGTAAAAGTCGCACGTGAGCTGCGTCGCCTCCTCCTCGCTCAGCCCCATGGCGGCGTGCCTGCTCGTCAGGGCCACGAGCAGGTCCTCGCATATTGTCCGGCAGAACAGGCCCATCTCCCGCGCCCGCGTGTCCGCCCCCCACCGGCCCAGCGGCACCTTGTTGTGCTGTACCTTGATGTTGACGAACCCTGCCGCTTCCATCATCTCGGGAATGCGCCCGCTGGCCTCCAGACTCCAGCCGTACCGCGCCGAAAAGGGCCCGTTCTTGAGCTGTCGGTACATGGCGTTGAGGGGGTGGTCGGCGGTCACCGTTCCGTCGTCAGACCTGAGCTCAGTGACGATTTCGTGGCACTCTATCCATCCGCCTGATCGGAGGTTTCTGCACTGTCTTAGCTTCCTTCTCCTTCTTCTCTCCTTACAACCTCTCGCGTAGATCGGAGGGAAGGATGCCGAGGAGGGGTGTGGGGGAGGAGAAGAGAAGAGGAGGGCTTACTCGAATGATCTGTGTATCAACCTCTGCGGATCCCGCAAAATCGGTATAACGCTTCGGATGTGGATTAGATCTGCACCGGAATAAATCGTCGTCCATGGACGCTCCTCGTCCTCGAGATCCTCTACGTGAAATTCGCAGTTAGGAGGCGCCCACTTCGGCTGTATGGGTGATATGTCGGTCCCTATGACACGGGCACTCTCGTATCGCTCGGCCACTGGGAGGGGTGTGTTGGTGTGAGCACTGGATACGGGTATACGTGCTCGTGGATGTATGCATGCCATGTACATGTGGACGTGTAGAACAAGGAGCGACGACTAACCATCTTGCACCCAAAAGCCAAATCCCGTGCCGAGGTCGACAATCTTTTGCGGGTGATCCCCTATAGGGGCGAGTAGAAGCTTCCCGTCATGGAGGTAGTCTAGGTAGAGGGTGTGCTTGATTCCCTCTCGCATCTGCTCAATATCGTCGTTGGGTAGGCCGTAGCGGTCGAGGAAGAGGCCCTGATAGCGCCTGAAGGGAGGTTTCAGTCTGGGTCATCATCATGGGCGTGGTAGTGGACGGGGCATGCCACGGCACCATGGGGCGTGCATTACGTGCACAGGATCAAGGGGAACACACAAACACACCTTCCACTCTCGAACCAATAGCGTAGATGGCTTGTTCTGGCTGTAGTAAACTCTGATGCGGCGATGGAGCCCTCGTAATCAGACGTGGGCTCATTATCTTGATCCATGGGCTTTGGGGAGCTCATTCCTCTCCGTACGGATACTAGAGAAAGGAAGGAAAGTTTCTCTCTTAGTTCCTCCTCTGTTGACTACCAAAGGGAGTAGCGTACAGCCAAGGAGCTAGTTTATTCGTAGAGAGATGAGAGGAAGAGAAAGATGATGCCAGCAGTAGTAGACAGGTATAGCACCCTCTTTCTGGCAGAAACAAGTAAATCTGGGTGGGGAAAAGACTAAGGGACAAGGGGGGGGGGGGAGAAGGAGGAGGGGGAGGAAGAGAACACGACCCAAGGCTTGAAAGCAAGAGAGAGAGAAGATAGAAGAGACAGGCGAGACAAAAAAAAGTCTATGGAGCGGGGATTTTGGGGGGGGGGGGGGGGGGGGCAGGAGACCGGTTAGGCTTGGCTCGGGCCGGTTTAATGCTACCGCTAAGAAGGAAAAAGAGCAAGGCAAGACAAGAGTAGACGCGCAGACCCAGGAGGTCGGTACACACCGAACGCACAGACGGGCAAGGGGAAGGGGGGTGAGGGGGGTGGGGGGAATGATGGGAGAGTAGAGTAAAAGATGTGCTTGCGGGCTGCGGGCTGCGGGCTGCGTGAATGTATGTATATACACGTATCTGTGTGCGTGTGTGTGTTGCAGAATATCAGGGCAGCAGCAGCAGCAGCACTACCACAGTACTGTAGATGTGGTGGTAGTAGTAGTAGTAGTAGTAGTAGTAGTAGTAGTAGTAGTCGTAGTAGTAAACGTCCTCTATGCGTGTACAGCGTAATACGTGACCGACCCAACGGGTTCTTTGGTCTGACTTTAACTTTTTTCCTCTTCGGCTGACCCGCTGATCTGGTTCAGCCCCAAAGGCCAAGGGGATGCACGGCACACGGGTCGGGTAGTGTATGCGTGTGTGTGTGGTGGTTGGTGTTGGTGGTGTGGGAGGAGGAGGGACAAGGGGGGGGGGGGGGGGGGGGGGGGGGGGGAGAGAGGGGAGAGGACCCAACAAGCTGGTCCATCAAATGAAGGCGTGCGGAGGGGATTATTATAACACGGTAGGGGTTCCGGGTACTCGTATGGCAATGATAATAATACGCTATATTAATACATGTAGACTGGCTCATGCGTGCTCAAGCCTCAAGCCTCGAGCCTCGAGCCCCCTAAGCCATACAGGAAAAGTAGTACAGAGTACGAGCAGTATAATATTAGTCGGTTTTCTGCTCAATGCTCCCAAAGGTCCTTCTTATGGGCCATGGGCCATGGGCCGCCATACGGCACTTGCTTTTTTTGTCCCAACGTCCGCTACTCCCTTGTACCCTGCAAGCTTACCCGTGCATACAGACGCTCGTGCCAAGTTGGGGGACGGACTTAGGGGGTCTTAACCTAGGAGCGCGTACTATCACCGCTCTACTACTAGCGACCACGCTCGCTGAGTAGCAATACTACCGTTATATGTGCATGTAGTAGTGGTCGCTCTTACTTGGCATTACGCTGTATTACCTGATGCTCTCAATAAAAGCACTTCTGCTTAGCAACACGTTCTGTTACATATCCATTCTTACCAAGAACGGCAGATATATTATTTCTACCCCTCACACCCTCCACAACGATCCTTCACAGCTGTGCTAGACATGTTACAGAAAATAAAGAGAATAGAGGGAAAGAAAGACAGCGGGACAGATACCCCCCCGACCCAGCAATCTGGACACACTCCCGCACCCCATAAAAAGAAAAAAAGAAAAGTCAAGCCACACCCCCCCCTACTTACCCTGCATGGGGGGGCCTGGCTCGAGCGTTTTCCTTCCCTCGCCATCTTGACACCCCCGACCAACTCGCGCTTCCTTGAGATCAGTTAGACCCTGACGGATAGCAGATTAGCTGCACAGACATGCTCGATAAGTGGCGCTATGCTTGGCTGCAAATATAGCTGCTTTGATTCTATCAGAAAAGACGCGTACTGCGGCTAGCTAAGGAGGTTACGAAAGAGAATGTGTCTTGGTCATGTGACCTGTATCGGCTGGGGTTATTCCGGTCCGGTGCTATCAGATCTGCGTCGCTGGCCCGCATTCCTCCTTCTCTCATCTCGTACGACCAACCAACTTACTACTAGCATCCGAGGCGCGCAATCTTGCCCCCTTCCTCTCACCCATCACCTCGAATGTCCGTTTCTCCCATCTCGTTTTCCATGAACCGAACGCCACGCCTGTTCGGTCGTCACCTTTATCGCATCACCGGAGCGGCATCAGCATGGAATATCAACATGCGGTACCACGCCACCAGAACCACCGCCACCAGCACCAGCACCAGCACCAGCAGGAGCAGCCCCCGCCCATCCTTGCGGTGCGTCATGCAGAAGAGCTTCAAGTGCACAAAGAGTGGTGGTGGCTCCGGTCCCAGTTCTAAATGCGGCCCCACAAGGACTGCTGCAGGTGCAATGGGCTGCGCGACGAGGAGCAATGCAAGCCAGGGAGCTGGGTCAGCGCTGCGTCCTCGGTTCTGGTTGTCGAGGCCCGTGTGGAAGAGGTCCCTGGTCAATACGACGCGGTGCCTCGTCGGATGCACAGCCGGTGACTTTTCAGCAATGTGGTATCTACAATCTTGCTGGCCAGATCTGGGAATGGGTCCCACCATGGGCATATCAAGTACGTTTCGCTTTCCCTCTCTCCTCCCCTCCTCCCCCGTCCGTCCCGTCCCCAACTACTGCGGCTAGTGCAGTGGTAATGCAGCACGGTATTGACAATAATGGGGAATGCTATGCGGGCTGACTTCGTGTGTGTGTGTTTGAAAATGAAACAAGTGGCATGCGGAATAACTACCTCTCTGATGCTCGAAACTACGCTTTTGAGATATGGCCGTGACGACCTCCCTTGGCTCATAGCCGCTCGCACAGCTGCTGCTATGAGCTTCATATCTATGATCACCATGGAACTGGCCGAGAATATCGTCGACTACAACCTCACGGGAGGAGTCGTCGACCTTTCCGACCCGTGGTTCTGGGTTGCTGCGGGGGTGTCCACCGCTGCTGGGCTGATTGCTCCTCTCCCGTACAATTATCACAGGCTGAGGCGGTATGGCAAGGCATGCCACTAGAGCCCCCCCCCTCTTGCTCTTTGTCTTCTGTACATCAACTGTATTATATCGTACCACTACTGCATCATCAGTGCGCAACGTTATCTGTGTGTGTGTGTATGTGTGTGATGCAGCACCTTCTGGTTGGGAGTTTTTTTTTTAGGCGAGCCCCGTGTTCACGCAGTGCACGATACATGACATGACGCTATGCTGTCTCCGATCCTCCAACCAACGAGCCATGGAAACTACTAATAATACGATGACTACTATTGCATGATACTACCACGACGCTAACGCCTGCGTCACCTAAAAGTTTGATAGGTGAATATGCGGTTGCAAGATGAATTACTCGACTATACATGCATGATGATATTATTCACATCATGCCTGCACTGTCGAATCCCTCCTCCCACCATACGTCACCTGTCAATACTGTCTGTAGGTTAAATGGCTAGCACGGCAGCTGGAACCCCTCAGAATCCCTCTCTCCCCCCTACCAGAAAAACTCTCACCGCCTTCCCTGTCCATCTTCAAGGCCCCTCAGCTTTCCTTCACCTCTTTGTGGCCCCACCAACCACCATCACCACCGCCACAAACACCTCCAATAATCCAAAGCCCAGTATATTTTTTTTTTACTTCTATACTCTCCTTTGGTTTGGGCAGTTCTTTTCCTTTCTCTACCTGGCTGAGTCTTGTTCTTCCTTTGCCTTCTGCCATTGCAAATCGTAATATTCCCTCCCTCTCTTGGAATATTGGTCTAGACCTCTCCTTGTCTGTGTCCTCTCTGTAACGCGCACTCTAGCTCGTGGTGCAAACATGGAGGACCAGCTCATCCAGCTGCTGTCCAACACGCAGCGTCCCGAACAGGCCCCTCGTCAGCAGGCTGAGATCGACCTCAAGCGCGCCTCCACGAACCCCGCCTTCCCCCAGTCCCTCGCCAACGTCGCCGCCCACACCTCGGTCGACACCAATATCAGGCAGTCCGCCCTCAGCACCCTGCGCCTCTTCATCGAGAGCAACTGGGCCGTCGACCGCTATGCCGCCGAGCCCCAGATCCCCATTTCTGACGAGGCCAGGGCCCCGCTGAGGCAGACGCTCCTCGACCTGGCCATCAGCCCAGAGGAGGACCGCAAGGTCAAGATTTCTGCGAGGTAGGTAGTCCCCCTACACCCCACCCCTCTTATGAGGTGGCCGCTTTCCCCCCTCCCCCCTTACCCCAACCATTCATGACGGCCATGTAGTATACACAGCTACATGTACATTCTGCGTCTTACCTAACGCCCTGCCCTTCAACCTCGCAGCTACGCTGTAGGCAAAATCGCCGTCCAAGACTACCCCGAACAGTGGCCTACCCTCCTGCCGACCATCCTCAACGTCATCCCCTCGGGCACCGACGCCCAGCTCCACGGGGCTCTGAGGGTTCTCGGCGACCTGATCGAGGAGACGCTTAGCGAGCACCAGTTCTTCACAATGGCCCGCGACATTGCCCGCACCCTCACTGAGGTCGCTCTCAACGACTCGCGCAAGCCCCACCTCCGCGCCCTCGCCATCTCCGTCTTCCGCGGCTGTTTTGACATGATGAATATGATCAAGGAGGACCACGGCAAGGAGGTCAAGGCTTTCGCCGAGGAGCTTCTCAACGAGTGGAACCCCTTCTTCATCACCGTCCTCAAGTCCCGCCTGCCCGAGGTCGACCTGTCGGCCAGCCCCAGCCAGCCCGAGAGCTGGAACAGCATCATCGCTCTCAAGCTGCAGGTCGTCAAGACTCTGCTGCGCATCCGCCGTGTCTTCCCCGCCCTCCTCCTCCCCCAGAGCACCGCCCTGTTCACCGCCGTCTGGGAGGAGCTCATGATCATGCAGGGCCCATACGAGCAGCTGTACATCGTAAACGACGCCCAAGGCCGCCTCGAGGACTCGGACAACCTGCCCTATACCCTCGACTTCCTCATCCTTGAGGAGCTCGACTTCCTCAACCAGTGCTTCCGCGCCGCACCTGTCCAGGCCGAGCTTGACAGTCAGCTCAAGGCTCACGCCTCGGCCCAGGATGTCCCCTGGATGATGGAGATCATGCGTATGCTCGTGTCGTACTCGCGCGTCACCCGCGAGGAGGAGGAGCTTTGGGACATTGACTGCTCCCTCTACCTGGCTGAAGAGACGTCCGTCACGGCCAACTATACTGCTCGTGTTGCCGCCAGTGACCTCCTCATCAAGATGGGCGAGTGGTTCGATCAGAAGGCTCTCGACGGTCTCTTTGGCTATACCAAGACGCTCTTTGGTGGCAGTAACGTGTCTTGGCACAACCAGGAGTCGGCCCTCTTCCTCTTTGTCATGCTAGCCAGCGATTTCCAGGACCTCGAGAAGCCCATCAGTGACGCCTTTTCGACCGCTTACCTTGAGCTGGTCGACTACGCCATCAACCGCCCCGAGGAGCCTCTCCTCCGCGCGCGCGGATATTTGGTCGCTGGTATGGTGTGCCGCACCTTCGACGCCCCCCCGACGCTCCTCGACCACATTATCGGCTCCATCACCCAGGAGCAAGCTGAGGTTGTGCAGGTCGCGTCCATCAAGGCGGTCGAGGGTCTCATCAACGCCGGAAAGGTCACCGCCGACAAGCAGGTCCCCATCATCAAGGCCATCGAGCAGTACATGTCCGGCAGGGACCCCGAGGAGATGGAGGATGCGGATGAGCTGCTCGTTACTCTGAGCGAGGCCCTAAGGGCTGCAATCCGCCTCAACTCCAAGGTTGTGCTCTCCAACGAGGTGCCGTCTATCGACCTGCTCTTCCTGCTCGCTAAGATTGGCGCTAGCAACTTCCAGGTCACCATGATGGTGGCCGAGGCCGTCGAGGAAGTGGTGCGCAGCCTGGAGGGCCCCGACAGCTTTGCCGCCCTGTGCTCCAAGCTCGTCCCCACCCTTATGGGAGCCTTCGACGTGTCACGCGTGACGGACGACAGCCCCTTGGTGACGGTGGCGACAGAGCTCCTTGAGGTCCTTGTTGAGCACGCAGCCGAGCCCCTCCCTGCCGGCTTCGTAGCTGCCACTTTCCCCAAGTTGACCAAGGTGCTCATGGAGTCGAGCGAAGGCGATGTCCTCCGCCCCGGAGCTGAGGCGGCCAAGTGGATCCTCGCCCATGACCACCAACAGGTCTTTTCGTGGCAGGACGAGGCCGGCCGCTCCGGCCTCGAGGTCTGCCTGCACATCATCGACCGCCTTCTGGGCCCCACCATCGAGGACAACTCGGCCACCGAGGTCGGTGGATTGGCCGCCGAGCTGGTCGAGAAGGCCGGACAAGAGCGCCTGGGCCCCTTCCTACCACAGCTCCTTCACGCTGTAGCCAACCGTCTCGCTACCGCCCAGGCCGCCCAGCTCATCCAGTCCCTTATGATGGTATTCGCCAGGCTGTCGCTCGCTAGTGCCCACGACGTGGTCGAATTCCTCTCGCAGATCCAGATCAACGGCGAGGGAGGACTGCAGATTGTCATGTCTAAGTGGCTAGAGAACTCGGTCAACTTTGCGGGATACGATGAGATCCGCCAGAAGTAAGTCCGCGAGTACACTCGCATCGACCCGCAGACGAACGATTAGTAGCTAACGACCTCTCCCTACTCCATCAGCGTTATTGCCCTGTCAAAACTCTACTCTCTGAATGACCCACGCCTAGGTCAGATCTCCGTCAAGGGCGATCTCATCGTCGCCAATGACGGGCAGATCAAGACGCGTTCGCGTGCGAAGCAGAGTAAGCACACGCACATACGCCACGCACATATGGAGTACGAGCAAATAATGCTGACACGCCACAGACCCGGACCAGTACACCATCATCCCTGCGCCCCTCAAGATTGTCAAGCTCCTCATCGACGAGCTCCTCTCGGCCTCGGGAGCCCGCTCTATGGCGAATGCCACGTCGGGCGCTCTGGGCGGCTCTGGCGGCGCAGGAGGGGACCTCGACTCTGACGACGACGACGAGGGCTGGGAGGATGATGACGACACTCTGGACATGGGCCTGGCCTCGACAAAGGCGGACCTCATGTCGTTCATCGAAGGTCCGGGACTCCGCCAGCCGGACGACGAGACTCAGTCCTTCCTCACAGACTTCTTCCTCGCCTGCGGGCGTGACAACACCGCCAATTTCCAGGACTGGTACGGTATGCTGACTGATGAAGAAAAGAACAAGCTCAATGAGTTGGCAAATGGGCAGTAAGCTTTTTACTTTCTACGAAAGGACACAAGAAATGAAACAAAAGAAACAAGAGAATACACAAAAAAAAGTTAAGAAATCAACTATTAGATGTAATTGAAAGGGAAAAAAAAAGGGCAGGAATGCGGCGACTAAGAGATATGGAGAAAGCACAAAGCACAGCATGGGTTGGTTTAAGGTAAGATTGGTTCCTTTTTTTTTTTTTTTTAAAAAAAAAAAAAAAGAGATGAGCGGTAGAAGATGGATGTGTTTGAGCTTTCTCTTGTTGATACAGCCATGGGACTCTACCATGGGGGTTTTTTTTTATAGCGGAAATAGAATATTCACTGCCGTATGCTATGTTTGAGACGAGGGTATTGTACATGTTTTCGTCACGATTCCATTATTCGTACTCGTAGACATGAAGAGACATTCGCCTAGAGTGAAGAAAGAGAGACTTTTGTAACAGAGTGACAGAAGGCAGAAATAAAGAAAGAAAAAAAAGAAAAAAAAGAGAATATAGCACTCAGATGATGCCACCGCCACCAGGACCGAATGGACCAAAGTTACCACCGGATCCTGGACCGGGGAATCTAGGGTTCCCACCTGGACCTAGTGGATCCCACCTCGCCCCCGGGGGTGCCTGGGAATTATACCCTCCCCTCTGACCGCCACCGGGCATACCACTCCCCTGACCGGTGAAGAGCGGATCGTCAAAAGTAGGATGCATGCCGGAGTAGCCACCGGGGACGCCGGGACCGCGCAGCCCGCCGGTGGGGGCGAACGATCCACGGAGGGGGTCGTGCGGGCCCAGACCGGGAGGATTGAGGTCGTCATGGCCAATGTTGTAGGGGAAGAAAGGACGGCCAGTACCCGGCCGCTGCAGCATCTGGTGCTCATCGTCGAAGTCGGGGACGGGAAAGTCCCCCGTGGGAGCGGGGCGGGGTCGCGCCAGGTCCGGCAGGAGACCTGGGTTGGGTAGCGGCTGATGGGGCTGGTTGGCAGCACCGCCGGCGAAAGGGTGGTTCGGGTTGCGGGATTCCTGGGCCCGTCGCTCGGACAGGGCGGTCGCTTCGGTCTCGGCTGTCTCCTCAATGTAGTCTTCGCTCTGGAGTTTCGGCACGAGCCTCTGAACTATCTGGACCTTCAGGTCATTGACGAGGGCTTGGCATGACTGTTAGCGCCCGAAGGATGTGTGCGTGTGTTTCAGAGATAGACAGAGAGAGAAAAGGGGGACGTACAGGATATGGCAGATTCGGAGGCGAACAACGAGCGCAGCTTTTCGGCAACACCACTACGATCTTCCTGTCCGTCATCGGTGATGGGGATGCGAAAGGGCAGATGGCGCGACTGCACCACGTCACGAATCGGCCTTTCGAAGCGGTATATCTTCTCGTCGCCCACTGCCAGACCGCGAACCTCCACCTTGCTGCCCATGCGGTCCACCCTGACGACAAACGTCATGGACGACTGCTTGTGGCTGTAGACGAATGACAGGGCGCCGAAGCGGTCGTTCCACGATGGCGGGAGACGCGGGGCAAGAGATTCCGCTTCGGCTGTGGTTGGGGTACGTTAGTCGGTGCTTATGCGCAGGATCAGAGCGGGAGGGGCAAGAGTGCCTACGCAGTGATTTTTCCTCGTCGAAGCCGCGGAGCTTGAAGCCTATGGCTGATAGGTAGGCGTGGACCAGGAGGGCTACCACCTCGTAGGAGCTTGCTAGGTCTGGGCCTTCGTCGCCGGGAGGGTGTGTGGACAGGGCGTCTGCCATGCCGCGGAGCATGGAGTCTGGGCTGAGTTTCGACATGGTGCTGTTTTTTGTGTGCAGCTGGTGATGAAAACAAGGTGCGAGGTGGGATGTTGTTGAAAGACGGTTGGAAATGCAGTTTGAATGTTGCGAGAGGTTCAGGGTGGGGTGGCGTCATGAAGTGGGTTCAGTCAGCCTTGTGTGGGGGGTCGGCTAGGGTGAAGGAGGGTTGACTGAGGCAAGATGCCAAGATGTACGAGGGGGGAACTGGCTGCTACCTATCTCGGCATCTTTTGCCAATGAGCTGTCACGGGCCACCGTGGCAGCCTGACGTATTACTGTCCCGTCCAATAAAGGAATAAATTGTTTGATGACGACTTCGGTTCAGGTTGGATACAAGGATAAGTGCATGCCTAAGCAAGGACTTCCTTTCTATTGACTGCTATGCAATCCCCCCTTTAGAGCACCGTTGCCTATGAATGATTAAGAGATGAGTAATAAGTAGAAGAAAAGAGAACAATATAGCACAGCCATTTTCGTCGTATATCCTCCCCCTCCTAAATTCGAAAAATAGGATTCCGTGTAATAGCGATAAATTTCATCCATGCAAATAACCAGAAACACCCTTTCATGCTTCCCTCACCTTTCCCCCCCACACTCCCCCCTCCTCTCTGTTTCTACGCAGATGCCCGAGACACCCGTCTGAAACAGACACCAAGAGCAAAGATGTAGAAAAAAGAAAGAAAGGGCAGCAGGGGGAGGGGAGAACTCAAACCTCGCTCTTCTCCCTCTTCTTCTCCAACTGAGCCTTGCGACCCTCCTCCTTGAGCTTCTCGTCATCTGGCCTGGACAGCTCAACCTGTGGCATCATGAAAAAGGAAAAGACAAAGGCCGCAGAGCACAATCCAGCCCCTACGAGGAAGATTATACGGAAGGATTCCTTGTATGCGGGGGTGAGGTCGTCGCGGATCTGCTGGGCTCGTGCCGAGGGGAGCGTGGCGAGGTACCGCTGGGGACTACCCAAGAGCACGTCCAACTCGGTGCCACTGATACCGTCGGATGACAGTGCGTCGGAAACAACATTGTTGCTGCATCGTTTGGTTAGCCGGGCTGAGGAGTAAGTGTGAGACGAGGACACTTACATGATACTTCCAGATATGGCTAGACCGAGTGTCGATCCGAGATTGCGTACAAAGCTGCATGTGTTAGTCAAACATGCCATTCCAGCAGATCTGAGGATATACTCACTTTCTGAACGACGTGACGACGGCCATGTCTCGCCTGGAGGCTCCTGCTTGGACGGCGATCAAAGATCTACACCGAAAATCAGCAACGGTTGACGATGACGAATACGTGAATAGATAGGAGAAACTCACGGCTGCAACGTGTTGCCCACCCCCACACCTATAAGGATAGAGTAGCCAATCTGCTTGGCCACGCCCGTGGTATCATCCAGCGTGGACATGAGCCCTAGTCCAACGGCCCAGCAGGCCCAGCCGAAGAGGATGCACTCGCGGTACCGGCCAACCCAGTGGACAATGAGGCCTGAGAGGGTGCTGCTGGCTGTCTGGATCAGGGTGATGGGCAGAAGCATCGCACCAGCCTTTGTGGCAGAGTAGCCGTAGACGAGCTGGTAGAAGGAGGGGACGTAGTAGACCTGCACGACAAAGTTCCAGCCGTTGATGGCCATTGTGATGCAGGCTCCGTTGACAATCTTGGACTTGAAGACGTGAACTGTACACGCGTCAGACAGGCTTCCCAAGTGATCAGGCCAGGAGAGGGAGAAAGGTGGGCGGAGAGATGGCTTACGTGGAACAAGAGGGTAACGAGGCCCCTTCCACTGCCAAAACACAAAGCCGACACATAAGGCGAAGCCTACGACCAGGCTGGCAATGACATGTGCCGAGTCCCACGAGTACTGACCGCCTCCCCAGGTCAGACCGAGGATCAGGACTATGGTGCCGCCGAGGGCGAGGAAGATGCCAAAGAAGTCGACGGCCTTGAGTTTCCTGGGGGGGAGGGGGGTAAATCAGCAAACGAGAGACGGGAGAAGAGAAGGGAAGGAGCCCCAAAGGGATAGAGATGAGGGAATTCACATTTTCCAGTCGCCGTTGACCTTTTTAAGAGGCATGAAGAAGATGACGCCAGCCGTGGTGAGAATGGTCAAGGGCATGTTAAGCCGAAAGATCCAACGCCAACCTTGTTCCGAGCTGGACGAGAGAGCACCACCAATGACAGGACCGATTCCGTTGGCGATGGCCACAACAGCGCCCTGCAATCCTCTATGTCAGTTATCGCGAATGAGATGGGGATATGCAAGTGATACGTCATCTGTACATGTATATACGTATCGGGGGGGGGAGAGTTTTAGGGAAGAGGGTGAGCTTTACAAGAATTCCCTGATATTTTCCCCTCTCACGCAGGGGTACGACGTCGCTGACAATCAACTGCGCGACCGTCATGAGGCCGCCGCCTCCAATGCCAGTAAAGGCACGGAATATGGTGAGCTGCAGGACAGACTGGGATAGAGACGAGGCCAGGGAGCCAAAGAAGAATATGGCCAGGCCGGTTAGAAGAACGACTTTGCGGGACCAGATATCGGATAGACGACCATAGACGAGCTGGCCAACGGTGGAAGTTCTATCGTCATCATCATCAGATGAGCCACCAAGGTCATACTAGGAGAAGCCTAGGGAGGAGTGGTAGAGAGGTGGAGAATGAGGTAAAGATAGGAAACTCACATGAAGTAGCCGCTTGCTATCCACGATACCTGGGACATGGCACCAAGAGACTCTCCGACAATGTACAAGCTCGCTGCGAGAGTGGTCTGGTCCATGAGGGCAAGGAGGTCGGCGCCGGCACATGCCAGGAAGATCTACGCCGCTGTCAGCATGCTGCGCGTTTAGGGGAAGAAACAAGTGACGGTTCCAGAAGATGGGTTTCTCAGGAGAATAAAGAGAAGAGACCCCGATAGAGGTAGGCGTACCGTGATAATGGTCCTCCTGGGCACATAGTTGGTCTGCTCATTGAATTCGTGGACGCTGCTGTCAGACGCCACTTCTGTCGTGGTAGGTGACGAGGGCCCGGCATTTTGGGTCGGAGTCTGAGGCTCACGGCCAAGATCGAGTTCCTTGTCTGCCATGATGTACCTGATATGCTATACTCTGTATGGTGAGATGCCGTATCATAGACAAATAAAGGGAGAGGGAGAGGGAGAGGGAGAGGGAACTTGGGGAAGGGCAGAATAGAGAGGGAGAGAGAAGGGGAAGAGAGGATGTATGTGGGAGAGAGCGGGAGAGAAGGAAGGAGCGAGAACGGAGTCGTGATGTTAAATGACTGATGACGCCAGCATAAAGCCAGGCACCTGCACAGACTGGATAAAAAGACAAGCACAGCACAAATCTGAAGGAAAAGAAAGGGAAGGAGCGAAAAAGAAAAATGCGACAAGGAAACATCTCGTACCAGCAAGGCAATTCAACATCCGTCGTTGGTCAGCTTGTGCATAGAACTACACGCAGACGCACGCAGACGCACACACACACACACACTTACACACACACACTTACACACACATACAGAGAGAGAGAGAGGGAGAGAGAGACTCGCAAAATGGCCCGGGAAAAGATCGGTGAGTCCCCCTTTTGGCCCTTTTTTGGGTATCAACTATTAGCTCTCTCTTGCTCATCGGGCAACCTTAAGAAACACCCCTGTCTCTCCATGATCCATAATCTTGGCTCACAAGATTGAATGGTCATGACCTGACTAGAGGGAAGCAGGTTTTAGGGATGACACATAGCATCTCCTAAGCCTTCTAGGTCTCCATGGTTTCCATACCAGATGCCGACATTTCAGTGGCCAGTCGCGATTTCCGGGGACAACCTTGATGGCTGAAGGTTGGGATCCACGCTGCGCAATAGCAGCAGATCAAAGGAGACGTTGCCGTCGACGATCCTTGGCCTGTAACCTTTGGATCTCATTAATATGGAGTATTTTCGATACAACACCACTGTAGAAGAGTATTACTCGGTAGTTGTATATTACTACGCTCTGATAGTGCTCTATATACTTGATACGGAGCGCGTACTAGAATAGTAATAATTGATTGAATGGTAGACAGCAGACTCCTAGACCCGGTAATAATATGTGGACCCCAGCGCGGTACCTTGAGAGGCGTAAACTAGCGCATATCAACGCAAACCCACTCATTCAAGAGACCGGGGGGGAGGGGGGAGTAATATATAATATATTACGAGGAGGATCATTAGTAGTGATAATCGTAATGATTGGGAGTATCAGTACACATCGTACGTATTCTATATAACGTTATTACCTGTGATATCGCCGTCCTCCGTACTCGTATCCACATGTAGATCGGAGAGACAGGACAGCGGACAGCATCTTATCAATCACGCATGACCCGAAGAAGCGAGAGAAGAGCCCGAGATGTAATACATGCGTAGACAGGTAGACTGTAGACGATGGGCGTAGCCCGTACGAGCAGAGAGCATACGTAACAGCAATTACAGCATTTTTCATCCTCGTGGCCAACAAGGTACGAGAATCAATGTGTCAATGCTTCCGATGAGTGTTCTTTAGGGGGAGGGACGCCTTGCTCTTATACTAACCGTACGAGTGTCAGTTACTACTTTACTACTGCGGCTACTCCTAGGCGGGAAAGAAGATCACTACCTTGATGGTCTTCCCTCTCTTCCCTTGATGGTTCATCTTATTTCCATGCTTATTGGGTGGCGCCGCTAACAACGGGAACGAAAGATTCTCACATCTTGCTCATTCCCAGGTAGATATAAAAACGAGTGCATTAAATGGTACTAATGTGCTCTATCAGTCCTCCGTACACTCTATATTCCAGCCAATTATTGCCGTTCGAACGTGAGGGGGCGGCCTTTTTACTGCCGAACCTCGTGTGAATACCGTCACAGGTTCGACGGAGGAGGGGGGACGGCCCCCAATGGACCCTTTTTTTTTTCTTTTCCAACCCGCCCTCGCCCTCCCTGTCCCTCGAAGAATTTCCTCTTGCAGTAGAGATGTTGCAATCCATTGTTAGGATGTTCTCAATTCTTGCTCGCGCTTGGCTCCTTTTTTCCCCTCGTCATATGCGACGTGGCTAGCGGTTCGCGTCATGTATACCACCTGGTCCGGTACTGCTGGGTACTAGATATTACGAAGCATGATATGCGTGCTTGAGGGTGTGGAGGATGTATGATGTACGGGAGCTGAGTATGTAACATGTACCCTTAGTAGAACTGCACCTGGTACGATGTAGGTCGCTTGTAGGAAGGGAGAGGGCGTGTGAGTGGCCCTCTCTCCCCTCATGTAGCTGTGTGTGTGTGTGTGTGTGTGTGACCTCTTTTTGTTTTGCTTAAATAGAGCATTGTGCTCCGGACTGTTATTTATATATCCCCTCTCTCTTTGGAGTTGTGGTAAAACGACACGACGCAGGCCCTTCATCACCCTGTCAGCCTTCACTCAGTCATTCTCGCTCGACAGCATCAGCCATACTCTCCCTCCCTCTCTTCTTACGGCTTCAACCATAGAGAGAGAGCGGCGAGCCAGAGGAAGGAAGACATACATCTGTTCCTGTATTCTGTTCCTCTACTCCGAACCGTCACCATGGCCAACCCTCTCAACGTTTACCGAGGGCCCGACTCTGTTCGGTCCTACTTCGACCCCGACTCTTCGCCTCCTCTGCCCCTAGTCGAGATCCCAGACTGCCTCAACCCGTATCGTCGTCACGGGGTTAGGATATACGCCAAGATGATGTCTATGCATCCTACCAACAATGTCAAGTCTATGCCTGGTCAGCTCCCCTTTTCCCTCTCCTCCTCTCCCTCCCTCTTTCCCAACCTCCCCGCCGTTTGTCTCTCCCGCTGCCTCCTCATACGCCCTCCCCCTTTGCATGCTGACGAGTTAGATAGCCCTGAACCTTCTCGAAAAGACCGTCGAGCCCGGTTCTACCAAGACCATTGTCGAGTACAGCTCCGGATCGACTGTCATATCTATGGCCATGGTGGCCCGCGTCTTTCACGAGCTCGACGACGTGAGGGCCTACCTGAGCAACAAGACGAGCATGGCCAAGATTCGGCTCATGCAGTTTTTTGGCCTGGACGTGTATGTTGTCTCCCGCCTTCCTCTTCCTTCTTCTCTTGCCCGCTTTTCCTCGCGTTTCCCCGTGGGATCGAAAAACATCAGGTGATGCTGACCGTTTGTCCAGAACCCTCTTTGGAGGCCCATCCCAGCCCGAACCAGAAGACGAGCGCGGCGGCATCAAGGCCGCCGAGAGGATTGCCCATACGTCTCCTTCCGTCATCAACCCGAACCAGTACGATAACGACAACGTATGTTGCGAACCGCCCTCCACAAGTTCCCCTCTCAAGACAAGCAAGACACATGCTAACGTGCGCGGCACGCACACAGAACTGGAAAGCACATGTCAGGTGGACTGGTCCCCAGATCCTCAAGCAGCTTCCTGAAATTAACTTGATATGCGCCGGCATGGGCACATCCGGTGATTACTGCCAGTTTCGTACAATCCACTGCCAGGATATTATTCTGACCGAGGCTTCCTCGCAGGTACCATGACCGGACTGGGAACCTACATGAAGGCCACCAAGCCCAGCGTATACCGACTCGGGTGAGTACGACCGCTTACCTGCAACAAAAGAAAAGGGGGGTGGAGCAGATATTGAGGAAAAAAAACAAGGAAAAATGAAAAACGAAGAGGAAATTGGAGAAAAGAAGAAAGCAAAAAAAAAAAAAAAAAAGCTGACATTCGAGTGCCCTTACAGAGTCTGCACGGCACCAGGCGACCGTGTCCCCGGCCCCCGGTCTCACGCCCTCCTGGCGCCCGTCGAGTTCCCTTGGAGAAAGGCAGTCGACAGCATCGAAGAGGTAGGCTCGTACGACTCCTTTTCTCTTTCCCTGGAGCTATGCCGGCATGGACTCGTGTGCGGTCCCTCGTCGGGCTTCAACCTCCAAGGACTCTTCAACTTCATCGAGGCTCGCAAGGCGGCTGGTACGCTTTCCGACCTGGCGACCGGCGACAGCGGTGAGATCCACTGCGTGTTCCTGTGCTGCGATCTCCCCTACCAGTACATCACCGAGTATTTTGACAAGCTTGGCGATTCTCACTTTCCCCCTATCCACAACGAGGTAAGTAATTGTGTATGATGATGGCGTTGTCATCTCGCATCTGACAATGCATGATAGCACCTGACAAAGGTCGATCTGTACCGGTACGACGACGCGTGGGAGGTGGACGCCGTGACCGCCCTGAGGAGCTACTTCAACCTAGCGACGGCCCTGCCCACGGCTGAGACGACGGTCATCGACCTCCGCCAGCCCCAGGACTTCTCAGCCCTTCACCTCCCCGGGTCGACGAGCGTGCCCTTCGTCCACCCAGACACCCCTAGCCCCTTCACCGAGCCCAAGGCCCTCGGAGCCCTGTGGACGCGCCTCGAGGAGACCTTCCAGTCGCCGACCGACGAGCTGAGGAGCCTGATGCACTCCCGCCGCAACCTCCTGCTCGTGTGCTACGACGGCGACTCCGCCCGCGTCGCCACCAGCGTTCTCCGCGCCAAGGGTTTCGAGGCTTGCAGCATCCGCGGCGGCTTCAAATCCTGGGCCGGCAGGAGCCCCGTCGCCATGATAAACGCCATCAAGGAAGAGCAGAACAACACTGCCGCTGCTGAGGCCGCCGCCGCACAGACCGATCCCATCATCGTGGCTCCCCAAGTTGTATGATTTTTTTTTTAGTACAAGAAAGAATTTAGGCCCAAAGACGTGGCTTGGCTCGGACGAGAAGAAGGGAAAGGAAATTGAAAAAAAAAAGAGGCATTTATAGCTAGCTTAGAGAAACATAGCTTTTGAAAAAGAAACACGAAATATACCATTTTTTTTGTTATTTGCATTGCCTTTTTGTCTTGCTGAATGCACGTGATAATATCGCATTCTTTTCATCCTTCATCTCAAGTAACATCATGATTTAAAACTTCTTCACCCTAACTTTTGTTTTTCTCTGTTTTCCTCCATGAAAAAAGAATATGGACTTACCCTCCTCCGAAGCTGCTCCCCTACTAACATCATTCACATCCTTCCTCACCATATCCATCCACACAATCCTCTACCACCGCCACATCTACCCACCCGAGACATTCCTCACGGCGCGCGCCTACAACACCCTAGCCGTCCGACAATCCCGCCACCCAGGCGTGTGCGCGTGGATATCCGACGCTGTATCCGCCGTAGCGACCCAGCTCCGTGACGGCTCGGTAGATCGTGTCGTCCTGGCCATCCACTCGCCCAAGGAGGGGTTCCGCGTCCTGGAGCGTTGGGTGTTTGACGTCTCGCGATTCCCTTCCGAGTGGGGCGCCGCTGCCGTCGACGACCAAGGCGGGGGCGAAGCTGGTCCCAGCGCGGCCACAGCAGCAGCAGCGGCGGCGGCAACAGCAACGGCGAGAGATGATGGCGAGGCGGCTCGGGAGGGTGAGCGCGAGGTCATCAATTGGACCGATGTGAATGAGTCGATGAGAGGCGCAGTAGGTCGTGTTGCTTATGCGGCAGAGAAGATGGGCCCCAATCTGCCGAGCGCTTGCACCTTCACTCTCGCTGTCGAGTTGCGTGATGAGGCGCCTGCTCCTATCAAGGTGAGCTCTTGATAAATCGGGATATATCTTTCCCTATACTGTCGAGAAAGGGAGGGGGGCGAGGGCAACTGACTGGCTGGCTGACTTCTTTCACAGCACCCACAGGAATGGATCCCGTCGGAACCACATATGCAGCCTGGTCGCGACCCAGAGTCGGCAACAGCCGCTGCGACAACTGTGCCCGTCCGCTCTGTGCGGGCCGGTCCCCTGTTTTTCGAATGCTGGGCTGAGAGATCGAGGTTGGTCAATCTAGCAGGAAGCAACTGATCATCACGATGATACGAAAGAGACATAAAGAACAGTACATATCTGTCGTAACACGTCATATTCATTACCTCCTCCTCGACTCCTGGACTGGAATAAAAAAAAAACAATGAGGAGGACAACGAGCACCCGAAACCAAACAAGTGCCACGGCACTGATCAAGTGCTCTATGTGATCCTTCTCCATCCACCACGCCAGCACATCCTAGCCATAGTCGTAGTAAGTAGTAGTATACACATGACCCTATACAAGGAACGGCAGTCGCGCCCATGAGAAATGCAAAAGCCCTGCAAGGGTCTGATCCCCCATCGCCACAACGAGGCCCGGCTCGTAGCCACGAGCCGTCTGAAGGACAGCATCACTTACTCCGTAGCCTTCAGCGCCGCCCGCAGGCTCGCCATCTCCCTCCTCAGCCTCCCGTTCTCCTTCTTTACCCGAGCCGCTTCCTCGCCTTGCTCCTTGAGCTTTTCCAGCAGCTCCTCCTTGTCCTCCTTTCCTTTGCCCTTGATTGCTTTGACGATCCTGCCCAGCTCGCCATGGAACCTCTCATAGAGAAGCTCATTCTCCGCCATGGCCTCCTTGTACAGCTGGTCGATGGCCTTGGCCTTGGCTTCCGATGCCTTGACTGTCGTCTCCATGTCCCGCTGCATCACCGTCTGCTTCTCGCTAATCCCTTCCAGCGCCGACAGTAACTTGTCTTCCAGTGTCCTGACGGAGGATGCCAGCCCGCGCAGGTCCGCTGGTGTCTGGGCACTCGAGGTCGAAAGCCACGCCATCTCATCGCCAATCTTGGACAGTTCCGACTTCAGAAACGTGTCTACCTCTTCGACAACCTTCTTTTCCGCCTCCAGTCGTTCGCGCAGCTTCTGGGGGGATTGTATGCGGAGCTTCGCGTTACCCGGTCGTGTGGGGCTGGTAGTCCGTGGCGGAGAGTCGGCGCCTGTCGCTTCCGACCTCCAGGGTCTCAAGGTCGGGATGTTGGAGGTCGACAGTGTCTGGGTTCTCCTGTGTGGCTCTCTCATTGACCCCTGGCGTGAGTGAGAGATCTTCTTCCCCGAGCCCGTCGTCCCGGGGGATGTCGCATTCGAAGAGTTTGAGACATTCTCCTTCTGCCTCGCAGGCGACCTGAGACTCTGATTTGGGCCGGGGCTGACCGGGATTTTGGATGGGGTCGGAGGCTTGGGGGAAGAGTTGGAATTCTCAGACGTCTGCTGCAAAGGCTGGAGTGGCTCGTCCGTAATGGTCGCTGAAGCCATGAGAGTCTTCAGGTCCGATAGGGAGCTACGCCGCTTCCTGTATCGTCCCTTGTCGGTCGGGCTATCAGTGTCGGGCTCTCCTATCGTATCCAGTGGGAAATCCATGCGGTGCGAGCTTCCTGGTCGTGACGAGGGACTGTCAGATGCTCCAGAGATGGGGGGCCTGTCGCGAGAGCCTGGACGGCGCACCATTCGCTTGGAAACCGAATCGTCATCCACCGACCCACTGCGTCCCAAAGGTTTGTTGAAGCCCGTCGCCTCGCCCGTAGCGGGATTGCGATGCTTGCTTAATGTGCGCCAGACAGAACCGCGCTCGTCTTTGCTGTTCTGGCGCAAGAGCGTGTCGAAGCCAAACTTTCGGCGGATTGACGACGTATTCGACGTGAGTGACGGGGTATAGGACTTTCCTCCCCGGGTGGCAGAATTGACCGACGCATACGCATCACTTCCCATGTTGTTCATGCCATGGCTCAAGCCAGGCTCCTCGAACATCCGGTCACAATCCTCGACGAGCCTGTCGAGCAAGTTGATGTAGTTGTGTGCCGTCCCATCCTCAGAGACCAGCATCTCGGCAAAGGTGAGCGTCAACACCCCGCGATCGCTGTCATTTCCACACCCATCCAGTAAATCAGCAAGCAGTTTGATGAGCGAGGTGAAGGCTCTGCGGTTTTGAGGTGCAATGTCGCTGAATAGGTAATTGACAAAGTCGGCAAAGTCTCCGGGGACTCGTTTGTTTGCACGCTCCAGGAGCGTGTCCAATAATTGCATCGTAATGACAGGACCCATCTGTTCGGCCCATGCTATGCGCAGGAACTTTTCAAACGCCACAAAAATGACTTCGGTGCTGACGTCCGCCGAGGCGTCAAAGTCATAAGGGCTCTCGATGAGCTTGTTATACAGCTCATTCACCAAAAGTTCATCGCTGAAAGAGCGGTTGAGCAGCGCCCGCCCAATGATAGCCCCCTTTCGGGATTGTACGGCAGCTACGTATCCGATAAAGGTCTGTTCCAGCCTCACAAGCGGGTTGTCCGGCCTGATTTCCTCCGTTGCAATCCGATCATCCTTGCCACGCATGGAGCCCAGTGCGTTCAGGAAAGAGCTCTGGCTGTTGTTTTGATGCATCGTCGATTCATGGCGCTGGTGCTTCGAGCTCGTGACGTCCGGCGTACTAGATCCAGCCCACAAGTTTGAGAATAGCTTAACAGGGGAGGATGGGAGAAAAGAGCGCGTCTTTTCGGCTCGGGTTGACAGCGGCAAGTTGCGTAATGTTTTGGAGTAGTATGACACCAGGGCTGCAGCTAGACTGATATTGGAGACATTGAATTGGGAGCTGACGAGTTGAATAACTGGAGTACCTCATATTAGTAGACTGGCCAGATTGCAGACCTCGACAGACTCGACTTACTTCGCCGGGACAGGGTGGGCAAAAAGTCTTCGAGCGCCACATCATCCTGGAATTGCTTCCCATTCAGTCCCATGGAGACCATGGCCACACGCTTGAGGTCGTTGCTCTGCAAGTCTACCACAATCTCTACGCCGTAGTGTCCCACAGGAGCGCCCTTGGTACCCTTCTCGTGGTCGACAACCACTCGGATAGGTGCTGGCTCACGCCGACCGTCGATCAGCTCGGACGCGCCCTCCTGATACACGGCAGCGTGGAGTCCCAGGTTGGTGTCGGGCATGCGAGTTGATCGAAGCGTCCAGCATGGATCCTCGCGCTCCGATTCTGAGAAGCGGGCTTCCACTCTAGCCTTGACGATGTCCTCACCAAACTTGGCAGCTTTGCCTTGTAGGGATTCCTTGAGAAGAAAGCATCGTGATGTCGGTGCTTTGCTTATTTTGTGCTCGCCAGTGTGGACTCCCTTCATGTCTGCAGTCGAAGTCATCCAGACCAATGTTCCATCGGACGACTCGGTAAAGCGAACATCGGCAAGATTATGCCATCCGGTCAAGACGAAGTCGTACGACGGCGGCCCGCCGGCAGCATTTGTCATTGAAATAAGCAGTCCAGCGGCCGACGGCTTGTCGACTTCCCTGATCAAATCCCGGCCCGTAATTTTATCGGTCGTCTTCTTCATAATGATTATACAGTCAGAAAAGAGGAGGAAGACGCCTGGTTTATCGGGTTCGTTCGCATCCGGACGGTAGGGCGCGTCCAGCTCGACAAAGTCTACCGAACCAATGAGACGGCCCTGGGGCTCAAGGTCCATCGGCCAGGACTCGACCATGTTCCGGAGCCTGCTGGTAACATGTGGCTTGTTTGGGTGAGGGTCATCCATGGAACAGATGTTGGTGATAATGTCTCTCGACTTGAGCATCGGCTGCAATGCGGGATGTGTCATGGGCAGACAGCCAACTATTTGATCAATGAGGAGGCTGTACCTCGGCAGGCGTTGCACTGGCTCGATTAGGATAGATCGTATGGCCTGCTCACCCGTCTGCGCGACTCTCTGCCTGAAGGTCGACTGCTCGTCCATGAATGAGTTGAGCAGCGTTGGGAAGTGTTGGCTGGCCTTGATGTAGTCCTGGTAACATTCCGTAAATTTGGGGAACCGCTCCAAGAATAGCCTGGCCATGGAGAGTACGCCGCTGGGGTCTTTGCTTTTTGCGGGGGAGCCCGGTTTAGAGCCAGCAATGTGGATTGTGGCGGAGTCCATGTCCAGCGCTGCTTCATCCTCGGTACTGTCCATGATCTGTTGAAGTTCCTGCAAGAATGACGAGTTGAGGCGGAGAATCTCGTCCGCCGAGGTTGGAAACAGCTTCTCCAGCTCCTCTTCCGAGGGGCTCTTGCTCGCGGGGTCGCGTTTCTTGGCACTTTCTCGGAAGTCTTTAGCAATGTGATCCACCAGCTCGCGCAATTTCTGGACATAGCGAACTTCCGTATCCACCAGTTCTCCCAGCTTTAAACGCAGCTCGATCCTTTGGTGTTTTGTAAATGACCTCCCCCGGTTCAACGATGTCGGCTTCGATGGAGCGCGGCGCAACTTGCTGGTGGGAAGAAAGACGGGCTCTCCGAGGAGTTTGACTAACGGGGTATATCCTCCATATTGGCGCAAAGTGGGGTCAAGAATATCGTCGTCGTTGTCGGGGACCTCCTCCAGGTCAGCAGCCTGAAGAGGCACGATGGCACCAGGCGGCAAGACGAAGTCGATATCGACATTGTTCAGATGCTGCGTCTGCAATGCTTCTTGAAGAGTGGCGACCACGTCGACCGTGTTCTCGCTTTGGATTACCGACTTGACGAGATCGGCGGCGTGCTGCTCGCCAAAGAGTTCGGGTACGCTTCCAGGTCGCCCGCCCCTAGTAAGGTACAGGTTCTTCAGGTAACTCTTGACGCCATCGGAAAGCTCGGAGAAGTATTTGAAGAGGCCAAATGCCAGGCCGCGATAGACCTCGTCGCCCTGGAATTCGCGGGGTAGGTAGTCGACAACGCTGTAGGGTGCTGAGTTGGGAGATATGGTGAGGCGCGGGTAGGACTGGAAGCCGGCGGGTGTGAAGACGTGGACCTGAACCCTGGAACTGTTGAGAGTGTAGTTGGCTGTGGTCGAGGGGCCATGGAAGATGAGGATAGGAAGATGGCCGAGGAGCGGGTCGGAGACGTAATAGAGGGTCAGGTGCTCAGGCGAGAGCGCCAGATCGTTGGTGACGCGAACCATGGTAGGATCAACAGGTCACTGTCATGGCATCCGGATGCTCTGCAGCAGTCGTTCGATATGTTGCAGGGGTTGTTGCGGCGCCCAGGTCGAGGTGAGGTTGCGATCGCAAGATGGCGAATTGCGAGATGGTTGTTGATGCCCCGCCAAAGTATTGACTACAAAGTAAACAAGAGCCAGCGCGAATGAACGGGGCACGACGTATGAGGTCGAAGCTGCGAAGCCGGCACGCGGCGACAAGCCTAAGAGAAGAGAAAGGAGGAGAGAGAAGAAGGGCCCAAAAAGGTGAATACAGTATTTACACGGCAAAATGAAGTCGTTGGTAATACGATCTGCTGGTCTTGGCCTTGTTTAGATGTTTGGGTCGCAGAAAGCGGTCAAGGGCCCAAGCGTTGGAGTGGAAAGGTGGTGGCGGCTCTGGTAGTATATTATTATTACATGTAGTGGGAGATCCAGGGTGGAAGCCCCGCCAGAGCAGATGTGTATAGTGGCCTGTGGTCCGTGGGTGGTGAATCTCGTGGGTGGCCCCTGCCTTGCACTGGACCTATGGAGCTTTTCTTATGTAGCTCATTCTCCGAATGCCCTGGAACATGGAGGTTTGCAACGTCAGCGCCCATGTAGCAGCCACTAGCAGTCCCCAACGATGGCCTGCTGCCCGAGTGCGGCCTACCACTGCCACTCTTTGTTTGCCTCTATGGCGAATTGGCGAATTATCGGCTTCAAGGCCAGCTCATCATCAGCGCGAACGCATTTCGACGCATCTATATCCCTTAGCTACTGTTGAGTATTCCAACCCTTGGTTTAGCCACTCATAACGTAGACTGGTTCCACTATAGAAAGGTTTCCTAAACTGCATTCCAGTGGCGATGAAGTAGAACTTGCAGTAATATTACGTATTAGCGCCGTTGTGAGAATCGGTGCATTGCCGGTATTCCTGGTACTAGCAGTGCTACCGTACGAACCTCGAGGGAGAAAAGTGGTAACATATTTATTACTAGGAGGGCTACTAATGGATTGTTACATGTAATAACTTTTTTTTGTTATAGAATGTGCAGCCCCGACGGACCAGGACCCCACGTCTCTTGCCTCGCGGGGCGGCTATCCTCTTTCGACGACGCCGCCGATACCACCAGACCCTCTCTCCCNTGCAGCCCCGACGGACCAGGACCCCACGTCTCTTGCCTCGCGGGGCGGCTATCCTCTTTCGACGACGCCGCCGATACCACCAGACCCCCCCCCCCCCCCCCCCCCCCCCCCCCCTTCGTCGACTTCTACATCCTGCCCAGAAGCATCACCGCGTTCCTGAGTGCCAACGATATAGTATCCCACCTCATCGCTGCCAAACACAACAGATGACCATTATGTCGAGTCAGGACAAGGGCATCCCGCTGCACAACATCCCCGACGACGCAGGCTACCGCCTCATCGAGCTGCCTCCCGAGGTTGAGGCTCTACTCGAAGCCGACAATGCTACAGCGTAGGTTTACCATACCCATCAGTCACAGAGGAGAAGGGAGTCCAATAGGACGCGAGAAAGAAGAAGAAAATCTGGCAGGAGCTCACACAACCTTGATTCCCACACCACCAGTCTCACGCTCGAGTCAGGCGACAACGCTGGCCTCCTCAGAACGCCGGGCAAGACGTACGCCCTTCGCCAAAAAAACACTTCCAATGCTCTGATACTCCTCAAGCCGCACACATCCAGGGCCTCTTCTCCAACTCAAGGACTAGCTACATTCGCTACTATTCACGACACAGTCGAGCTCGAGCTCGTCAAGGATCCAGCTTCAGACCCTGAACCCAGGGTGGCGCCGGCAAAGGGCAAGTGGCACGAGCGATTCGGCAGGAACCGGTAGGTTCCCAACTGTCGAATAATCCTCGAGGCGAAGCACAAGAAAACACAGCCATCGACAAAAGACCAGCGTCATGATCCGGAGGTACCACACCACGCCCCGGTTCTTTGACAAGGAACAACAAGCATTACCTTGAGAAAGGCATATGACGCGCCCCAATTCTGGGGTCACATAACATTTCCCCCGCTACCTGATTAGCTGAGTCGCCAAATGGGCTGCCTACCATGTACATGTGAAACGCGCCCGAAGCTTCTGGAGATATTTTACCGAGCCATCACATGTCGTTTTCTAAGTAATGGCGAATGCTAGCGGCAGCGAACCAGCACGCTTCAAGAATGTTATCGCCGGGTCCTGTCAACAAAAATAGTTATCATAACCACGCTGGTAAATCCAAGGGATCATGCCGGATTTCATACGTCTCGGCCTCCATAAGCAGCAACACCCTTCACCGGGCAGTCCATAGCCACAGCTTTGTCCTTGCGGCTGTTGGGTGGTCAGGCATCCACTTCCTTGAGTATCTCCGAGCTGTTACAGCAATGTTCACACTACCCTGGCTAACTCAACCCTCATACTCCTCCATATTCCTACTGACAAGTATGCTACCGCTCGTGAGTAAGAGGATAGTCTCTCCCAGTGATCTCCTGGTTACAACAAGGCACCAAAGAATATGTAGGTGACGTAGTTTAGGTGACTAAGCATGACGGGGAGCCAGGCACGCATACCCGAAGATGGGACGCCTGAACTCCGCATCTGAGCTGGTGAGATGCGGCCGGCGGCAAGGTGTTTTACAACAAGTCATTATTAGGAGTTTGCCAAGATGTTGAGATGAGGAAGGAGAAAAAGATGCAAATCCCGATGATATCATTGCCAGAGGAAGGAAAAGTAAGATGAGAAAAGACAAAAAGAGAAGGTCACGGTGGGGATCGAACCCACAATCTTCTGATTCGTAGTCAGACGCCTTGCCATTGGGCCACGCGACCAGTCGCTTGAGTGAAGAACGTGTTTGGAAGTTCTATACATGTACTGTACACTATCTAATGGTGAAACTTTTCCGTCCATTTGGAGGTTTATGCGAACGAGGATGTAAAAAAGTCACGTTGAGCTGTCTTTACACAGGTCATTGTTTATTCATCTGATATTGTCCATCATATTCTCATAACTCTTCTTGCAGCCATCACTCATCAACGAGTCTCCTACCTATTCATTCTCCTCTTCTGAATCTTCTATTACGGCCTTCTTCCTTGACCCTCTCTTTGGCGCCGCCTTTTTTGGCGTTGCCTTCTTCGGCGGTGCCGGTTTTCTCGGACGCTCCTTTGGCACTTCCGGCTGCTTAGCATCATCCTTTTCCTGGACTGGCTGCTCCCGGTGGTGGCCATTGCTATTCCCATGATCCTCCATGACTAACCCGTCATCGTCTTGTGCCTCGTCGTCTCCAACAGCCGCTGTCGCAAAGAAGCCCGACATGTGGTACGCACCATGAGCTGCACCTTGGCCGTCGTCCTCCTCCTCCTCCTCGTAACCCTCTGGTAGGAACCCACCGGCCAAGTCCTCATCGTTTGTTGCTGTAGGAAGCGCGCCGCCACCGCTCCTACCGCCGGGCGCGCCCCCCTTGCTGTGTGCAAAGACGGACACACTCTCGTCTATGTCGCCGTAGTCTTCCCGTATCCTCTTGACGATGCGCATCCCCATCAGGAACCTGCGCCACTGTCCGAGGGCTGCCTTCTTGCGTTTCTCATCCTCTTTGCGCACGCGCTCAGCCTCGTCCTTCTGCAGCTCCTCCATGACGCGATCGTGGTGCTCCTCCGGGATCACAACGCCCTGGATCACGGGAACAGCCATACGGTGGCCAAACTCAAAGTCCACGACCGCTTCGGCGTAGTCAATTTGCAGCCTCTTGCAGACCTTGACAGCGCCGCGGAAGGGAACATGGGCGGCGCCCTGGGGGCACATGTGCTGTGCGAACAAATCGATGTTTCTGTGGCTGTTAGCATATGAAAACATGGCTTTAGAGGAAAGCGCGGCGGGGAGCGTGTGTGACTTACCCGTATTCGTTCTTGGGAATGATCCCGTCCTTTATGGGAGGCGGTATGATCCAGTCCGTCTGCTCGAAGCTGTACAAGCCCTGTAGAACTTTATTCCCCGTCGCGGCCTCGGCCTCCATAATTTCTCTCCGCCGATTTGTCGTGGCGGCCCGGTACGGCACACGCTTCAACGGTTCCTCTCCCTGAATGGGAGCCCTGCCCTGCTTGTGCCAGGTCTCGGCACTCTTAACCTGCAGAACATCGGATCGTAGATAGACATTCTGCTCCTCAACCTTCCCGCCGCGGACTTTGTTCCGGAAGATCTTGACGACCTCTGCGCCCGCCCTGAGTCCCTCTTCGCGCTTGAGATGCCTCTCCAGCACAAACTCCTTGGACTGCTTGTAGTACTGCAGCGTCTCCTCGCCCTCCTTGACTTCCTTCTTCTCAGGCTGTGCAGGCTTCAGGTCGGTGGAATCCTCGACCTCGTCAACCTCCGTTATGGGTGCTTTTCTAGACCCCCTTTGGTACCCTGACATGGCCGCCTTGAACCAATCGAGCTGCTCGTACCGCTTGACTTTCCCGTAGCGGTTGTAGACGGGGACCTTTTCGACAGGCATTCTGGACGCCTTTGTCCGGCCGGGGAATATTTGCTTCTTTAGGTATCGCACAGTGACGTCCTTGGCGGTGCCGTCTGATGAGTAGCCCACAACGTAGCCCATCATCTGACGAGCCTTATCAGCCTTGCCGCCGCGTGGTTCCAGCTTTTCGACGAGCTCACGGTTCGTGGCAACGACGTTCTTGACAATCGGATCGACTGGTAGGTACTTTTGCGTTATCGGTGACAGCACCTCGGTCCAGTAGTGCGGGAACTCGAGATCCGTGTCGTACTGCTTGGCGGCCGCTGCTATCCGCTTTGGCCTGGCCTCCATCTCAACAACCGACTCGTCATCCGTATCCTTGTACTCTACGTCCAGTTCGTCCGATTCGTCCAGGACGATTGGGCCTGTCCCTGTAGCTTTACGTGTAGACTTCGGGGAGCTCATGAGTGCGGAGCTATTCTTTCTTTGCTTTGTCGTGGTCCTTGTCGGGATGCTTTCAGTTTTCTGTGACGCTAATGGCGTGGCTTCCCCAGAAAGCCTGTCCTTCTCCCTTTGCGTCTCCGGCTCCGCGTCCTCAAGCTTGTTCCATCCAAAGCCCAGGGTCTGCAGGTTGGCCACAAGGCGTGCTTCGATTCCCAATCCTCGCACAAGGGCAGTGAAGAGCTGTGCGCCTACATCTCTGCTCCCGCGACAGCTCCGAGCACAGCGACGCATATCTTCCACAGATGATATTTTCTCGCCAAAGATGTCGGCGTTGTGCTCCATGTTCTTGTGACCCTTGGTCAACCTGTCCAGTCGCTCTAGAGGCATGTACCCGCGCTTTCGCAGACCGGGCGTTGTGACCTTGAACCTCTGCCTCCACCACGCAGTCAGAGACTGCATGAGACGGATTAAGGGATCCCCACGGCTCATGTCAGGAACGCCCTCTTCCAACCTCACAGCTGCGGAACTCCAATCACGAGACGAGTCTTCCTTAGCTTCTGAAGCCTTTCCCTTCACCCTGCCCTTATTCTTGGAGCTGCTCCTCAACGACGGTGGTGCTGGTTCTGGAGACCGCTCTTTGGCCAGGCCGCTACTGCGCATCCACCGATCCACCTCGTCCCATAGCCTGGGCGGTAGATGTGAGATGACGGTGGCCTGTACCTCTGGGTCGCACAGCCACGAATTTCGTATAGAATTGTGCCATAATAGAAGCAAGACGTGAAGTCTGTGAGTGGCGTAACGCACGCTTCTTTCACGCTTCGAGGGACCCTTTTTGTCGCCGTATGTATTTGTGAGTGACATTCTGTCGTCTCGGCTGAGGGTCAACTCCAGGTCTCCCGATGTCACGGGAGCATCAGCTGGTTCCGCAACCAGTGCGGCAACATCTTCAAACTCGACATCTTCGTCTTCATCGTCGTCATCACCACTGACGTCGGTCCTTTGGCGTTTCACAGCTGGGACGTCCTCAAACTCAGTGTCCGACATTGAACTCAGCGAGCTCGATCCATCGTCATCGGCCTCCAGGCCTCGTAGAAGAGACGGTTGTTGCGGTGTTATCGCTGCATCTAGGTCATCATACAAGGTGGACTTGCGTTGTGTTGATCCAGACGTTTTAGGCTGCTGAGTGGAGGTAGTTTGCTGCTCCCTTGATGAAGAGGCACCAGCAGCCTCATCGTCTGTCGCCGATCCGCGCAGGCGTTTGCGCGATACGAGGGGCGGCATTTCAAGAAATTCCTAATGGAATGCGGCGCATTCTTTTCTCCAGTTATTTCGACATGATGGGATGTTGATGTTGTAGTGACTCTAGGAGATAGTTCCCGTTGATGATGAATCATTGGCGGAGTCGCGCGACCACCGCGAAAGCACGTGACACATTACAAGGCTATATTCCACCACAAAATTCCGTTTTCATTGTTTAAACTGATGCATTGCCATACTTCCTACAATGATGTACTAACATCCAAGAACTCGAAAGTATGGGAGGAGTGTATATGCTATGGAGCTCTCATGCTCCCACCACCAACGCCTAAGGAAAAAACAGCGCTCGCCCGTTCCATATGATACCCCTTACATTTCTATTAAGTCTACAGGTGCTCCAACGCCCCTTAGAAGCACAACCGTATTCCCACTCTGTAACGCAACGCCAACCTTCTCACTGTAATCAAGGAGCCTACCACCTTCAACATGGAAGACACGCAGCTTGTCTCTCTCGTCTGAGCTCTGGTTGTTGATGTTCTGGACCTGGAGGTCCTTGGCAGCGGCATCGAGCACGCGGCCGACGACCCAGTCCTTGGAGTAGAAGAATTCTCCCTTTGGAAATTTCGCCTTGGCAGTCTCGGCTTCGGCCTCGACGTACAGGTAAACTCGCTTCTCGACAGGTACTTTGGCATCGCCCTTGGCAGTCTTCTTGAGGTTGTTGACGGCGATGAGCCTAGCCGAGGTGGAGCTAGGTTTGGGTTTCGGCAGCGACCTGCCTGCCTGCTCCTTTTGTGTCTTACCCCAAGCCTTGAGGCGGTCGAGAGCCGACATGGCGCGCTGGCCGACCAGGTCCATCTGGTTGGGCCTGGCGCCAATGGGGACTAGGTTCTTGCAATTGTGGTCCTCCTGCAGGCGGTGTTTAAGGCAGTAGTCACGGTTGCACGTTGAGCAGTGGACCCCCGGCGTGAGGGAAGTCCCCACGATCGTTTTGCAGTTGGGCGTCGAGCACGGCTTCTCCGACACCTTGTCGCGTAGTGTCTTGCTCCCGCCGATGGAGGAGCGCGCCTGCTGCGCTAGGCGCTTGCGCTTCGCCCACGCTCCCGCATTGGCGCACTTATGGGCCGTCTCGCTCCGGTGATCTAGGCAATAAGTCTTGCCGCACGACTGGCAAAGAAAGGGTAGAAAGTCAAGCTGGTTGCAGTAGTCGTCCTGGCAGTGTTTGCCTATTAGAGTGGCGTCGTTGGGGTCGTACATTTCCACGTAGCTCGTGTCCTCGCCCTTTAGGTCTGAGGATGATGATGATGATGCCATCCTGCCTCTCACTGCACACCTGGCGCCTTATAAATACGTCTGGGGAATATAGAGAGTGTGCAGGCGGCTGACGGCGTTGCGCAATCCTTGTGGCTAACTGTCCTCGTACGCTTTGCTGACTGAAGGCGGCGACGAAGCCTCTGGAAGCGTCTGGACGGACTTAAGGCGGCCTAGCTCACCGGTCAAGCTAGGGATGGTGACAAACCCAAGGATTATAGGAGAAAATGACCCAAATCGAATCCCGGGCAAATAATAAAACTGAAAATTTCTTTTGAAAGAGGTCGAAATTAAGGGTCAAATATGTGTGAAATTGAAAGATGATGTGAGGGGTTGATCAACTCGATAAGTCGAAGTTGGGGCGTCAGCCAAGACTCGGGGTCCCACTTAGAGGTACGCCTGTGTACCTGTTGACAATGACCAACGATAGTTACCCTGAATTTGGCACTATAAAATCAAACAATCACTGGCAACAGCATACAAGGACATTTGATGTAACATGATCCTGTCGTTGCTCGAGTGTAAGTCATTCTTTCTGTTTTTCATTTTGAATTTTTCGTCGATATTTTGTTAACAGTTTAATCTTGGGTCGGGCTTAATCACAGAGAATAGCTGAGAATCTAGCGAAGATTAAACGAAAAACCGTCTTGCGCCATTCGGATGAACAAACTATCATACACAAATACAACATTTGGTAGGCAGCAGCTTCTAATGCCCTTTGATCTTGGGGATCTTGTTCAGTAAATCCTCCCGGCCGGTCTCGGGCATATTCCCGACGTAATTCTTACCACCGTATGCCTCGAAGCCCTTATGAAATAGCCACTCGACAGCATTCTCCACGGGCTCATCAAACATGCTGGGCAGGAGTGGGACGACGGCCAATCCCAGCCCTATGGGGCCCCATGTGCGAACCGTCTTGTTCTTCATATTCTTCATCAGTCTGCCCGAGTAGCGGACGACGCTGTGGATGGTGAAGGCCGGGAGACCCATGCTGGCGACGCTCTGAAAGATGGCCCTCTGGGCCATGACGGTGCGCCAGTCCTCGAGCGGGGTGACAGGCTCGGCCTTCCTGTCGGGGGCGGGCACGATACTGGGAAGACCCGTCACCTTCTCCTGCTGCGGAGTGAGCTGGACCTGGGGGTTGACCTTGCGTTGGTTTTGCCAGTAGGCACGGTAGCCCTCATACGATACGTCGCCCAGGATGTAGGCCCACGAAATGCCGTAGGCGCTCCGCACCAGGATCGGGTGCGCGACCGGTCGGAAGGACTCGCCAATATCTGACGTGTATGCCACGTATCGGTGAGCGGACATCATGATTGTCCTGATCCTCGTGGCGTACGCCGCATATCGAATGCTGCTGTCAGTCGAGGCGGGACCACTAATTATCCAGCTGTTAGTCCCAGGTATCTCAGAAGATGACTTATCCAATGTTTCAACTCACACTCCGTCGGCGATATCGTCGAAAATGGAAGAGTCCTCATCCGCATCGTCCACAATCTTCTGGAGGCCATCGGGCAGCTTTCGGGTCTTGGGGAGCGTCTCCGGATCGAAAGAAGCTTTACCCGAGGTACTGGCCGATTCAGACCCAGGCTTGGGCGGCTTGTCGTCGTTGGACGACTTTCCCCACCACGGCATTTCGTAATGACCTGAAGAGACGGTGGTTCGAGATAGAAGAGAACGAGATCGGATCACTCCTAGTCAATTGTATATTATGTAGCAATAGTCGAGAGTAAGCTGTCGTTAACCAGCTGTTTAACCCGACTGTGACGTCGCTGAAGAAGCCGAAGGGCCCCACACGATGACCAGTCGCGCGTTCCGGGGATTCCCTGTATTACGCAGCATCATCCGGTGTTTAACCGAAGAAAGGTACGTACTAAGGTGAAAGCTTTCGGCCTACTTTTCCAGGCATAACTACTAAGCAGAGCAGCAAGGCAGCTCGTCGCATTTTGAGATCTCGGGAACTCGGTCGGAGCAACACTTATTTGGAAACCTCCCATCTCAATCGCCATTAAACCTCTATTCCTGCCCCACGTCCTCCAACACACCCCCTTCAGTTAATCGTTCAACGTCACAATGGCTGGTATCGCCTACTACACAATTGCTGGCCGCCAGGTTGGCAGCCACTTCGTTCGTTCCTCCTTCCGTCTTTCCGCCTCCCTGCCGTGAAGCACAGAGCTAACTTATCCGCCCTCCCCTCCCTCGACAGCTTGCCATGGGTGTCCTCGGCTCCCTCTTCGGTGGTGTCTACTTCGCCGCCTCCGGTCCCAAGAAGATTACCTCCGCCAACAACACTCCCCCGATCAACGCCTCCAGCTCTGACGAGGCCGACTTCATCAAGTGCGCGAAATTCAAAACCACACCCACCCTGACGATGAGAACGTTTGCTAATTATCGAAACCCAACCCCCAAAACAGGAAGTTTCTCGACGAGCAGGAGTCCGCTGAGAAGAAGCACTAAATAGTTTGACGACGGATGCAGGAGGACGCGTGTGGTCCGAGTCTTTACGGACCCTTTGTACATATAGCAAGCATTGGGTCACCCCGCCGGGCCCCTTTGGGATCGAGCATCGTCCCGAGCCAACATTGTTCACCGTCTACATCTAGACATGACGAATAATTCAAAATTCTTTGACATGCTCGCGAGTGAGAAGTATTACTGGTCGAAGCACACATGTGGCCTCGCGTATTCGTATTTGCACGAGGCAAGCCCACCTTTGCATTGATGGCCGTTTTCTACCACATGAGAAATAGGACTCGCCCACGTACTTACTGCCATGAAACTTTGAAAAGACCGTGATGGATCTCCTGGCCCCAAGGACGCTTCGGACCTGTGCATGCGCCAACTCCTGGACCAGCCTGTAATATATGGCCGAGATAATGTTTCTCCATGAGCATATCTTGTTACATACATACACCGGCTAGGGGAATCGCCATGAAAGAAAACCATGTTTTTAGCATATTTCAGACCGTGAGACCAAATTAAATTTCCGTTATATGTAGAGCTTCTCTTAAGCGATCCCGAACACCTCTACAATTGCATGGAATCGTTTTTAGTGCGGGTGGGTTTGCTTCGGGAGTTTCATTCAGTTAAACATGTTGCTACGCATTTATCCATATACGGCGATGCTGACCATGAGAACGTGACACCTGCCCTCACCCATTGAGTAAAGTAAATGTAGTTTGTTGTCGTCAATTTCATTACATTCGACACATTTCGCTCGAGAAGCGAAAGAAGTTCAATATGCAATGTGCATCCAACTACCGGAGTGAAGGATCCCATCACGTGACAGAACTCTATGAGTGGGGATAATGGTTCAACCCCCGCCATCCGCATTTTTCCCACCCAGAGGAAACCTTTAATCGAAAGCCCTCCACACCACTTCGGATACAACGATTGCATCGCGCCCCCCCCCCGACTAACACCACCGACAACGCGATTAACCGGGAACCCACGCGGTATAGTACTACGAGCAGGTGGGCCATGGCCGACGCAACGACGTCCACCACGGACCCGGCCCTGACAGGGCCTAGCAGCCCAGGTCCCAACCCCAGTGCCGCCAACAACAACCATAATAGCCACGGCGATGGCGACGGTGAAGACGCAGAGGGCACTAGCGAGCTGCCAGCAGCCGCGGCGGGCGTATCTTCATCGTCGCCCCCAGCCGACGGAGGAGACACAACCATGGCAGACACAACGACGGGCGGAGAAGACGGGACTGGCGCGGGGGAATCCAACGCCAAGGAGCGCAACTCGCTGACGCTGGAAAAACGCCGACACCTGCGGCTGTGGGCATTTGGCCAGGCGGTGCGGCCGTCGCACCGTGCCTGCATAGACTGGTTCTACGGGCAGTACGGGCAGCACATAAGCCAGTCGACCGTGTCACACTCGCTATCACCCAAGTACGCGCGGCTGGATGATAGCTCGCAGCTGTCGGGCTCCCGACTGCGGCTGGGCAACTGGCCCGACGTAGAGAAGCTGGTGCTGAGATGGTATCAGCAAGGCCTGGCGACGGGCCGACAGCCTACCAACGATGAGCTGGGCGACAAGGCAAAGGCCATCTTTAAGCAGCTGCCTCGGTACAAGGATGAGAACCCCCCCGAGTTCTCGCCGGGGTGGATCCACCGCTTCAAGAGGCGCTACGGCCTGCTGGCTAGGCGCCAGCGCCGTCCCAGCGAGAACCCGGCCGAGGATGTCCGCTACCTAGCCGAGTACGTGCCGCGCTTTATGGACATCACGCCCGACACGAGCCTTCCCTCGATAAGGGAGCAGGTACTCCGCGTCATCGGCGTCGATCCTAGCCTCCACATCTGCGCCCTCGTCCGCGACGAGGTCATCCGCCGTCTCTCGAATCCCGGGGGCAATGGCACTGGTAACGGCGAGGGTGTCACCACCGCCACCACCGCCGCCGCCGCTGCGGCGCCCCCCATGTCCCCCCCGCCCATCATCCCCGCCATCCCTGCGCACCCTGATCAGCCCCTCTATGCCGACGACGACCCGGAGGTTGTCTTGCAGAATGCCTTGCGTCAGCTCCAGCAGGAGGAGCAGGCTGCCGAGGAGCAGGCTGCCGCCGTCCGCGAGGAGCGGGATAACACCGACACCGCCGGTCTCGCCCAGCAGGCCATGATCGCTACCCCCAACGGCCGCGCCAACTCTGACCCCCGCTATGCTACACCCGCGCACGAGATGGGGCCCGATCTGACCCTGACGCCTATCCACTCTGAGGGACCACTGGCGTCCAGCGAGCGGCCTATCCGCTGCCCGTTTTGCGTCAACCAGCGTATGCTGCGCAGTATCAAGGAATCTGTGGAGCACATGTCGACGCATGTCGTCGTTTGATTATTCTTTGATCTATTCAGCGGGGTTTTGTTGTGTTTTCAAATTCCCCTTTCTTCTTCTCTTCATGTATTCCTCTCCATTGTATCTTTTTAATATATATTTTTCTTGAACACGTACTGTCTTCTCTGGCAGAGGCCGCTGGGAGAGGATCAGGTGGCTATATCTACTTCTAGTCTCATGGATTTGGGATTTAAGGGATACCCCCCCCCCTCCCTCCTTTTCTTTCTCGGGTTTTCATAGCAAGCAATGCGCGGGCCAGCTCTATCTGAAATAACGCAGACCGGTTTTTTGAAATGGGGAGAAGATATTAATATATCTATCATGTATCGTTGACGTACACCATGTCTTTATTATCATATGAATCCAGCTGCTTTCAACGCCTTTATAACCTGCTCCTCGTTTTGTTGCTGTTCTGTCTTGGGCGGCTTTACGTCCCCCATGTCAATGTAGTTGACCCAGAATTTCAGACCCTCTAGCCCTTCCTCTCGACAGACGGCGCCGCGCTCTTCGGCCATCAGGAGCTCCTCCTCGGCTACACCCAGGCTCCAACCGAACCTCTCGGCTGCCTCCTGCGCGGTGACGCCGCGGCCAAACGTCCGCCAGTCCCAGGGGACATCTTTGTCGGGTGGAAACTCGTGCAGGTCTTGGAGCCAAGTCAGTAGCGCCTTGACTGTCGCCTCGTCAGTCCGGTCACGGCCCTGGACGACCATGGCACCGCTGCGAAATGTCCTCAGGCGGACGGGCAGTTTGAGGCTCTCCCAAAGACGGGCTGCCTTCTCAAAGTCCATGGGGCTGACGAGCTCCACGCCGCCCCGGGCTCGGTTGAACATGGCCCACAAGTCTACCAGGGTGATGATACCTCCGGCCTTCTTAAGGACGCCGCGGGAGTCGTCCGTCAGGAATTCGGCCAGATTTCTCGCCAGCTCAGAGAGGTACAGCGCCTGGGAGCTCCCGCCACCGACAATATCCTTTGTCGTCACTAGGCCCAGTTGGTGAGCTGATTCGGCCAGCACGGCATTTTCCTCGACTGACATGCCCTCGCCGCCTGAGCTGTTTTGGCGTGCTAGCCTTTCTGCCAGGGCGACAACGTCCTTGGCAGACGCCATGAGGGCCTCGAGGTCCTCAAAAGCGCTACCGATGATGAGCTCGTTATCCTTGCGCATGTTCATTCCTAGCTGCTCCAAGCCTGCGATCCCGGCCGTCTTCCTCCGGGGGCCAGATTCACCGAGGAAGCCACTCCCGCCAGCTTCGTCTGCCCGCCGACTGCTCCTAGGAACCGGTGGTGCATTATGAAGAAGCCATTTGCGCTGTGTCATGGACCCCTTGAGCCTCTCGTAAAATATCTTTTCTCCTCCACTGCGAAACGAGATCTTTACACTCTCATGACCATCGATGCTACCTGTCTTGCCGGGTGAATCAATGACAGGCCCGGGTGAGTCCTCCCGTGTGTTCTCTGGGATCTCTGGCGGCCCCGAGGTATCGCTAGTTCGGCATACGAGGGATGCGCCACATATTTCACACGACAAGAGGGACGGATGATTAGAGAAGGTGCATCGTGGACACTCAACGTTGGGATTCGTGTCTCCTTGGCTTCGATCTCGGGTTCCATTCCATGGGCTTGACCAGAGTTCAGGCGAAGAATTTATCTGTGAAGTTGAAGAAGTTCGTGGGGAGAGTGCCGAGTTGGATGGGGGCGCGGGAGAAGAGGTCGAGTGGGGTTTGGCGTTTGCAATAGAAGCCTTTAGCACATGTGTGAGAGTAGGTTTGATACCACAGGCGAGGCAAGGTGGTAGAGGCGTGTGAGAATTTGCGGATGCCGGGTCGAAGTTTGACGGGACAGGGTTGGAGAAGCTGCATATCGTGCAGACCCACGTCGCTGAGGTGGACGTTGGCGGTCCTGTTGAGCCTTCTGGCTTGGGCGAAGAAGCTGAACCGTTACGGTAAGGCGAGGTGGAATGCGAAGTGCTATGGTTCCGAGCTGACGAACGCTTTGGTGGCTTGGGAATGATTGTGACCTTGCCCGAGGATCTCAGAAAGCCGGCTGAGTACTCGTATCGATCGACGTCTTTTAGATCCAGCGCCAGCGAGTACGATCGTGGCTCTTCCTTGTCAACGTAACATATACGGTGAGATGTTAAGTAGACCTGTCCGTTCTGATGCTTGGGCAGCTTGAACTTGCTAATATTTCGGGGTTCTCGCGTGTCAGCCATGTATGGTGGTGGTGGTGTTTTTCGGTCTTGGCTCGGCCTTATATAGCTTACCCCTCATATAGGCCGACATTGTCTTGGACGAACAAGAGCACCTCATCAGGCAGATAGGAGGGCCGCAAGGCTGTCGTCAAGTCTATATGCTTTAAAAACATTCGTCATGCCGAATCGGAAAAGCGCAGAGATGAAATGTTCCTTGGACAGTCGCAGTCTTTGGCCCAGAGGGGCTGACGTGAGATAAGATGCCAGAAGAGCTTCCAGGTAAGGTTAGCAGCTAGGTTTTAATTTGAGACCCCGATGGGAATAGCAAGTATGCCGGTGTGTGAGCTGGCCGCTGGGAAGTAGAGCTGTAGTTTAGTGTACAAGACGATATGTAGAGTAGGAACTGGGGTGAGAAGTGTTGGTCGCTTTGATATGACGAAGTGGTGGTAAAGGTTGGCGTGGGTCCCGCATGTATGCATGTAACGGACGATCTATAAGCAGTGGCGGATTTCATATTTGGCACATGCATATATCCGAAATACCAAGTGCCACTGCAACTCAAACAAACACAGTATTGTTCTATACCAGCGGCAATATCAAAGTGCTGGCATCCCATATACAGCCCAATTTGTTTGTATTCTATGCTCTAGTATACGAATAGATATTTAAAATCATTTGACTCTATCTGTCGTTGATCGAATGCTGACGGCAAGGTTTATTGCTTATATCAATACTAGATAAGGAGCAAAGCCACTGGAATGACTGCCGAATTTCTGCCGACAGGGTCACGGGACCCACATCGTGAAGCCATAACCCAACTGACCTTATTTCTCTCTTTTACCGCTTCAATTTTTCAGCGCACACATCATCTCCGCTACATCAACGTCATCAACAATCATCAATACACCGTAACCAGGCTCGTGAGAGACCACTCTGTCTCGACTTCATTGCCCCGTACTTTCTCTCTCAGTCTTAACCATCAGTCTCAGTCGCACCCATCATGTCTGGGTGGACGACAACGTCAACGCAGCAAGCGCCAGGCGCCCAACCTGTGGCATCGTACTCCTATACATCTAGTTCGTCTTCTTTTCTTTCGGGACCTCCTTTCATTAAGATTTATGCGTATACTAATGTCTTGCAGGCCCTGCCTATACTACTGTTCCCGTTCGTCAGGGCTTCGGCTCGTATGTGCCGCCGCCGCCGCCGCCCCCTGGATTTGCCGGATACGCCCCTCCTCCCCCCACAGGCCAAATGCACGCGGCACCTCCCGCAGTGAGCCAGACTGCGAAGCCTGATCAATCCAAAGGCAAGGTCCAGTGGCCTCCTGCAGTCCGAGAATATGTGTCTCGATCCTTTCTCCCGGAGAATGACGTGCCCGGTGTTACACGCCCTGAAGTGGAGGCCAAGCTCAAGGAGATCATCCGTTCTCATACTGAAGGCGGGACTCTCTGGGAAGCAGACTGGGCTTCGATGCCCTCTCCTCAGGAGCTTGTGAAGAGGGACCAGCAGAAGGCGGCGGCGGCTTCTGCCAAGTCTCTGCCCAACCCCAAGAAGCGGAAGTCTGCCGAGTTTTCTGGAGACGGGAGCTCCCAGGCGCCGTGGAATACTACTAACATGCGACGATCACTCGGAGAACGAATCACGTCACCGGAAAAGCGCTCAAATGTCGACGACTCGAAACCAAGTAAGTTCCAGAAGGATGCCAATAAACGGAAGCGACGGTTCGAAAACGAATACAAGGCGTTCCGGTCACCCAGCCCGCCACCGCCATCCTCAGGCCCTATCGTGGGGACATGTGAGGTTCTGGAGAAGAAGTATCTCCGCCTCACTGCCCCACCGGTGCCGTCAAAGGTCCGACCTGAGCGGGTGCTCCGACAGACGTTGGATCTTCTGAAAAAGAAGTGGCGCAAGGAGGGCAACTACTCGTACATCTGCGACCAGTTCAAGTCTATGAGGCAGGATCTCACGGTCCAGCATCTCAAGAACGAATTCACGGTGTCGGTGTACGAGATCCACGCGCGGATAGCCTTGGAGAAGGGGGATATTGGTGAGTATAATCAGTGCCAGACCCAGCTCCGGTCCCTGTATACGCTGGGTCTGAAGGGCAATCCCGTCGAGTTCAAGGCATACCGCATCCTCTACTTCATCCACACGGCCAGCCGGACCGGCCTGAATGATGCCATAGCAGATCTAACCCCGGCGGAGAAGACGGAACGGCCCATCAAGCATGCGCTTGATGTCCGCTCCGCCCTCGCTCTTGGAAACTACCACAGATTCTTTCAGCTCTACATGGACACGCCCAACATGGGGGCATATCTCATGGATATGTTCATCGTGCGGGAGCGTCTTGCGGCCTTGTGTAACATTTGCAGAGCGTGAGCCCCTCCCTTGTAGATATCTGTTTCTCAACTACTGATTGGACGTTAACAAACGATACAGATACAAACCCGATGTGAAGCTGCGCTTTATCACGGAGGAGCTCAGTTTTGAGTCCGACGCCGATGCGGCGCAGTTCATCATCGACCATAATGGTCAGCACCTTCTGGAAGAGCGCAATGACTCTATCCGCTTCCTGTCGGGCAAAGCCGGCACCCTTTTTGAAGGTGCTAAGACTTCTGCCTTCCAAAGGGTGGATATCAAAGGGCAGATCTAAGTCCTTCTCCTCTCCTACTGTCAACTTTGGCAAAACGTCTGCGCACTGTCCATATTTCATTTTTGCAAAACACCTGGATACCTCTCTCCGTCCTTGTACTGGGAGACGCTTTCATATTTCGCACATTTTCTCACCGTTTTAAATACCCCTCCGCATTTGGTCACAGCAACCTATTTTCCCTCAATCCAGCTGCATAACGAATCCCCACCCTTTTTCTCCTTTCCCTTTTCTCTTTCGATACGACTGACAGAATGGTCGGCCTTGGCGGCTCGCCCCTTGATACATCAACGCGACTCGACGACACTATGCGCTACGAATCATTCTAACAGTGAGGCATTCTCGGCTGGTTGGGGCTGGTTGGACATGGCGACACGTGGGGGCCCCGGTGTGGACTCGAGAGGCATGGGAGCGACGTAGTACTGCGTCCATCCGACGAAACGAACCGTACTGGGTGAAGGAGGGGGGTTTCCCCCTTAGAGGTCTGGCGAGTTGCCAGACCTTGATGACAATCTCCTTGGCCCCAAAAACAAAAACCCCCACACATGAGACAACACGAGGTGGTGGTGGTGGCTGCGCGCCTATAGATTCGGAGTCCATTCTTCTTTTCTTCTTTTTTGGCGTAATGGGTAGTGTTTGGCAGAGAAAAAGGCGATGGGTATATTGTTTAATTAGCTGCCCTCGTCATACTTAACTCAGTATGCACTCGCATAGTTATCTTGTTAGCAGCGATATCGAATTCTGACGATCCGAGTCTCTTCCACACCTTGACGCCTGGTACGTGCGTTGCAGGTAATATGCCGGCTTGATGATGCTTGCCTCCCTGCTAATTCAATGTATGGGATGGTTGTAGCCGAATCATGCGCATACTAATGCTAGTGAAGATGTCATGCGCAGGGCAGTCGACTCATACACATCCGGGTTCCGTGGTACTATACGCGGTAGCATTGTCGACACCTTTCCCCCCCCCTCTACTTTCTTTGACTGCTCTTAGCACGAGTCATGAGCCATGTTGAATGTTTAGGCGTAGGATCTCGACGCCACGCGATGAGATGGAACAAAGAGAGAAAAAAAGTTGAGGAAAAAGAAAGGAGGGAACGGAAAAGAGGAGGGATGATCCCACTAGGATGGTATATATGTGGGTCTATACCAAGCGCGCGGCGCATGGATCATGTTTTGGCATTTGGGATTGGGAACCGACTCCACTGATGGGAATCCACTGATGGGGATCCACTAGATGAGATTATGTGTGTTTGTGTGTGTGTGTGTGTGTGTGTGTGTGTGCCGAGGCGAGAGAAGGCTTGATCATTACCATGTGCGCTGTATTATCTCATTACACAGCATCTGTAGGAGGAGACAAGGGAGAGAGAGAGAGGAAGAGGAGAGGGAAGAGTGAGCGATGATGATGCAGGTGCAGGTCTAGGCGAACCAGGGTCAGACGAGACCAGATCAGACAAGACCGCACTCTACTCTACTACTCTATCTGTGCTCGATAGTAAGTACGGAGTACCCAACATCGTAACAGGTTGGCGGGCATGACCGAGAAGGCAAGCGCCCGGCTGGAGTTTATGCTGGTCCTGGATGGTGGTTGGGTGGTCGTCCGTCATCGTGGCTAAGCACCCTGCAATACCGTGTGCAGAAGTACAGATTACAGATTACAGAGTGACGATAGATGGGCCGAGGTGGCTGGAGGGCGGCACAAACCAGGATTTCCTTTTTTCCTCCTTCTCAGTAGCATGAGTGCTGTAGACACTACAGACACTACAGACTACAGGTATCGATACCATAGGTACCGCAGGTAACACTGCAGATACAGATGCAGCGATGGGTGAAGAATCTTTATTATTCTCATCATTTTTATCATCATCGTTAGCGCCGACGCAGAGTCAGTCACATCGACAAAGATTGTGAGTGTCTACCACTCTTATTACTTGTATTCATCAATTCAGATCGAGACAGAGAGAGAGAGAGAGAGGTGGAGAAGAGAAGGAGAAACATCTACGGAGGTAATACTATATTACTACGTAGTATTAAGGAAAGAAGAAGGAAGAGAACAGGGCCCGGACGAAGAAAAGAAGGCCGCCCCCCTTGTCCTCCCGCCCTGTACGAATAGGGGGGGGCTTTCCATGGCCCATCCCTAGCCCTGGCCCCTGGCTTCACTCGTACTTGGGTGGATTACGGCGTAGCCTAGCGGTTTGACCAGCCAGGGTCGGGGCCAGACAACCGGGATGTTCCCGGCGGGTCCCCTATGGAGAGTTGCCTTCTGCCTTCTACTGGTGTTATAGTCTATAGACCTTCAGTACCCGACGTAGCAGAGAACATGAGAGATGGACCTACGATTACGAGTACAGCATGTACTCATACTCCGTAGAAGAGACTTTAGAGAGACCTGGAAGCTGCGCTGGAAGACGTGCTGGTGCCGCCCGCGGGCAGAGACTGGAAACCCCCGCCCGTAGTACGATGACGCTGTATTCGTAGGCTGTAGCACACGTACAGCGTATTACAGAACCCCTCCTCCTCCTGTAGCTACCCAACTGACCAATTGAACCCAACCAAAGATCCAGGTCTCTATCCACCTGCATTTTGTTGCTTCCCGCGTCAGTCCATCGGGCAATTCTTGTGTCTCCCCCCCCCCCCCCCCCCCCCCCTTTTTTTTTTCATCCACAAAGAGGCATGAGTTTTTTTTCAGTATCCTGCCTCTTTCTCTCCTCTTGTCTTCTTTGTCACATCTCTCTAGGGAATTTTTTTTTGATTATACTAGCTGGATGACTTATGTCTTTATGAGATCTGGCGAATCACCTCACTCGTTTCTTTCCCTTCCCTCTTATTACCCATTGTTCTCTGATGAATCCTCTTTGTTTTTTCCAATGTTAAGTTGGGGACCAAACTACCGGACACACATATTTATGAAGTCTCATCATTGCTGCTATTGCTATTGACAAGACTAAGCAGCATTCATGCGCCATAACAGAATGGCGGCGAGGGGTGGATGGCGTTATTGGTAAGGAGACCAGGAATTGTTGATGCTTGTTTTTCTTCTGTCTTGATATTCAATATTTCGCCTTATTTAAAACATAGCAACGAAGATTTCCCCCCCAAAATCATCGGTCTACTTGAGTGACGGCATTCAAGTCTTCAGGTACTCAGACAGTGTTCATAATTGAATCCGTAGTTAGTCATTAACGTCTATCCTATCCCAACATGGTGAGCATGACCAAAAAAGAATTTTCCGTCTATACCAGCGCTCAGGCGCGTCTATTATGCTCCGGTTTTTTTTGTGTTTCCGATGCCGCATGTTTCATCCACGAAGTAAAGATAATGGGGAGATGCAACGTAAGAAGAGTGAGAAAAGGAAAGAAAGCCAAGGACGAAGCGCCAAACCTGCCGAAAAGAGCACATAAATCATGACAGTGAAAGGTAAGACCAAGGAAGAAGAAGAAGAAAGAAAGAAAGAAAGAAAGAAAGACGAGATGAGGCAAGAATACTACTCAACCCTGTGCATCAGATTCTCCCTCACAGACCGGTTGACCACACCACCGACACCAAAGGCCGGAATGATGCGACACATCCTGGCCAGAGTGCTAGGGGCCCACGTCCCCTTTACCTGAGCCCACCTGTCGCTCCAAGAGGGCGCGCCGCTCCCGGAAGGACGGTTGTACATGTCCAGGCCCAGGAGATGCAGGGGCGTGGAGATGACCTGGACGGCGGCGGGGGCGGCAAACTGCGCGCACGACATGCCGGAGACGTGGCGCCTCACCCGGTCGGACAGGCGTTCGTCAAGGATCGGACCGAGAAGCGGAGGGAGGTTGAAGCTGGCGAAGATGGTGAGGCAGTCGCGCAGGGTGAAGAGGGCGTAGGAGATGCTGGGGACGGGCCGCGGCACGGCCCCTGGCGGGCCGAACATGCGCACGAAGACCTGGTCCTTGTAGATGCACAGGCCGATGTTGGCGGCGCTCGAGGCGGCGAACTTGGCCGTGCCGGACGTGACGTGCGACGCCCTCTCCGACTTGAGGGTCGACGTGGCCGTGTCCAGCGCGTTGGCAGTCAGGTACGTGCCCCCGTACAGGAGGAAGATGAGCCCCGTCGGTTTGGAGAGGAGCGTGGACCGAGGGTGCGTGACCAGCTGTCGGAGGGATGATTTTATCGACGAGACGAGCGTCTGTCGACCGGAGGCGTTTTCCATGATGCTCCTACAAGGGTCAATGTCAGCCAAGATGTCTGAGGAAAGGAAGGGTAAATTGATATGGGATAATTCTTCCCGCCGGGGGAGGGAAGAGAGATGAGTAATACTTGTCTATGATGTAGATCACCGGCGCTACCAGCGCACCTGCACATGCTGCGCTGATGGCGTCGAATCCAAGACGTAGGCCTAGCTTGTCCGTGTTCCAGGTACGTTCGCCCGTCGGACTCGACCCGGGTTTCAGCGTCTGTTGTGCCATGACGAGGGGTGATGGTGAGGTTTGCGTCCGGACGAAAGACGTCCGTCGGGGAATGGGATGATTGAGATCGGTGTGTTTATTTGTTTTTTTTTTTTTGGTGGGGGGG